GCTGCAGATGATTTGGAAGGTAATGAGTGGCACTCAGCCTTCAGATGTGCATCTAGACCTAGAAACAAGATCACGACTCACCCGTCATCTCGAACAAGTCACATTCGAAGCCAATGCATGGACACTGTGGACGAGGTGCGAACTGCCGAGTTGTCCCCGCACGCATATCTGACCTCCTAGTATATTTGCAGATGTTTCGAGCTCATCAAGTTGCAGCGAAAGGACATATCACTCGATATGCCCATGTTGGATGAAGTGCTAAAAACGTACCTCGCAGGCAAGACACTGGCACTAAGTGAGTGCCAGTCTCACTTCGAGATCTTCCTCTCGAACCGTAAAGGGTGGCAACGGAAGGTCGACAAGGGCCAGTGGGAAGCGGATTTAAGATGTAAGCCTCGGCCACATTAAGTCAAAAATGATAACGGATGGCTGAATCACTTACCTCGCCAGCAAATCACTACAAGATCTATCCACGCCCAGACATCCTGGCCTGCGACAACTTTTTTTGGACGTTGGTCTGGATCAAATGGCTGGAGCACTTTCACTATGGACGCTCACTTCAACCCAACGACTTCATCTTTCCCGCAATGGGTGCCAGCGGGGTGGTACAGCCTGGCCAACCGATATCTCACGATACAGTACAAAAGTGGATCAACGAGGCTACAACAGGCGCTGGCATTCTCGGCAACTTCTCAACCCACTGCTTTCGTCGTGGGGGTGCACAGTACTGGTTTATGTTTGCTCCCGTGGGTCAGCGGTGGACACTCGCCAAAGTTAGGTGGTGGGGTGGATGGGCCGAAGGCGAGCATGTGCGTGTTTCAGTTTCTTGGATCTGGTGCTGCATTTTTTTTTGCTCATCACGTCTATTTGCAGCGCGACACACTCGTTCGTTACCTACTCGATGAATTACATGCCTATGAGAATGACTACAGTGATGCCCTTGCCCCCATCTCCCGTGGTGCTAACGCCTCCCTCGCTGGTGAACAAGCTCTCATGAGACCGGCGTCTATAGAAGAGCTTCGCATGGTTCATTCATCTGTCACGACAGATGTCAACAACCTGCGCAACGACATCGGATCGGTTCACAACTCACTGCGCACGCTAACCAATGTGATGGTGCAGGCAGCCTGCACCACAGCAACTGCTCTGCAACTTCAAGGTGATTCCTCCCGGCGCTTCACCATCATCTCTGACTCTCAGGCTGAGTCATGTGCCTCCGAGTCTCACACACCACGGCCAACTCCACCATACACCCCATCCCGCGAAGGAGGACACCTCACAGCCACACACCACCCTTCACCCAGAGCTGTCACCAGCCAGAGCAGCATCCTCGCTTCGCAACGACCCGCCGCTACTAAAACTACCCCACCATCCAAGAACACCACCTCCCAATCCCTCCCTACCGCTGGCCTTGTAATTCCCCGTGTGCCTGTCACTCGTCCAAACGGCACAACCAGCCCGAAGAGTAAGTCCTGGAAGGAGATCGTCGAGCATTGGCTCGTCGGCGACCCAGACAGGGGATTGAGGACGCCACTCAAAGATTGGCCGAAGGAGTGGTACCAAGGCGCCAATCGACGATTCGCGTCGAAGTACCATCAAAGGGCAACCATCGCGCTGGAATTCATCAATGAGTAAGTCCATGCTGATACCATTTCCTTTGCCTGCACTACTCACCATCCATATTTCGGCTCCAGGTACGAGTCTAACGAGTCGCGTTTCCTCGCAGCATATCCAGAGGCCGAAATGGGACACACGCAGTTGCTGAAGGCCATCAACGAGGCACGCGCTGCACGAGGGCAGCGCGTCTCTCGCAAAAAGTGACGCCGACTCGGACCACTCTTTTCAACCGCTACCGATATTTTTGCTACCCTTCGATTAGTACCATACTAGCACTCTCCCTACCTTAGCCCACTCATCACTAACAAACACCACGTTCGCATACTACTTACATCCAGCGCGTGCAAACACGTTCCTCGACACTTCGGTGCGTTTGATTCGAACCGCATTCTATTTTTCTTTGCTCTACTCTACCAGAAAACTCACGCTGTCACGCTGACCTGCGAGGTTCTGCGAACCCGAGCTCGAAAAGGTGAATGATCGAGATCACGTGCCTGCGCTTAGCGTTCTGGCTGAGCGCCACCGTAAATTTCTCGATATAAGTGAACTGCACCATAGTGAAAAACAAGGTCACGTGATTCGCTAAAAAGCAGCTTAAACACCGTTTGTTAATATCTCCCTGAGGCCTATAGCTACCAGCTAAAATGCTGGCTGATAATTTTTATCCCGCACCCTACACTGGATCGCACCACAAGGTACAAGCGAACTTCGGACAGACAGATTCAAGTTGAAAAGACTCAAAAGGAACTTCTAATTCCCCTAGTACTCCGAGTCGTCCAAAGGAGCAAACTGAACTTAATGATTGTAGCCATGCTGCAGAAGAACTCAGAACTACGGGGCTGCATAGGTCAGCGACTCAGCGACGATCCTAGCGGACCTTGGGATCTCCCAGAGTTACAGGGCGGTGCTTAATTTATGTTCGAGAGCACCAGGTAGTCAATCATTGGTACGTCTTGGTTACACATTTATAGTACACATGACCCTTCCTGCTAGGTTACAATCAATGTTGCCGCCTGCGTACTCACGGGTGCCAATTCGAGATGCCTCCAACCTTCATCTTGGGATGTCCAATGCATGACTTTACGGACAAGACCCTCATTTATTTACTTGTTGGGAACCTTGGCACCCACATATCTACAGAGGAACTTCCTGGGGCTCAAGTGTTTCCATTCGCTGGAATGTTTTACCCCCATAATAGCTTGCTTTCCAGCTTGTCTATTTACAGGGGCCAGTTTCGCATGATTATGGCAGTTCGACTTGCGGGGATTCGAGAACAGAGAGCTGACAGTCACGTATCCGGAGTCTACGCCCCGGGGTATCTGTTATCTTATCTTCCTATGAAGCTCACCATAGATTGGGATGGCAACAGTACTGTGGCGTTGTTATTGTCTGTAATCTGGCCGTCTTTGTCGCTCTGAAGAATTCCCGACATGTCGGAGTTGTTCTGCAATGCGAGACAAGAGGACTCCTCGGCGACACCACGAAATCTCACGTATTATATCGATATCGTTGCGTTGAGCCGCGTTCGCAATTTCAATGAGGATTCAAGCGCTTTCTATCACTGGTACCGTTGGGGTTCCCCGTCTTGCATCCGGCATCATCCTCGCGGGTAAACAATTCAAAGTCGTCGCCAATCACTCATTTGGCTCATCGTCAAAGGTTCTGTATGAGGGCCAGGTTGATAGGATATTAAGGCTAGGTGCCTTCATGGGGACACTACGCCTGAAGACCTCCGTTCTGGTTGGAGGTCCTTACTTGGTTCGCAACACTACAATTACACGATCAACACTTGCTCTTCATGGCGACTTGAAACAGTGTACGGTCATCGCACCTGATGATTTGAAAATTCCAAGTACATGGAACGGAATTCCCCTAGCTGCAGTGATCGTGTCTGCCTTTTCGCGGAATGGAGATGTGCGGATCGTTTATCATGAGCCCAATGTGGACTTTCTGACGCCGACTGGATTCTTACAAACCACACCACTACGAATATACCCTTCAAGCCCACTTCGGCGACGGGAGCATTCGTCATGGTTGTAACTGGAACTAAGAACACCCGCCGCGTTGTTATTTGTCTTTCGTTATAGCTGACTGACCAAGAGCTGTGAGAACATTTACTACAGGCACTGCAATGCTACGGACAATATAATTGGCCTATATCCTCATCAATGGCGGCTTGGTGGGTCCCCGTATGCTGTGATGAGATCTGAATATTGATTACACTCATCTAGTTGCCGCTGCAACTGTTTGGGCTGTGAAACTTCAACCAATGATGATTATAGATATGGTTTAAGGGTGGTGCTGACGCCAGCGCTGCGTCTATCCCCACAAACCACAAAAATAGTGCGGACGAAACAAATGACAAGTTCTTCTCGGATCCTTGTTGCAATTGTACGGACAAGACATTGATGTCATCATTAATCATCAAGTTTCTGGGTTCTCATATTCTCAAATGACCGTGATGACCGTGATTGCTGCCGGTGGAGAATCTAGGTTTCGACTTGTCGGGCCGCCGTTACTAAGCCACGTGCTGGATTCAGACCGATGGCCTGATGTCGATTTTAGTTGAAGAAGAGAAGTCCTCGTGGGGTCCGCGGATTCACGCTTAATAGAAGCAACTTCGGTGAATGGAGGGTCCAGGGTAAATCTACCAGATGCCAAGTGCGTGTTCCAGCAAGTCCACCTCATCGACCCATGCAGATGGCAGCAATGTCGACAGAGTATATGGGAGGCTCTATGGTGAATATACCGGGCTCTTGCCTGGATTTGATGCCCTTGCATGTCAATTGGAACCTCGAAATGACAAGTCGACTGTCATAAGCGACACAACAGCTCAATAAGCACCTCGCCATCCCCGTTTCACTATGTGAACTCTGATGGACTCCTTCTTGAGGGAACCATCACCGATTAATTGATATGCTCCGCGAGGCCATCAGTCCCCCGAGGCAGACGGAGGTAACAATTCCTTCGTATATTATGGCGATGGCCATGATAACGCGAGTGTTCGATCCCGACCTCGTTTGGCCTGTATTGTCATTGGGCTCCTCCTGATTGTCTTGGCACAACCAGTACTGGGTAGTTTATCAATGAAAATTGCTGTCGTAGGGTCTGGCGTTTCTGGCTTAGCCGCGACATGGGTGCGTTCATGCTATAATACTTGCTAGAATGTGACGATCGCTAACCTGGTGCACGCGCACGGTGTATGTTCCAGGCTCTAAACGAACATAGTCCTCATGAAGTTCATTTGTATGAAGTCGAGGATCGCGCAGGAGGCCACGCGAATACCATCAGTTACATACCTCCAGGAAAATCAGACAAGGACGCAGTTGACGTGGATACGTAAGTGTCCTTTTCACTTTAGTTTCTCTAAACCTAGTTAATCCGTTGACGTCAGAGGATTCGTACGTGCTGGCCTTTTCGCTTTCTCGCATCTCGCACCGTATGATTGATGCCGTGCAAAGATTGTCTTCAACCCAACCACATACCCCAATTTCCTGCGATTTCTCCAGCGCATTCCCACAATTCGTATTCTTCAAACTGAGATGACGTTCAGCGTCTGCAGGGACTCGGGTCTTTTTGAATGGGCTGGCAAAAATGTGGCAACCTTGTTCTGCCAGCCGTCACGTCTTCTAGATCCTGACATGTGGCGACTAGTTTATGATGTGCTCAGGTTCAATGCTTGTGCACGACGCCTCGTCTCCAGCAAGGCCGCTTCCGACGATTCAGACTTGTCAATAGGAGATTATCTTGACCGAGAAGGATACTCTGCATCTTTCCGGGACAATTATTTGATTGTGAGGTGGATTTCTTTAACGAGAACAAGAACTGTTATTGATGCTTTTTGTAGCCTATGACAGCTGCGATCTGGAGTACACCTCCTGATAAATGCCTTATGAACTTCCCCGCTCGGACTCTGGTCAGTCTTTCGTCGTGGACTAGGTCGATTTTGACAATGCACAATTTATAGGTACAATTTATGAGTAATCATCACCTTCTACAGGTTACGGGTAAGCCTTCGTGGCTTACCATCGAAGGTGGCAGGTAATGTAACGCAGTTTAACGATAGGGGTGATCGAGTCTGACTCCATTTCTTAGTCGCAAATACGTTGATGCGATATTGTCACAACTTCCTAAGGAAAGGTTACACCTGTCCTCTCCTGTCACCGCGATATGCAGAACAACCCAGGGTGGCCGTAACACCATCCTTCTGAAGACGCGCAACGAAGATGCTGTCACTCTATACGACCGGGTTATTCTGGCTTGTCATTCGGATGCATGCACTGCAATTCTGAAAGGCGGACGCGATCTTCGTGATGACGAGGAAGACATCCTCAAAAGTTTCACATGGAATAAAAATGTTGCAGTGCTGCACAGTGACATTAATGTAGGTATTCTGGTATTTTCACATCACGTCTCACCGTTCACGCACCTCCAGTTGATGCCAAAAGCTAGGACTGCATGGTCTTGCTGGAACTACCTCACATTCTCCAGCTTGAACGACAGGGGTGGACACAAAGCTAACATAAACAAAGTCGCACTGTAAGTTTTGATCCATATCAATCAAAACCCGCCTCCCATACTAAAAACTGCATTCCAGAACATGTAAGCCGATGAAATACCGCACCGTCATATTCAAGTACTCATAAACGGCATCTCTAAGACTACATGAACGAGTTGCAGCATCTGCCAGAGGATCTTCACGGCCCAGTGCTAGTTACCCTAAACCCACCGACAGATCCAGACGTCACTAAGACCGCTGCGCGATTCGCCTACGACCACCCCATCCTCGACACCAAGGTGCGTTTCGTTACGTCTTCATGCCCATTGCCCATATTTACATCAAACCCGCATCCCCTTTTTTCAGGCGATCATCGCACAAAAGGCAATGCCAAATATTCAGGGCCGCGGCGGTGTCCTGTTCGCGGGAGCGTGGCTTGGGTATGGATTTCATGAAGACGGGTTCACGTCCGGTCTGCGCGCCGTCACAGAGCATATCGATGGTGTTCAGCTTCCATTCGAGATAGCTGGCGCAGATCGCGAACCTCGCGCTGTCTTCATTGCTCCGTTCTTCGATTTCTTGGAAGTTACTGGTATACGCGCCATAGTTGGCACAGCTTTGAAATTGGTGCTCCTCCTGGTCAAGTTTATCGTACATTCATATCAAGAGCTCTGTCATATACAGTAGTAACTTAGAGACCATATATTTATACACCATTTTCAAGCCATTAATGCTACATTGACGACAAGTCATGAGTGTGTGGTATGATGCGAAAACGATATCCAAATGATTTCGAGCCCAAGACTAAACCAAAACGCACCAAACAATATATACAATTATGTTAGTCTTCAGACCCGCGTCTTACGTGAGTGAGGCCGAATGTGACCTTCCCTCTTGACTCCGAGTCGTCAGTGGTAGACGGTTCACTGGAACTGCCCTGGGGCGTCTGGTCAAGCGTCGTCTTAGGAGTAGGGGTACTACTCCGAGGCTCTTCGTCGACGAACCGGACCGATCGAGCAGGCGAGACATCCCGCGAGTTATGTTCGCTGGTCTTCAGAGACTCCAACCGTCGATGCTGGATGGAGCGACGGTAAGTGTGCCCAGAGCCCTGGCGGTGAGGCGCATGACTCCTCCCACGCTGATCCTCATCCTCCAACGGCACGATCTCACTCGGCTCAGCTGTTAAGGCGGACGGTGGGTCCTGCTCCAGAAGCTGCCTAGCATGGCTCGAGAACGTCACGCTATCTCCCGTTGATTGTCTTCGTCGATGGCTCCTCGAACTTCTGGCAGCCGCAGGATGAGTTCCGCTTTTCGTTTTCCATGATCTTGGTCGCTTCCTATGATCGCCAGGCAGCTCCCCAAACGAGTACACAGGCCCTTCGCCATCTCCACTTTTGTCCGACGCCCATCCCTCTTCGTCTTCATCACCTTCGGGACTTGCGCCCGTGTTTTCATCGCTTGAGCCACCAGCATGCAAAACTTCTTGGGCTTTTAATTCTAAAGCATGTATATCATGCTTAACATTTTCTTCGACATGTTCAGCTCCCCTATGAATTTCTTCAGGTGCATGATGTAACCTGCGAAGATACGCGCGACCTGCTTGTAGGGCGCCGCCTTCTCTTGCAGAGAACCGGGAGTGCACGCCTCGTTCCGATGGCTTGAATGCGTTATAAATGACCTCAACGTCAACCTGCAAACGATATAAGCATCGCCATCAGCAGTGTCAATGAATCCGCATACCTCTTCACCAGGACCACCTCGTCGTTCAATAATCTTATGCGGGCCTTCCCTCCACTCCGCAGTCGTATCCCTTCCATCAGGTGGGGTCTCCTCCTTCGTATCTTCCTCGGCCTTTTCCAACACAGCTTCCGCCCGCGTCTCCGCACTGCTCGCCTCACCAATCTCTTCTATCTCATCGGGCGACAGTGGCGACGCAGTGATCGTGCTTGCGCGCTTGCTCTCTAGTGCAGACTTCTCCTCTTCCGTCAGTCCGCCCTCGCCACGCTCGAGTCCAGCAGGGTCACGATTTATGATGACGTCTTCCGCACGCGTGACGTGACGCGTGTGTGTTGCCCAGTCAGGTACGGCGGGTGTGGCGTGGCGGGACCACGTACGAGACCCAACAGAATGCACGCGGCGGCCTAGGAGTGAGAATGGGATCGACAGACCGTGAATAGCGACACTGCAGAGTACCATGAATGCAACGATAGGCTGGATGGTGAGTGCCAAGAATTCAGTCTGGTTGGCTGGAGGGTTGTTAGGTTTCGGTAACGTCTGGGCTGCTAATGTGGAAATATATATTGCGCCTGAAATGGTAACACACGTCATATCGGTAAGTTGGAGTGATCGTGTTAGAGACGCTACGCACCGATGCCTATGGGGCCGAAATGACCACTGAAAATGGCTTCCCGGAAAGTTTTTACGTCGGGTATGAATTTATAGAGCCCAATCATGATTGGCAACCTTTTTAACATCAACACTAAAACGGCAATAACGACGAGTCTCCACACGCTAAGGGAGAGGGTCTCGTTGCTGAAACTGTCAAACGGCATCCAGGCGCCGACATAAACGAAGGCAGCGACGTTGAATAATAAGTCGATGACGGAACTGAACACCGATTCCTCGGTCTGGCGGTTGAAGAAACCGTCCCAAGCAAATGCTGTTCCGCAAGAAAATGCTGCCAGGAGGTCATCAGAACCTAGGATTGTCATGATACCGATGGTAAGCAAGGCCAGGGATATGTACTGTGCAACGTAAGACTGTCGGTCGACGAAGTCATTCCGCTGGCAGAATTTCATGAGGTGTCGGAAGCCCCATCCTATCAAGGCGCCCACGGCCACACCCAGGATGACTTGATCTGTCGTAACGGAATCAGCTTAGGAACCGTCACTAAATTGCTTGTCTTACAAAGCCAGAGTAAAAGGAACCAATCTTCAACGGCACGGCCGGTACTGGAGTCCAATATAAGATACAATGCGATGTACAAGAAGGGATACGCTGCTCCATCGTTGCAACCGCTTTCCGCTGCGAGGAGATGACGAAGATGAGCAGGGACGTGCTTGTCGGCGTATTTGCCACCAACAACTGCAGCAGCAAGAATCGGGTCAGTTGGTGTCAAGCATGCAGCGACAGCAAGGCTTGACAAGAATGTCAGGTCAGGTATCAAAGCATAAATCAAGCCTGCCGACACAAACCAACCCTGGTGATGGTTAGCGAATAGGTCAAGGACATATTCAAGACGTCACCCACCCATGTCATGACAGGAAATAGAAGATATAATAAACTTTTCCAATGACGCTTCATATAAGCTTTTGGAAGCTCGACGCCAATGGCGAAGACTCCGATTGCGAGGACAACGCGAGTGAACTCGAGTGTAATTTCATTCACGGTATCCTCAGTGGTATTGTCGCCCCAGCTGCGAGGATCAAATATGCCGGCACCGTAAGGACCTAAAAATAAGAATGTTAAGGCAACGTGAGATTAGAAGCATGATCCGTTGAGCTCACCGATGATGACGCCGAAGAGAAATGCCCAGCATGCCTCGCCAATGTAAAGCTATATACAATGAGCATGAAGGGTAATATTGTCACTAGTTCTGTTACCTTTTCTCGAATGAACAAAGAGAACATGCCAAACTGCAATGATTATCCCATTGAGATGTTGGAGAAGAAGAAAAATCACGCTATACTTACCACGACGACAAAACCTCCGAGACATGCATAGGCAATGTGCGGTATGGTTAAAGAAAGCTGAGAAGATTAATGAGCGCTGCATTGGTCGGGTGCGGGATCAGTGGCTTACCGGCCGGAATAGCATGGTGCGGTGCCGAAGAAGAGTGCTCAACTGAAAAGAAGCTGGATGGTGCGTGCAGTTGGGACAGTGATTGTGCCCACTGTGGGTCATAAAATGGGACGTGGGTCGGTCACGAGTCGTTGGAGTGAAGAGACAAGGAGATGATAGAGGACTGTGCGGCAAGTCGGGGGGTGGTAGCCGAGTTCTATATTCCGAGTTATGTCAGCCAATATAAGTTCAAAAAGCCAAGGATGCAACCTGCTCAGGTCCATGAAAACCATCCCACTTTTATAGTAGCGGCGCTCGGCGCGGGACTCAGTTGCTGGCAGGTGACGGATGTCGCAAGAACGCATGTTCAACGTTAACGACGTCCCTATTTAATTTTCGGCTCAGCAACGGCTCACAGGTCACCCCTCGACCCTTCATTCGTTCGATATACTATCCCGCCAATCAGCTTCACTCTGGACGGTACAGATTAGCCCTATATGCTACAAGCAACTTGATATCAATCATTGGAACCACAGAGGCGCCAGCTTCCTGCACCCACGGACTGCGATTTTCGTACTTAGGTATGTGGCTCAATTTTTCTCTCATGAACTTAACTTCAACATCCAGGAATGGTATTCATCTCCACCCCCGCCGCTTAAAGCACGCGATATCGTTATGCACCCTACGTATAATTTGGGTAACATCGTTGCACGCTCGAATTTTTTTCGTCAGCCATGACCTCACTCAGGCTGATGCGGAGTTCTCCTGTCAAATTCCATCACTTTGGTCTCTCTAGAGTTGTTATTCGGACGTCCATGCCTCCGATTGTCCAGTTGCATCCTGCACCTCTAGCCTTCTATCGTGCCCGTCACATGGTGCCACGAACAGTCCTATGATTGGTGGGGAAAATTTTATACGCATTCAAGATCTGCAGCTGACTCGATATTTCAGGTCGAAGCTATCGTCGATCGCATGTATTTCGGTCTTTCGTCCGGTCGCAGTTCCCTGCACAAGTACTAGTCTAGGGCACTCACATCGCCAAGCACGCTCAGCAAGCAAGCTCGTGATCTGCTCCATTCCCTGACTCAGGGACTATCTTACTCACTCACCCTGACTGTCACTTATCCGTACTGAGCTAAATTTTCTGCCCGGTCGTGAGGCTGTTCGGGGATTCGCCTTGGCTCAATCCCCTTGTTTTTTTACGTACAACGCTCTGGCGTCTGGGTGCGTGTTACTTCGGTGTTGTTATCATAATTACCGGCGGCCGGCAGTGATTGACTGCGTATACTCTTGAATGGAGCTGCTTATGAATATGGGGTTCATTGTGAAGACGCCGGACGGCGCTGCAGAAGCAGCGGAAAGTTTATCATTCATTGCCTTATCAGCCGAGCGAATGCTTTTCACCCTATTATGTCGCTTACCGCAAAGTGCTCCCGCTCCAAAACTATATCAAGCAAGTGTGAGTTTCATTCAGAGTCTCCTGTAACTTTTGCGCTTTGATCTTTTTGCACATCATTGAGAAAGGGGTGAACCCTACTGCGGCTTCGTTTCGCGCATGCATGTGAAGTGTGATCAATATTGTCGTTGGATTTCTGCCACTGGTGTCCTATATTCGTATACACCATAGCGTGAACCATCCACTCCTCTGGAATTCTTTGTTACACCCTTCCTCATGTCTAGAGCAAACTTCGTGGGGACGGGAATACGCCATTGGGTGAATGTCATATTGAAATACGAGCCTCAGGTTTAGAATTTGCACACTGGCATCATTCACGCACTACTGATGGAGAGCAGAGCTCAAGAAACAGGAGGCTTCCGTGGAGATGTGACGAAGGCAACATGCCTTCTGATTCACCATCTTCGTCCGGAGGTCCTGAGGCCTCAATGAGTGAGTCTAGAATCGGCATAATTCTGCAGTCCTGTGAGTGCAAATAGTGTGACGAACACCACTCAGCTCCGGGTGCTTGCAGTTGTGATGGTGTCGATTAATAAATAAGACTGTGAAGGTGCTCGATTCGATCATGACGCCGAAGATGAGAAAGTTTTTTAACAGTCTTGAATCAAACATATACTCAAGCACAACGAAAATGAGACATGACAGTCTTTCTCTTCAAGGCCAAATCATTATCTTGAAGAACAAAGGAAGACATATCATTTCTTCATATTTCGTTTTGATATGCTCTTCTCGCTCCGGATCCTGCTTTGTTTACGAGGCGCGATAGCGGCCTTCTTCACAGCGCCCGTCTTCCTCGCTCGTTCCCTCTCCTTCTCCTTGCCGCGTACAGGCACACCCTGCTTTGCGAGCGCCATTCTCGCTTTCTTCTTCGCCATCCTCCGCGCCAGCCGGTCAGCATCCACCGCTTTTATCTGCTTTCGCTCCTCTTTAGAGAGTGTCGCCAATTTTTCGCCAAGAGAGGGATCGCCCTTTGGTACGTCGATGGGTGGAGCTGCACCTGCACTATTACTAGTGCTTGTAATCTTCGAAGCAGTAGCTTTGTCAGTCGCGGAGCCCTTGGGGAGTATTTTGCAGCGTTGAACGCGTAGTTTGCGCTTTGCAAATTTGAGTTTCAACTCCTCCATCGCAAGGACTTCGTCCACGCAAACACGATCCTTGAAACAGAACTTCAGAATGTCACCCACAGGTAATAATCATATCACTAACCGTAAATTGCACATATGCGAAGCCCTTCCCGAGCTGGGTATCCTTATCCCGTACAATTCTCACTCGTGATACCCAATGCTTGGGTGCATCTGAAACGTCACCAGGAGGCCCGCGTTCGGCAGTGATGAGACTTTCGAAGAACACGCGCAGATCTTCTTCTTTGCTCGCAAAGTCAAGGTTACCAACGAAAACCGATGACTTGGGATCTCCTGCAAAAGTGCCTAAGAGAGCAGCTTGTTTTCCAACGCTATCCGCAGGCCTGCCCAAAGAATCTACACGGATCGTGCGTTCCATGAAAACAGTCCCGTTGCATTTCTCGACAGCTAAACGAGCTGCCTCGTGCGGGTCCATGACTGGTAGAAGGGGAGGCAAGTTCGAAGGCCGCTCTTTCGCAGGAGGGGGATATGCGAAAACGACGTATGCATTAACCGAATCGGCGCTAGGGTGAAGTTCATGGTTGATAAATGCAACTTTTTTTTTCTGACTCGGAGTAAGAAACTTCTTTTCGTCGATCTTTGGCTCATCTGCCGTGGGATTAGTTTTGCGCCACGAGGATGTTCGATCTCGGTCGTGCTGCCGCGGGGTCTTTTCTTTCGCATCGTCATCGGGAAGTTTGCTAGTGGGGTTTTGGAATGCAACGGAGCGGAATCTTGCGGATTCGATTTTTGCTGTGGGAACGAGTGATAGAATGTGCCTATGCAGCTGTTTCTGCAAAGGCTGTCGCATATTCAGTGTTCATGCCATTATTAGCGAGGATTTAACGACTCACCCGCTTCTGAGCTACCTCGGACGAGAGATTGCCCACGAAGATCGTGCGCGAGTTGCGCTGGTCCTCGGATTCATCTGACGGAGCGTGTTTCCCCTTGCGAGCGGATATGCGTTGGTTGGACTTCGTGCTGCCATTGAGCAGTGACTCGTGTACGAGCGTAGATGGCCCACTCTCCTCCTCGGGGTCGGAATTGTTGACAGGTTCACCTCCTCGGCGTTTGATGCTACTGCTCTCCACGGCTGAGATCTCCTTCGTTTCCTGAGCTTCTAATTTTCTCTTCTTGACCTTTGCTTTCTTGTCCTCTCCCTGCTTGTCACGTTTTGAAGGATGGGAATCGTGTTGCTGCGATTCTTTGGGTGCAGCCTTGTGCTTTTTCAAACTATGGCTCTGCTCTCCCTCCGGTTTGCGCTTCTTGTCATTGGATGCCGCAGTACTGCCATTATCTTGGACCTTGAGCAGATATAATTCAATGTAGACCCGCAAAAAAACATGGAGGCCAGTAAGACGCACCTGGGTCTGAAAAAGTGCATCTAATTCCGTGTCGATAGTTTTTTGCTTGCTCGTAGCTTTCCCTCCGAGTAGAAATGATGAGAGACTCATCATTGCGTGAAGGAAGGCGCGGATTTAAATGGTGAGATGGTGTAAACCTAGATGATGAGTGTCGGAGGTCCGACAAGGCGGAGTGGCTGGAGTCTTAGCTCGCTGTCACCATCCACGCAATCTCCTCCTTAAAGTTAAACTAGTACCAGCCTTTGTCATGGCTGAATCGTATAAGAGTACGACGTGACCAAGTAAACCGTCAAGGTGCCTCCTTTTCTCTCGTCTTTTTAGCTTGGTTGCTTAACAGCCTCATAATAAATTGTTTTAGGGCTTGTTGTATGGAAATCACAGGTTCGGGCCATACGACTTTATCATAAAGCTTCCAGTGCATGGTGATATACCACTGCATTGTGCTTGCAAGCCCCGGGCATTGGTATATCATTCTGCCAGGATGTTGTACTTTGGTAAGTCCAGCGACTAAGTATTATATGTTCCCGCGATGTAGTCTCTGGATAATCCGATCATACTTATCACAGGGAGTAATCTGAGGTTCGAACTTCGGGCATGTTGCATAGTTGCAGCGCCCAAGTCTTCAAAGTTGGACCATGCAGTGTTTTCTCCGAGGTTTGTTTGTATTTTTGTGTATAACAGATACGGAGGGCTTCGTGGTCACAGACGGCGATCTGAGATGTCACATTTACAACGCGGAAACCTTGCTTCAGTTCGTGAACTCCAACACTGCTGGCAAACTTGTTTATCCCGTTCGCTGGGGCGAGGGCGCTCTGACCTCGTTATCGAGTCTATCCTTCCCTGCCCGTATTTCAAATATTGCTTCCGAAGGCTATCTGACTGCGATAATACAGGCATAAGTTTCACCCTACCACAGTGGCGGTTCTCAATTCACCCATGCCAAGGACACTGCTCTTCCCAGTTTGCGTCAAACAGCTGATCACTCCTCAGATAGACACTATGACGTGGATTCTAATATAGTGAGTTGCATATCTGGTGTAAATTTAGGTGATGATGTTTCGCGATAGGGCGAGGATGATAACGAATCTTGAGTGTCACTATTCCAGTTTGGCAGTTGCGGGTTTCGCGGGTGCGGAGGAATGTTCAATCAACAGGGTCCTATCGACAACGGCGTCTGATTTCGAAAGGCCATACATATCAGGTATGCTTCTGATGTATTTGATATTGATTGAACTTTACCTGCCAATGTAGGACCATCGTGCACTATGTACATAGTTCCATGCTTCCCCGCAACACGGCTCTGCCTTCATCGATAAAGAGTTGGTTTCACTGCAGCAAAACGCTTACTTGCAGCTAGTCACTTCATGTGTCACCCTGACTGGGGTGGGTGAGTGGGTTCTGTAACTTCTGTTCCATCGATGGTTGACGCTCAACCATCACCTCAACAGGTTGATATCTCACCAACGCGTGGCCCTGGCTTGATTTCTGATTTGACTCGCATAAGAGTAAGCAGCCCCTCGTACACTTTAGTCTTTCAAGCTATCTCACGTTATCGATGAGATAACATGCTGTAATTGAACACGGAGAGCCGTTGACGTGATTATGTTGTACAGTTCTGATATCGACCACCCTCACGCCCGTGATATGCCAGGCTATTCCAATTGAAGATTGCTGTATCCAGACTCGCGGAGACGTGCGACACAATGTCTATTCAAAAACTTGATAAGGGCAGCAGCTCTGAGTTTTCCGAAACGATCGACTCCATGTACATGTGGTACAAGAAGGCCAGATCTGCTATGCATATCCGGATGGCATGTCCAGATGTGAACCGCAACTTGTGCCTTCTAACCATCTTGAAGCTTTCCAGTAATAACCTCACCCGATCTTCCTTTCTATTTGGTCTGGACTTTGCCTGAGGCAGACTGATAATTGCTCTCTTTGCTCTCCTTTTTCTTTCATATTTGTCAGACTCAGCAAAGGCATCTTATCTCATAGCACGTCACTATTGCGGCGTCTCGCTGCGGTCGGCTGTGCTGTGTAGGACACCCTGAGCAGTTGGAAGTTGATTGGGACACAGTCCGTTCACCCAAATCTGTGGAGGCTATGCCAATCGGAGGACCGAGTTTCTCTGCGAGTAGTATTGATGTCTGGCAGATATTCTGTGACTACGGAGAAGGGTTATCGCGAGTCCTGTAGGAAAAGGGCAACGTATGAAGGTGCAAGAGACAATAGGGAGACGGAAAAAGAGACGAAGCTCGAAGGTTAATCCTCCAAAGCTCGCAGCCTCCTCCAACAAGGTCTCGAGTGTCCGAGATGCTAGAGAGTTGGCCACTCTTCAAAAGCGCCTTGACTAAATCGGAAGAAACTAATGTTGCCCGTGTCCACAGCCGCGATGACTATGTTCTTTTTGCCAGCCTTCAATGCTGCAAATGGATGCGGTCGTAGTTGAGATGCTATGGGCGGTGCTGGTGATGGCAACAGCCACGAGAAAATACGTCTGAATTTCGGTGGGTGGACGGGCGACATGACTGCTGCTGGGGGTGGTTGAACTGTCGGAGGTGCACCACGCCTTCGTGGGAGAGGCGGGGGAGTTTCTGGAAGAACATCGAATAGCTCCGTCAATTCGTACAGAGAGGGCACAAAAGCGGTTCGCGCGCTGTTATACAAAGGTCAGCTGGCAAGCCTCGCTAATCAATTTTATGATCTTACTTGATGACAACGATTTGGAAATCAGGTTGTGGCGGAGAAGTTTTCCGGAAGTTGGTCGAGGGCTTGTACATGTTGTAGAATATCTTGTATGGGGACGAGGGTACGACAGGAGTCGCACGACTGGAATGAGGCGCGATGGAGTGACCTGCAGGTATGACTCGCAGAGACTTAAAGATCTTTCCTGGATAAGACTCGTTATTGAGATGCTCAAGTGGAGTAGAATGGTCCCAACCATATGATTTATCGTGATGTATCCACCGACTTATCCTGAGTGGTCTCCACCAATTCAACGTCCCTCTCCAAAATCTCAAAAGTCTTGTGGCACACGGCGAGAAAATTGACGACAATCTTCGAAAAAATGACAGAGCTCCGTCACTTGTTAGGCGGGGTGGCGGTACTGGATAGCTAGGGCTGGGTGGATCTGTGCGGGTGACAACATACCCCAAACGCCTTAAGTATGCAAAGACCTATGAACGATATTGAGTTGTGTATGCCAAAAACTCTGTTATTTTTATCACCTGATATTTTTCGAGCGTCAGGTCTTCCTTTCCAATTATTTCTGCAAAAGCTTGTTGAACAGACATGGGAGCACCCTCAACGTCACCCAAGCCAGTCAAATCCACTTGAATGTCCTTCCAGCAGAACAGAGCACCCCTTTCAATCAGATAAAGCGCCTCTTCGGGCAGTAACTCTAGTCTCTTCTGGAGTTTTGTCGAGCCATTTTCTGTGGGCGCAGGCCGTGCTGCTGAATGGCCCATGACAGAAAAGTGAATACCTCTGGCGACCGTGACGTGCACACGAGATATTTGCGGGCACCAGATGCCATAGCTGGCGGATTTACTACGCGGTAATCAGTATTTCTTATTGCTACACAAACAGAAGAAAGATACCTAGATATAGCACGATCAGCTTTGAGGGCGTCGAACATCGCAGCGCGCGCTCTGTCCAGTACATGAACCTGAAGACCTGAACCCCCTCCTGGAGCGGGCTCAAAATCTTTCTCTCCACGTTTTGGGATTACCGGACGCACGGTGCCAATCTTTCTGCTGCGCTTAGTATACAATGTATGCACGTATGATGTTCACGGCTCACGGCAGTTTTGTCCAATCCAGACCTCCATCTTCATCACCCGAAGATTGTTCCTCTTCAGCTGGATCCAGAGCTGACGTCACAGGCTGAGGTCGTGGCCTTTCTAGCGCGTCGTCCATGTTAACGTCTGTGATTTGCAGCAACTAGAAAACGTCGGGTCAAGTTGAAGTTGCAGACAGGGCAAGTCATATCCATCATGATGATCAAATCAGGAAACATTCAAATTACGTTACCTTTTAGGTATAGTCACACGAACATTTTGGTGCGAAACTTTGGCGAAAGAGTTTCGGAGTCGACCACAATCATGGCAGCAGAACGGAAACCGACGTTCTTCCAGTCTCTCGCTGTGCGCAAAGTTCCTTGCAAGACGAGAATATGTTCTGTGCCAACGTGACATCCCTCATAGGCTGGCGGACTGGCAGGAACAGCGGTCGACCTACTATTCTTCCCGATAGACACCGTCAAGACGCGTCTGCAGTCTGCACAGGGATTCGTAAAGGCTGGCGGCTTTCGGGGAATTTACAAAGGTGTGGGCAGTGTGGTTGTTGGAAGCGCCCCAGGAGGTACACATGAAAAATGTTGTCGTGTGATGATCGTTCTGACACGGAGATTACAGCTGCTGCATTCTTTTCTACGTATGAAGCCATGAAGCACTCGATTCCTCTTCATGGCCAACTTGCGCCTGTGAACCATATGTTATCCGCGTCTGTGGCAGAAGTGGCAAGTTCTTTACTTGCAAAATTATTTTTCGCAAATGAATCTTTTCTCGCTCAGGCTGCTTGTTTGATACGCGTTCCTACTGAAGTCATCAAGACCAGGACGCAAAACATCGATGTATGGTGCTTCGACATCTTCGTTTAAAGCCGCAACGCTTGTCCTGCAACATGACGGCATTCGCGGGTTCTATCGTGGTTTTTGGACTACTATCATGCGCGAGGTAAACGAATGCATTCTCACGCCCTCTATGATGATCCACTAATCTAGTGCTTGTACTTCCAAGATACCCTTTACATCACTCCAATTCCCGCTATATGAGTTTCTCAAGCACCGATTATCAATATATCTGGACAGAAAACCCCTATATGCACACGAGGCTGCCGTCTGTGGGAGCATAGCCGGAGGAACTGCAGCAGCACTAACAACCCCGCTCGATGTCCTCAAAACACGCGTTATGCTCGATCTCAGAGTAGGTCTCTGTTATGAATCTTCATGGCATGTCTTAGACGTATTCAGGACCCTTCGAAGCAGCAAGTGCCGAGTCTTCCTGCGCGATTTCGGCAAATATACGTGCAAGAGGGCGCAAAGGTTCTTTTTGCAGGTATAGTGCCGAGAACGATGTGGATATCTGCTGGGGGAGCCGTCTTCCTTGGCGTCTACGAATGGGCGGTTCATGGTTTTATGAGCACCTGAGGGACATCATCTACGATTATTTGCACCCGCTCATCAGTTATCACCATATCATTTATTTACAGCGTACAGCAAGATCGATTGTGATAGATATACAACAATTAGGGTCAACTTTGCTGCTTTATGCTACCCAGAATACCCATTGCCCAACCTTTATCACCATAAAGCTTCTCAGCGAAGAAATTGCCTAAAACTTCTTGCAACTGCCCTATAGTTATAGCATCGCCCTCGTCCGTTGCATCTAGCGACTCAGGCATGTCTGATGCGGGATGCAGAACATGCAAAGCGGTCTGTTGGATACTCAACACGCGTGATCGCACAAATTAAAACAAATACTAACCATGACGGATTCGACGAGGGGGCCGGTCTCTCCTCGTGTACATTCACTTCCCACAACTTTCACTCCGCCACCCTCCACGAGTCCTTTCCTTACCGCCTCCTTTCCGATTCCCACCAGGCCACGGATGGCACCTTCCCGTGTGCCTTTGGATTTGTCTGATGATATGAGAGCAACGAGGAGTGTTTTCATAATTCGTGGTGAGAGTGATGGGTACGTCGTAGAATGTTGGGTAAGCAAACGGGAGAGCGTCTGAGCGGCAGATGTGCGCAAGTGGGTAGCATGCGATGGTGGAAGCGTGGAATGGAGAAGAGTTGACAGGATAGCTGGTAATAATTGGTGGAGCTGTACAACATCAATTTGCTGAGCTGTAACGGGTTGAGAGTGTCGCTCACATAAGGTTCAATGAATAATGTGTTGTTCTCGAAGATGGCGCTAACGACGTCCAATAAAACCTCCAACGACCGTCCATCCGCTTCAGTTTGAGCACCCTCTTTTAGTGCGGTCACAACGCCCTCTCCAACCCAGCGAATGAGGTAAGGCAAGAGCGCTTGTAGCCCGGCATCATTGCGCAAACTCGCAAGGGCTGCTGTCCGCTTAGTAGAGTCAGCAGTAGGCGGCAATAATGACGCTGTAAGCCGCGTATAATACAGCTGTAGCTCTCGTGATAGCACTTGTTTGACGAGATGCTGCTGTTGCTGTTGTTGCTTCTTGACAGTAGAACGGCTTTCTGACGGCGGGGTCAATGGGAATGCACCGTTTGCTTGGGGTGGTGATTTCGTAATTTCTTGATCGACGTCCTTCGGTATTGCTGGTGGATTTTCTGGAATGAGAGGCTGGACACCTTCAACTGCAAGCCAGTGAGCAGTCCAGCTGACCCCTTTTGGCAGGGTAATTTTCTCCTCTCGGAGCACGCGGTCAAAGTCGATCTCTTCGTCATCCACGAAGTAGACAGGGCCTACATTAGCCGAGTTCGGGAACGGCAGAGCGCGTCTAAATACTGGTGGATTATGTGGATTGTGACCATAAAGAGGTTCGATGTTCAGAACTCGAAGGGCCTGGTCAATGTCTGAAGTTGTTATCGTAGTTCGTCGGGCATGGCGCATGAACCGCGAGGCTTCCTATTATGTCCTTAGCTTTCTACTGAGCGTGTTTATACGCAAATCGCGCACCTCTATGACCTGATGAATGCGATACTCGACATCACTCGCAAGTGAGGATGCTACTGTCTCGGATAAGTTGGCAATGCCCAGCGACTCGGCGACGTCCTGCAAATGTCGGCTTCATCTCGTCGCATAAATTGACACTTTTGTGATGCATACTCTGACCGAGTCTGACTTGTATATCCCTGTTTGATGTGTCTGAGCAGCTTTCGCTTTGGGTTTGCTCATCGTGATCGACGTTAATGACAGCTCCTCGATTCCAGGCGCTTCACTATAATGGCTGTGTCACGTGCACATCAACCTGAACTTCGGAGTCGTCGCAGCCAGGCCCCCGGAAGCTCCCCCATATGTCTGTCCGCCCATCGACCTCATTTTGGCTCTCAAATCTGCTATTTTTCGGGTGTAAAATCTGCTATTCCGGACAGACATGTCACGTGTCACACGGTCTGACATATGTGACACCGCAGCAAGATGTGACACGACGAAGAACACATAGTATCTCAGTGAACAAGAGTGGTATGTAACGACGGATGCATCTCAAACACACCCATTGTACGTATCTGTGATATAGCATTAAGTAGAATTCAGCTTTCGTGATCCTACCCCCAGAAATCTTGAGTCTAGGTAATTTTTGCTTAACCTGTGGTGCGGTCAGCGCTACCCAGTGGCGAGCATTGGCATTGGACAGTTCCAATGCCCGTGAGTTTGTTGCTTTGAGAGCCCCTTTGCCAATGTGATAGAGAATGCTGCTTGCAGGAGCATGTGTATGGATCTCGTACTGGTAGCGGCTGGGAAGACGGGAAAATGATGGGACAGCATCGGGCGACACATCTTCGTCTTCATAGAGCTGTGTCGTACTCGTCGGCATTAGAAGCAGCAGCCTGAAACAGTGAACGTGTTAGAACAAATATTATGGCGCGGAATTTACTCACTGCAGTCTCCAGTGGAGGGTAAACTCGAAGTGAGAGAAAGGACAATGTGGAGACACTCGTCGTGGATTGAATGGAACCATAACAACTGTTGGCACCTTTCCTGTACAAGTCAAGCACTTCGCCAATGTAGAACCGTACAGCAGTGTGCATAATCACATAGGAGCCGCGTTCGAGCGGAAAGAGGCTAGATATATTTTTCGTAAGCAAGGTTCGGCAATTCTAAATAGCGTTGGTGTTGAACAGTCGACGAGGGGCGACATTTATAATATGACACACCTTGGGGCTGTATCACCCGAGCAATAGCATTCGACACCTGTTTCCAGCGCAGTTCTCGTGCCGTCTTAACTGGTGCAAAACTGCTATCTTGCTTCTGCAGGATAACAAGAACACTGCCTGTGAATCCTTCACAGCCTCCTCAAGGTCGTCACATAGTGCGGAATATGCTGTGACTTCTCGTGCAGCACTCTCGGCAGTCTGCAAATGGCCTATACCTGATATATCTTCATCATCCAGATTGTCGTCTGCCATATCGTCAAGGTCATCAAGGTCGGTATCATCGTGGTCTCCCAGATCGTCAATGACCTAGAAGCGTCAATCAAGGACAAACCACGAATTAATTATGATGACGACACATACCCTAGCATCATCCGATGCTTGCTGTTGGTGATTGCTAGATAGACGCGGGGCTCGCAGTGGAGTGAGCGTGAATGTCTTGCCGTTCGCCAAGATGGGCACTCGGATGCGGAGGATCTGCTTGCAAATCTGGGCAGCCTCACGGTAGGCAACCTCGACGATCACATTGAGCTGTTGAGTAGTAAATCGTGAAAAGCTGGTCTGTGTTGGTCTCAATTGATGGCTGTCTGACTGTCATTTTCCTATATTTTGTGATTGACAGCGCCTGACAGGTGCCGGCCGGCCGTCAAAAATCTGCTATCTAAGGACAGACCTCGGGTAAAATCAGCCTCAAATCTGCTATCTTAGGACAGACATTTGGTCAAATTTCGCTCTGAAATCTGCTATTTTGCGGACAGACATTTGGTGGAGCTTCCGGGGGCCTTCGCAGCCTGTGAAGTTATTACTTGGTCTTATAGACAACAGCCTGCATAGCTTCCAGCTGGAATCGATCTGAAGAAGCGATGACAGAAAACCAATACAACCTCGACAGTCCTTTGACCTTTACTTATAAAGAGGTCGACGGAATCAGCGTCCTGCTTGACGTCTATCTTCCACCACACGACGTCAACCAACAATGCACCCAACAGGTGAAGCACCGCCCGGCAGTCGTCTACTTTCACGGAGGAGGATTTGCCGTAGGAAATAGACGGAGCTGGTTCCCTACTTGGCTGAAAAGTCAGTTTCAGCCCTGCTCCAAGTCCGACCCCGCTGCCTTTCTCCCATGCTGACTACAATAAAACCTCTGGTACTAACGCGATCCCCCAAGGCCGTTTGTCCGCACGTGGTATCATATTCATCAGCGCGGATTATCGTCTTATTCCTCCAGGAACCGGATACGATGTGCTCGCTGATACCAAGGACGCCATCGCATTTGTCGCGGGAGATTTAAATGTTCAACTCAATCAACAGCAGGCTGGTCTTAGCTCTGGTTCACATTTCCGTATTGATCCCGCATCGATCGGTGTAGCTGGAACTAGCGCGGGTGGGTTCTGTGCATATTTATGCGCTATTCATGCAGTCCCGAAACCGAAAGTAGTTCTCAGTTTGTATGGTATGGGAGGCGATTTATTAGTAAGTCCCGTCTTCAGACCTCCAACAGTTTCTGATTGCATCAACATTCTGTACTTCAGACAGACCACTATATCGCTCCCAAGACGCAACCTTTCCTTCGGGGAAGAGAAATGCTAGATCCCGCACGGTTCTCCGAATATATACATCCGTTCGGCAGCCTCCCAAGTACATCAGACTCACCACTTGCATACCATCCACTGTCATATCACATCCCTGGATATCCTGCGAACCCACGAATGCTAATCTCACGCTTATACCTGCAGCTCGGGGTCGCCTTAGACTATATCACGGGCCAGCATGAACCAAGTCTCAGCACTACGTTACGCCAGGCCATCCATACTGAAGGTCCATTCGACGAGGCACTCATTGCTGATCACAAGAACATTTTCCCTCAGTTCAACGTTACATCGGATTGGCCGGCAACATACCTCATCCATGGAACTAGTGACACAGCTGTCCTCCTGCGGGAGTCTCGCAATTTGCATTCCTTACTCACGAAGGCTGGCGTTGAAGTCGTATTGGAAGAACTGCCAGGTCGAGAGCATTCATTCGATTATCAACCAGGCGCAGAGCTGGAAAACAAAGGATCGTATGATACAATTGTCCAGTTCCTTTACGGCCACCTAACTTAAAACCAGTACTTAATTTGATAGATGACTCGGACTGACTCTTAGTCACGGCGGCTAGATAGAGACACAGTAGACCAAAACGCAATCAACACATGTACAGCATCGAGTGCAGTATTTAACAGGCTTCCTCAGACGTGCGCGTTATGTTTGGCCGTTTCACAACCATGGCTTACAGAATTGTCCCCGTCGCCGAACCGGTGACAAACGAAGACATCGACAAATATAAAGCACTTCGCTTGACGTCCCTCAAAATTGATCCTTCCTCATTCAGTTCCACATACGAACGCGAGATTGCATTCACGCCCGAGATCTGGGCACAACGGCTCACATCGCGCTTTAAGCGCACATTCATCGCGTCCGTGAAGGACGAGGGGAGCATCGGTGTCGGCGAAACATGGGTCGGAATGATCTCGGTACTCGGACCTTCTGAACTGATTCCTGCTACATTGGAACCATTCGAAAGGGCGGGAGTAGGAGCAGACTGGGATATGTATTTCGTAGCCGGGATGTGGGTGCACCCAGAGCACAGGGAAAGGGGTCTAGGAACGAGTCTAGTGAAAGCAGGACTGGAATGGGTACAGACGAATGTGGATCCGATAAATGATTCAGAGGGGAAGAGAGATAAAATGGTCTTGTTATTGGTCGGGGATGATAATGCGAGCGGCCGCGCCCTTTATCAAAAGGTGGGCTTCACAACTTTGACAAGCATGCCCCAAGCAAAAGGAAATAGTTACATGGGTCTGAATGTTGCATGATTAGTATTTATTCACTTAAAGGTATTTGACTCCTTGGATATTCCCTTCGAATTTTCCGAGTCGTTTGCAATCAATGGGTGTGGCAACCTGGGCATCGGGTGTTCAGAGCTCCTAGAAAACTTTCCAAACTCATCTGAATATGAGTGACGCTGTACAGTGATATAATTACCAAGGGGTATACAACAATGCTAAAGGGTCTGTGATAATAGTCGTAGCCGTTCGGATCGTGATTCGTGAACTTAGAGCCGAGGAGAAGAAATCAACACGTCTTGAGACCTGTCTCCTTGTCACCATCGTCCTGAATATCCGCGCAATGCATTAAATCGTCCCGCTTCCGCAATCTCTTCCACACAGCCGGAACGAACCCTGCGATCTGCTGACCTATGGTTCTCCAGCTTGAGACCTTGGATGGGTCCACAACTTTCTCATCCTTGTCTGGTGGCCCAGCGGTATACAAAGACCCAAACACAGATAATAAAACCAAGGAGATTGCAACTGCAACAGGTGTGCGAGTTTCGACATCTGTCCTTCTGAAAGCAATCTCGCAAAATGCAATCGTAAACAAAATCAGGCTAGCGGGTGGAATGACTATGAGGGTGTTGATGAATTAGAGATAAGCAATCTCACCCCCACATCAGCAAGACATACGGCAGGCTGCAGATAACCGCAAGCCTCTCAAGACCGTATCGTTCAAGGAAGATCCGCTTCAAGATTGTGATCTGCACCATTATTAGCGGTTTCGGGGATAAATGATGACAACCTCTTACCGCTTTCACAGGAGTATCAGCACCCTTTGCGCGGTATTGTTTGAAAATAACAAGACCAATGATAATACTTCCAATGCTGCAGATGACAGAGCAATATATGACAATCTGTGCCCCTGACCTTGAACTGTCGGTACTGCTTGCATCTACACTTGCAATCGCCAAAAAGCCGATGTTCGTGCTAAGCAGGACAGTTGCCTGGTATATAGATGAGCTGCGTAAAACAATGACGCCTCTGTAAATCGTACCAGCAGATTGGAATCGCGGATACTGATATCGACCTTATTCACAAACTTCTTCCACCGCGCAAGTGAGAAATTGTCTCGAAAGCTGTGTAATTCACTTGCGTAGACTTCCACGGACTTCAGCATTAATGGAGAAAAAAGCGCCATCAACATCGAGCGTTGGTAAGGTTCCGAATTTGGCTCAGAGTAGTCGATGTCGAAATAGTCGTCGTTTTGACCGTATGAGCTTCGCAATATGCCGATATCTGATGCATGTGCGGGAAGTCAACAGAACACTTGACCCAGAAAATCGGGCACGAACGATATAGCACCATGAATTTTGCTATAACATATCATGGGTCAATGAAAGGAGTCGAAAATATATCAATTCGTACCTATTGTCCAAGCTGAGCGCCCATCCTCGCTCTTGCTCTGAGCTAAATTTTAAGCAGCTGAGCGCTGAAAAGCGAGTGGAATTCAAAATGATGGTCACGTACGCTCAATATTATTCACAACTTCCAACATGGTTGAGATATGATCTGCATCATAGGGTGATGTTGAGAATTTCGAAGTTACGCGATCTGTTTCGAGTTACCACCGACAGTATTTGACACAAAACAACGTAAATACCTGCAGATGCTTGGACCAAAATGCTCTTGAGTTCACGGATGACAACTTCTGTGACGTTGAGTGTATTCGGAAATAGCTCGCAATGCTTCCTGTTCGAAGTTGTACGACTCAATTATTTGGCAAGTTGTCCATTACCCACCAGTACTGTGCTTCAGCGCCTAAAAAGCAAGGTCATTCGTTTGCATGTTTGAGGATGAATTAAACCTTACATCTGGAAGTTGACCCCATAGATCCGTCACATTCTTCTGATAAGCAATCTAGGTCGAAACTTTGCAACCAAAAGACTCGCTTGTGAGTATGAGAAACAAAATAATACCCGAAATTGGGTTTTTGGTCTGCACCGACGGAAGATAAGAATAAGTCCAGAACGAGAGTCATCTCGGACTCGGCATCATCAGGGGCGGTCTCCTTCAAACCGCAGAGTAGCTGGGTGATGACGTTATGTAAGGCGCTCGTTTCACGACTCGGACACACAGTGCTGCACACTCTCTGTGTTCGGTGTTAACTTGGTAAGTGACGGACATTCTACTTACTCACCATCTCAGGCTCATCGTGAAAGTAGTTCGTACCAAAATCTGGATGCCGAACACTGATCCAACCGGTGGGGAGCCCAGATTGTCTACACAATGTATATGCAGCATGCTAGATTAGAACAACGCACGGCCTTACTTGTCATCCTGAACAGCGTTTGGAAGTGCTCTCTGAACATGAGAGTGATTAACTGGACTGGGTTAGAGGGTATTAATCTCCTTGGAGGTGAATACTGCAAGAGGTGGGTCACTAACGCTGGACTTCTTTTCCTTCGTATGGTGGATGGTGCCAACGGTCGAAAGGAGTATTCAGAATTCATTGGTATGTACCAGTCGTAACACTGGCTCCAGTGGTAAGGTGATCTAGAATGTTGCAACTCAGACCTCTGCTAGTGAGACTACCAAGCGGATTTTGGACATGTGGATTAAAACGCGGAATCGTCGTGGATGGAAGCGCTTAGCTAGGCTATAGGTGCACGTGAACTGACTGGTAGGGTACCACAAGGCTCAAGCTGCCGAATAATGCATCGAACAAGCGCGTAACAAGTTGAAACGAATATTAATAGAATGCTAACCCTGGAATGGGTGATTAGTAAGCTTGTCCGACTCGATCACTGCTAGCCGCTGCATCATATAGTCGACCGTACACCTTCCGATCTCAATGCAAACTGGTCGCCCGATGAGAAGAAAGCAAAACACGATAAACGAGGTACTCCTCCAAGCCCGACACTTTCTGAACGGATATTCCACGATGGCTGAGCTGGAACACTATCCAAGCATGTCAGAACCTCGCCACTATAAATGCAGCCAGTCATATTTTCGCAAGAACCAGCACCAACCAGGAGTGCCAATAGCAACAGCAACTCATCTCCATCCTGTGGCTCGATACTTGAGTCAGACTTAATTTAAACTTGTACTTAAAGGTGGCCATCGATTCGCGCTCTGACTCTCAAATCTAGGACAGCCTAATGATTTGTTTCATTTTCAAGTGTATACCCTTGGAAGAGCGCTGGTGCTGGGTCGTTCTTGACATATCTTTCACAATTGTTAGACCACTCACTGGCAGTACTGAGGCCCGCTGTGCAGGTGAGCATTCACGAATCATAGTTCTCCCGCTGACGAATGGTTCAACAACGAAAACAGATCAGCCGATCGATGCATGCTGAGTTTGCTGACATGTGTCATATCACAAAACCGGCTTATCTTTACGCACGCACATCGGGGTCTCATTGAAGTATTGTCATGCTGACAGTTGCCACTTCGTTGCTTTCTAAACGAGACGTAACGAAACTGGATCGTACTGCTTCACAAAATTTGAATTCAAGTCACCTCGCCGCTCGAGGCCACCTTCATCCGACAACAACACTAGTAACCGTCCCGTCAGTATGTCATATTTTCATTTATATTCATGTGCTCATGCATAGCACATTATATCCTTCAGCCCGTCTGTGGGCCAAAATTGTATGTCAGTCATCTCAGGTCATCCTTGGCAATGGCTCGATCCGCCTTCGAAGGATTCAAATACCCCAAAATCAAGACGATCCCCGAACGAATTTGAATAACACCATTGACTAACAACTGTGGGAGAGCTAGGCATGCCAATTTCTCATGCACTTGCAGCCCCAGCGGCGGCTGTCTGTGGTTGTGTGGGAGATCCTAGATGATCGCGCCCTGGACATATTATGATATTCCAAGGCAACTTTTCAAAAATGGTGGTCTTATGGCGTGTGTGCTTGAACTTTGCTGTCATTCATTCCGTCAGAGGTGGATAATCACAATGAATCCTGACTTAAGTAGCAAGTTCACATTTTCCGTCTCCATCCTCCCTTCATAATGCGCCAGACCAGGCTGGCAGTCAGCGTGTGGTCCCTCCTATGCCTTGGTGCACATGCAGCTGATTATTCGGATGCATCGTTGTATCAGAGCAAGCTAACAGTGGCAGGCAATATTCGTTCAGCCATGCTGGCTTCTATCAGGACTAGGTAAGCCACCATATCATAGCTCAACTGCAGGTTGACTCGTGCTGAGGTTTAGTTGGGAACAAGGAACTGCAGCGGGCGGCATACTCGAATTCGATGATTCAGAATACTCTGTCTTTGGATCTTCCCCATTTGTTTATTGCGGGATATCCCCCCTCTCAACTCTGCAACTAGCTTATAGCGCTGCTGTCAGGCAAAGTTCTGACGGTCGCCTCAGCCAAGAAATCGGTGATGCTCAAGACGGCGCTGCATTGGATGGTGCCTCCGCTGGATCTGCGGTCCTGCTGGGTAAACACCCCTTTGTTGTGTTGGAGAATTGAATTTTCAACTACTGAGACAGGCAGCTTTACTGATACATCTCGGCACAATTATTGGTTGAACGCGGCTGACGCCCAACTGAACTTTGTGTGTTCTGCAGTCACTTCTCCTTGGACTGACTGGTGACTCCTAATTCTTCAAGATACTCAACGTAGCTCCTCGTACCTCTACTGGAGCTATTTCTCATCGTGCTGACTCACGTCAATACTGGTTCGATGTTTGCCATCTGCAATATGTTTGAAAATGCTCAACATGACTAAACAGGGCAGATGGCGTCTACATGGGGTTCCCCTTTATTGCATACTTTGGGGCAGTCACCAACAACGCGACTCTCCTTCAGATTGCATACGATCAATGTCGCTTGTACCGCGATGCTTTGATTCTAGACGGTCCCACTGGAAAACTCTGGGGACACATTTACTCTGACGATACAAAAGAGTGGATAGATGAAGGTATCTGGGGAACTGGTGAATACAACCGTGGTCTCTACAAACGCAATAAACAGCTTACGATCGCACGAATTTTATGCAGGTAATGCGTGGGCAGCACTTGGCATGCTACGTGTCGCAGTGACGATCCAGAAGACCGAGCACTCTTCAATGATGGCTTCTCAGATTGCTGCTCTTACCTCATGGATAAAGGAAATTCTAGACGGCGAATTCGCTGCCCTGGTAATGACGAATCTCTCCTGAGCCCCTTGATGACTGACATCATGTTCTCGACACAGACGTCAGACAATTTGATTCCGGACTATATCACCGGGGGTCCGTCCTTCTCTGATGCAGCGTCCTCCGCTGCCCTCGCCTCTGTGGCATATCGGGTTGCACATTTATACCCCCATCAATTCGGCTCAAACTACACAGATGTGGCTGCGAAAATACGAAATGCCGTTGTGGGCAATATCACGAACCTCGGGACCCTGCAGCCTATAGTCGATCCCTTGGCTTGGACTCAAACAGGATTGCTGAGTACAGAGTCACAGGCATTTGGGCTGATGATGTTCGCGGCATGGAGAGACTGGATTGGCGTCTGAAATTTGAAAGCCAAAGCATTTTTTTTCTTCTCCCATCATCTCTGGTTCCACTCGTTTTCTTGTTACGCTCATTGGAAACAAAGCCTTCGTTTCTCATTCGCCACTCCTTTCGCCTCTTTGCAACAAATTGTACTCCAAGTTGTCATGCAGTGCACTGTCACTTGTATACCGAAACACTTATCTTTGCATTTATTCATCCAATAAATGAGACACTCTTCGAGCAATCGACATCCAAAAGACACGTGTACGAACTTCAATCGAAGGCAGCCATGAGCCATGATACAGCCCGAAGATTCGAATATGCAAGGTAGTATTGTCACGTCATACACTCATGCAAAGGATACAGTGAGACGTGAATTATGTCCAACCGATAAGAAACCGTAGCCCAGACAATACCCTTCACGAAGAAGGGAAATAATAAAAAATTATGCGGTAATCCTCAACAGGCCCGAGGGCTCCAGTTGAAAACGACAAACCCTGGCACAAGCCACGGGATCTTCCCCGCGTTGACGGAAAGAACCGTCATGAAATGTCCAGGCGACAAGCCCCCTGCGAAATCTTATCATGAGCGTCAAGATACGGTACAAATATATAACAACTTACGATCATTAAAGCCACGACGGGCTCCAAAAGCAATATGCAGATAATAGAACGACCACCAATTCCGTGGAACGGCGATGATACTCTTCCCAGCGGAAGGACGAATTTTTAACAAATTCCGCCACCGAAAGTGAATTCGGCAGGATATATTCTCAACCGACTTCCACTTCGCTGCGTGCGTACACACAGAGACCCACATACACCCGAAACAACTCAAGGAGTAGTGAGTCCGACTCGAAGTTAGCCTCGTTGGATTGACAGCATGCATCAGCAGCTTGACATCACGACAGAGCTTTGGATATGGCATCAGTCTGTGAACGATATGTCATGGGATCATGATCTGGTAGGGCCATGTCCTGGTATTTTTTCAACAGCCCAGGGAGACTTGAGTCATGGCGCGCCAAGCACGGAAGCACCGATAGACTTCCTTCAAGGTCATCCTCGTATGCTTTGTCCATGACTTGCCCCGTGGGCAACGCATCGTGTTCGACTGCGTGGGCTACGATATGATTGCGTAGTATGCGCAAATGAGTGCGGCTATGCACTGGCCATCGATGTGACTGCGTGCGTGGTATACACGTATCTGTGCGGGTAAGCACTGGTCTGGTCAATAGTATGACTGCGTAGTATGTGCGTTTCTGTGCGTGTGAACACTGATCTGGTCAACGGTATGACTGCGTGGTATGCGATCGTCAAATGCTTTCTAGTTTGGCGGGTCAAGGAGGGCAATGCCGCGCGTGAACGCACGAATGCACCGATAAACCACGCTCGACGTATCGAAGCGAACAGTCCTCGTATGCAACATACAAAGCCACTTGACCCTTTGTATCATTGTCATGGTAACAATTGGTCATGGTTTCGTGTTTGTCAAATTTGTGTAAGGCATCGATATCAAGTCATGTATCGAGAAAAGGATCGCTTTGACGCCTTGACAGCTTTCGTATAGCCCTGTGCAGTGAGTGAAACGGCGAGGTACGGCCGGAAGGCATTTGCCTATCTGGATCGTTTTGCCTCGCTGCGAAATCTTCGTAATTCACAGAGGAAGCCGATAAGAGGGCCTGCTTGCCACTCCCTCGTACTTCCGACTCGAGGAAGATCATGAACACAAGCTGAAGACTTGGACGTAGTAGAGAATGCACATCATGAAAGGGAAAGAAGCGATGCGATAAGAAGAAAGAAGATTGGAGTCCCGATTATTACAAGAGCGGAAATTACCGGATTTCAACTGTACAGTTTAAGATAATCGCCGCTCGGCGACGTAACTTACATCAATTTCCAATTCAAGGAAAACTGTCAACTACATATGAGGCTTATCACAGGCCCTGCTGCTGTCGGAGGTTCCTGCAGGTCCCTAACTTTGTAGTCCTCAGCTTGACCAGGGTTGAATGGGACCTACGATTGCCAAGGCCGGCTCTATCACATCACCAGGTTCATTAAGTACTTGCTGCCACGGCGTTGAACGGGTCATACTTGTCAAACACTTGGACTGACGCTCATAGACAGAGTGATATCTGGAAGTGTGAAATCTTAATCCATCAGTACAGATCGAAGTTACAAGACTATCGTAGTACACATGTAGATATAAGCATGAGATGGGTTAGACTTGAGAACCAGCAGTCTTCCGGCTCAGATTCATGAGCGGAGCCGGTGAATAGATAACAGATAGCGAAAATATAGTTAAAGTCCAAAACCTCTATCAAGCATCGGTCTTTATACCCATGCTCGACGTTTTCTCGGTGTCGGTACAGGAGGTGCATCGCTCGGTGAAGTGAAAAACCCGCCAGCAGTGATTCCCATTGCTTCTACCCCCGAACCACTGGCCTTGCGAAGCGTCCCACGACCAATGGATATCGAACCCCTCCCAGAACCAAACACACTCCCCGGATGTTCTATGCTGATGGACGAACGCGCTGGGCTTCGATGGCGGCTCCCCACACCATTGTGGCTATCATCATTAACAGAGCCTACCCCACTTCCATTACCCCGACTTCCATTCCTGGCCCCACTTGCAGGAAACTTTCGCCGCCGCGGCTGGTATGGGAAGGCATTTGCATTTGCACTTGCATCTGCATCTGCACCACCACCAGCCCATACGCTGGCCAGATTCTCGTTCGTGGAAATCCCCGACCCACTAGGCCCAATCGGCATGACCAACATCGCATCATCAATTTCTTCGTCATCGCTCCGTAAACTCAATGGTCGTGCCTGTTTGGGCTGTGAGCCTGATGAACCCTCCGATGATGGTGGGGAAGGTGACCTTCGAGTGGACGGGGGCACTGCCTCTGCGCGATCATGGACCTCGTCAAATATTTCATAATAGCGCTGGATACAGAGCTTGATGATAGATCCCAGAGTAGTACCGCCATCTGGAGTCTCGGTGGGAGGCGTTGGTGCGGCCGGCGTGGGCGTGGGCGTTGCAGTAGTGGAGGATGAACTGGACATTGATGGTCCACTTGGTATTGAACATATGAGTACATCTTGCATCGGGTCCGCGCTTTTGACTAGGTTGGGACAGACGACAATAGCAAGATTGTGTGCATCCATGCGATTCACACTTGATCGTAGAGAAACTTCGTGCAGCACGTCTAAATCGGTGTTAGGTGTATGTCTTCTGGCATATCAAAGGACGGCGCAGCTCACAAAGAATGTTGCTCAATAAGATATACATGCATGGCATAAGCTGTGGCAGGAGTGTGTCGCGAATATATGTTGTAGCAGCGATATCGGCCGGGTCATTCGATGGCGTCGGGCATCGACGTATGTCGGGATACAGAGAGTCTGGGAATGGGGGGTCGGGAAGGTCGCGGAGATACTTCTTCAATAGCACAGCTGCAAGATGGGGGTCATTGAAGCTTTGGAGGGAAACGACTTGGCCTGGTCGAGTGTTATAATATGCAATTCAATGTCAAAAAAGAAAAATACCTCTGTCGTAGGCCTCTTGAACCTGTTTGAGCAACGCGGAACTCGGTGATCGCCTGAAAATCCCTTCCTCGTTCAGTCCTATGTATGTTTGATAAGTTCAGGCAACGATAGCAATCATCCTCGACACCCACCAGAGGTCAGAAGGTCCTGGATAGCATCTTTCAGAACCCGCGGAATGCTACCCTTTTCGCCATCGTGACCCATGAGTTCTTCTAAGGGCACACCAAAGACGCTAGAGCGAACAGGAGTCGGTAGTACAATGTGCTGCTCCTGTTTCATATTCTCTCTGTAGATGTATTAACAGACGTGTCAAACAGGCTAGAGTGCACTTACTTGTACACCGCAGGTGGAATGTCAATTTGAGTCAATGGAACCTGAGTCGCCAGGTCCGACAGAGTGTCGACGTAGACTATTTTGCGAAAGAATTTTGGGCTGTGGAACAATGTTTCAGCGCGATAAGAAACCAGGACAGCGAAACCGAAAGACCTGACGACAGCACCTGCCAACGAGAAAAGCACTGCGGAGGGCAGGTAAAAGGAGCGCCCGGCTGAACGAATGATTTCACATACTTTTCGAGAAAAAAGAAGAGTGTACAATAAGCTGCGCTGAACATTCAGTTGCTTGCATCGTGAGTAAATAAAGGATCCCTGACCAGCCGCTTCAAGTTCTTGCGGTACTTCCTACTCAGACTTCGATATGCCTTCCAAACCCAGTTCCAGTGGGGAGCGTAGCGACCACCTGCTGCGAAGAATACCACAGTGTAATCGGATTCAACTGGAGAGAACGGAGTGAGACCAGCAGATAGAGATAGCGCTAGGGACGAACCAAAGAGATCAAGGTATGACAAAATTCGCCTGACAGGGTATGAGGATAATAACTGGTTGCATTCTGCACAGACACGTACTGCAACAGTAGATCATAGGAGACCTCTTGTGGATCAGGTAATGCTGAGGCACTGATAATGACCCTGCACAGTGCAGCCCACGTTAGTTATCTGTCACCAATGTCCAAGGCAGTACGGGAACTTACATAGGCCGAGTCCTAGGGTGGAAACGAACTATGAATAGCTTGACAGCTGCTAACCATGTATCGCACTTACTCGAAATCGACACCGGCTTGGAAAATCACCTTGCCCATAACCTCCTGCACTTTATCCCTTGCGTCGGGCTCATCTCCCGTAGCGCCCGGGGTTCGCTTCCATGGAGGATTGAATATTTTTCTTCGATTGAGCAGAGAATGAGGACCTGAATCGAATGATCCCAGAGGAGATGTTGGAGAAGATGGCGCAAGTGAAAGAGCAGCAAGTCTCTGCTTCAAGCTGGGCGGCATCTTGAGGAAACGTTCAAGTTGTTACAGGTTGTTACAGGTCGAAATGGTACAGAGAAGAAGTCGAAACTTAGACCGCAGCTGAGCTGACTTTTGCCAACGAGGCTGGCGTGTGTTGTGTGTTGACAAAGTTCTGTCCAACGATGGTGAAACGTTGTAACCATGGGTGCCTGATATTATTATCACATTCTCATGTTTGTACAGGAGCGCAGCCCAATTAGCAAGTCAACAATAACGACATCGACGACGACTACGAACAAGGTCACTCGATACTATACTAAGTGTACTGCAATATGGAGTCTAGATTTTGCGCTGGCAGGCGCAGTCTAGTAATATACCTTTTGGTGACTCTGATGGATGTAGCCACGGCCGTGCATGATAACGAAAAGCAATCTAGGGTCAGAAAAGAAAGTGGGGCGAGTCGCTGCTGAGTTTCATGGGCGCGTTAGGATCATTGAGTGGCAAGGCAACGTCGTCTAGTCAAGGTTATTAAATACTCAGACTAAGCATCGATGAGCTTCACCGGGGCTCGGCCAACAATTCGGGCTGCTGCGCCGGTCCCCGAGGCTGGCAGTGTTGCACCACAATTGGATTGCAAAATGGAGCACGATGATAGGTCTTAGACGAGTCATCGATGATGCTCCCTATCATCACGGACACTAATAGTTAGTGCGTCAAGACCAAGCTTGAGATGGGCTGACGTCACCTCCGTTGCAGATTAGTATGTGTACGACACGGCAAAAGCCCATATCCGATGAGTCAAGTAGCGGTCCTTCCGCAAGGAAGCGTCTACGGTCGATCGATTTTTGAGTCGCCGACCATCAGCAAACTGAAGAGGTTAGCATACGAATGACAAAGCTACCATATGTAGCTCGAAGAGTGAGTAGTTTGGTGCCATGAGTTTCGAGCTTCTGTGGGATGTGAAGCTCGGATAGTGCGTACATATACCCCACAAGGAGGAAATGGCAAGCTTCAAGGCACCTTTTCAGAAAACTGTGGTGCCTTGTCGCTTGTAGTTTCCCCTGTGCTTATACGGTACAAGCCCATCCGATGTCACGGCCGGGACAAGTAGCAGTCTGTAGTAATCTGACCGTAAGGATACGTTGATGGCGGATCTTTTGGATGCTGATTTTGAAAGATATCTGTATAGACGGAGCAAAATGTCGCACGAATGACAAAGTCTCCACCCCCGAATCAAGAGTCGTTCCTGTGTCGTTCTGGGAGTGTGGTTATGGGCCTATTTGATTGTTGGTGGGATGTAAAGCTCTGGTGTGATCGAAAACTTAGGGCGTATATTCCAAAGGAGGGAATGAGAAGCTACAAGACGTCATGGATGTTCTGTGAAAAGCAGCATTGTTTAGGACATGGCGTCAGGTTCAAGGTTGAGGCGAGAGCATGGGCAGTACGCCAGAAATGGTCTTCTCAATCGGGAGGAGTGTATACCGTCTTGTCTCTGCCCAAATTGCTTTAGTTTGGACACTTGTTATTGGGATGGTGTTGATACTCCACTTACCTTGACGGCGATACTTGCCACCAGCATGTGTCCGTGAACAACACGTTTACGTTCATGGATTGCTCGAACACCAAAACACTGATCGGCTGGCACCAAGTTTGTTTTGCGTCATTTGACCTACAGATGGGACTGAGAAGTCTCCGGGGCCCGACCTCTACACCACTTGATAGTGATAAGAGGGTCACAAGTGTTCATCAGGTGTGGGTGAGGAGTCACTCCAACTTCGAGTCTCGTGGCTGTAACATGACAAGAACGGGTTCATGCTATAACCGAGTGAAAGCTTCGAGTCAGTTCAATTGACATTTTCTCCTCAATCGGAGCTCTTGGCTCAGGCTTTATCTTCGGCATCCGGCAGCATTCACATTCAGTCGCAAGCATGTATATATATCTAATCACAACATAATCATTGATAAGCGGTCATATTCTAAGAAGTGATGAACCCACCTGAGCAAGAGGACGCAGACCTGGATGAGGAGAAAGCGGCATCAAAGCGGCCGACAGGCAGTGCATGCAGTCAAACTTTCCTCTCATCACAATGATATCACCCAGCGTCAATCATGAAATGTCTGAAGACAGCCTATCCGGGATGCCATCGAAAGATTCGAATTTCATGATCACAATCGATATGAAAACGATGCGGAGAAAGGACACACCGATAGAACCTTCGAACTTTCGATGACGAATTCTGATGCTACACATCGCTCACACAACTCCGTTACGCTATACGGGCTGGTATCAAGTATCTGGCAGTAGAAGCATGGCACAGCACATCACATCTTAGCCGTCAATCCCCAGCGGCCACCGTGGCGGTTTGCCATTGATAAGAGAACCGAAAGCCCCGCGGGATATCTACTGCTCTGTGATGCGAGCCGGTGAAAACGACAAGGTGACCTTCAGCGGCGGAAAAGCTGAGTGAAACCAACGGATTGATTTGCAGAGGAAATAAGAGGCCCTGAGCACGATTGCCATAGAAAGAAACCGGACTTCCCAAAGAACAGGTGCATATGCATCATAAGCGTAATGGGTGTTTTGAATGGCCCCTACAAAGACGACCGGCTAAAACTTCTAAAAAAAAGATAGTGTACCCGGTTCTTACTCACCACCACGCCTGGACCTGTCAGTCCAATCGGTATCTTCAGGCCGTCCGCAAGAACTCGCATTAGAACGTATGTATGATTGCTTCTGAATGTCGAAACATCCAAGACAACACCATGGCAAAACATGGCACTAAGTACTTCCGTTAGCTCCAACTTGCCGCTCGGAGGTCAGTCAAGACTCAACAGTTTAAGCAAATCTAACCCTTCTCAGCAACTTCCCAGGCCCCACGACTCCGGCTATTGCAATAGCCATTCCGAATTCCTCAAGAATGCAGTTGAATCTCTAATAAAAAGCAAGACAAAACTTTCATCAGATGGACCGTCTTCGGGCACGACTTTATTAGCCTCTCCCTATTCACCCCAACGACTTGGCAGGATGTATCACAAGTCCATGTTCCCCGACCTCCCTGTTGTGCCAGAGGCTAATGTCCATCACTTGCTCTTCAACCGGCCAGACCAGCAGGCATGGCCAGATTACACGCTGTACGTGAATGCAACCACTGGTAAACAGTGGTCTTTCCGTCAATTCATAGAGCGTGTGCGCGACGGGGCCACCGCTCTAGGAAGTGATATCGATCAGGGTGGCCTTGGTATCTCTCTCGCGAATGGTGAGATCGTCGGGATCCTAAGCGAAAACAGCCTGGTACGCTTCTGTCCTAGTCAGCAATATAATATAAACCTATGCGCAGATTCAGGACTATATCGCATTGTTGCACTCTCTGTTGGCAATTACAGTGCCTTTCGCCATGATTTCCGGGTATTCGACTCCTTTCGAATTCAAACACGCTGTCACAGTATCGCAGGCGACCCGAATTTTTGTCAGCCGCTCATTACTCCCCCTCGCTTTGACTTCGGATATCCCAAATGACCGAATTTACTTGCTGGAAGGTCACAACGAAGGTCGCTTGAGTTATGAAGACCTTGTCAACCGCGCTAAATACAATCGAATACCTCGCTTGCCTGTAAAGCATGCCACACGAGACACTTTGGCATACCTGGTGTTCTCGAGCGGAACAAGTGGTCTTCCAAAAGGTATGTATGTTCCGCTAATTTTTATATTATAACCATATTAGAATTCCACCCTGATCATTCATCCTTCAACAGCGGTTATGATATCTCACGGAAACTTAACGAATTCACTCCTTCAGGTCAAGGTTGTAACAGAAGAAGTGAACAAATTCCAGAAGGTACTTATCCATTTTCTCTTGTGTGGAAATACGCTCAAATGGCGAGTTAGCCACCTGTTTGGAATGGTCCCAATGGCATGCAGGTGCTATTTAATGTTCTCCCGATACACCATACGTATGGCTTGCACGTGTCTTGTTTCCGGGTGTTTTTTGCGCCACTCACCATCGTCTTGCTCCCGAAATGGGACGTCAAGGCCTTCATGGACGCTATTCCTAAGTATGCAAATTCCTCAACGCACATCTAGATGATAACTCAATCGTTTTAGATTTCGCGCCACCACTTTGTACCTTGTTCCTTCCTTGGTCCATCAGCTCGTCCATCGTCCTGAGTTCCAGGCCGCCGACCTCAGTACTGTCCAAGTCGTGCATTGCGGAGCTGCCTACTTGCCTGTGTCCCTTTCGGAAGCACTGCTTTCTCGTTTTCCGGGCCTCGAGCGGATAGGTGAAGGTGGGCTGCAAAACTTCCTTTTGGCTCTACACATTGCTAATCTCTCGTAGGCTATGGGATGTCTGAAAGCGTGAGTTCTGTTGTCTGGTGAATCATGTGTCTGTGGCACTGACGTCCGGCTCTTCACTTATCAGACAATATCTATTGCTAACAAACCCGTTCCCGGCGTGCTTAATGGGCGGGCGAAAAACAAGCCAGGCTCCACAGGCGTCCTGCTTCCTGGCATTGAGGTTAGGGTGGTGCGTGAGGATGGAACGCTGGCCGCAGTGAATGAGCCCGGAGAGCTACACGTCCGAGCGGGATGTGTTGCACTTGGATACCGTAATAATCCAAAGGCAACTAAGGAAACGTTCGTTGACGGATGGCTTCGCACCGGAGATAGGATACGAATCGATGAAGACGGCGTTTTGTTGTGAGTGTCTTCAAACACCGATGAAAGCCCCTCTAATTGCCACGCAGCTTCGAAGATAGAGCAAAGGTACGAGCTACTGAGGGACAAAAAATTGCTCTAGCTTATCTATATGATGTGATCATAGGACACACTCAAGGTCTCGGGGTTGCAGGTCTCTCCTGTAGAGATCGAAAACACACTCCTGGTGCACCCAGATAAACTTATTATCGACGCATCAGTCGCGGGCGTGAGCGGCGGGCGCACTCTTGACGAGCGGATACCCCGGGCATGGGTCGTTTTGTCCCCTGAGGGTCACAAATTAGGAGCTTCTGCAACGATGGCAAAGCTCGACGCATGGGTGCGCGAGTCGTTGAGTAAATACAAATGGCTCCGCGGAGGCATTGAAGTGGTCGATACCGTGCGTTTTAGTTTCTTTTTGAATGTGTTGATGTGCTTATGCAGAAATCACCAGATTCCAAAATCACCGACGGGAAAGGTATTAAGGAGACAGCTGGTAGAGAAATATGAACACGGGCGGAAGGCAATTAAGGCCAAACTCTAGACGAACATCATTGGATATCTAACGGAACTTTAACATGAAAGGAATTTATACCCGTTTGGTACCTTGTTTTATTGCATAGATCTTTGGTCTAGTACCATGCACGCAGGTCCCATCTAGGTGGTGGATGCGTGATTCCAAGATGGATCTGATATACCGAGTAGCTCCGTTATCTTTGCCAGACCTCGCTGGCAAGGGGTCGTACGTAAACCGATCAAGTTTCTTATCATCATGTTGGGGACTCCGGCTTCATTTTATCGCATAAAAGGACAGGTGATTCTGGTGATTACCGGAAGCCCAGGTTGCCCAGTTATATACTTATTAGCTGAAAGGCTGAAGTTTCGGAAATTGCCCAGTGGCCAAGCATGTACTTCTACTCTGACCTGCTGACCTGTCACAGGACATGCTCTTTGAAAATCTCGGGGACGCAAATATCCCCTGTCGAAATCGAGAACGTGATCCTGGCACACCCCGACAAGCTCATTACTGATGTGAGTGTCGCGGGCGTACCTCGGACGAACGCATCTCGTGTGCATGGATCGTGCTATCTCCGGCAGGCGCTATGCTCGGTGAGAAACACGGCTCGATGCATGGGTGCAGGGGCAGCTGAGTCGGTACAAGTGGTTGAGGGGGGCATTGGCATTGTGGAGACGGTAGATTTTTTTTCTCGTGTCGCGTTGGGGGTGGGTTGATTGTGTTCACTTGGGTAGATCCCGAAGCCGCAGACTAGCAAAGTGTTGAGGCAGATGCGGGTAAAGGTTGGGTAAAGGAGTATGAAAGGGAGGTGAAAACGAAGGTGAAATTGTGAAGAAGCAACAAAATTTCTTTCGAGTACACTGCCCTCTATCTGAGCGTGAATAGTTTCCACAACATGAGCATATCTCGAGCTTGGAGGTGCCATCCACTCGCGTGCATGCAATATTCATTAAAATATAACCACTAATGTTGATAGCCGTGGCGATAACTAGCAAGGGAACGGTATAAATGCGCTCAAGCACAAGTGACAACACAAGCGCCTGGATATACACCCCACTAGTGACACCACATGAGACAGTTTCGCCGCTGCATCCCCATCGTGAAAAGCAGCAGGATGTATTTTCGAACCCCAAAGGTGCTGTGATAAATGAAAAGAATGTTACATACAACGGGTGAGCGCTTCTCAATTGTACGAAGGGAGGTCTTAAAGCAGTCATCACCACGGAAAGGTCAACTACAATGTGTACATGTTTCGGTGGCACCAAGCACACTGATGGCAGATTAGTGGATTGAGTGGAAATGACTCGAATGGTGCTTACACAACAGCCGCCAGTCTTTACGCGCTGGGGTTCATTTTGGCCAGTAGTGTCCGTCACGGATCAGCGGTGTCGATGACGCTCGAATTAGCGGCGGCCGCAGGTGGGTAAGGATTGTGTAGTGGCTTGAAACAATAATATTTAGCTCAAGCATACGTAGTTAATGAAATAGAATGACTTACTACTCTGGAATACTTCAAGTTGTTACTTACAGCTTTGCCCCAGAGGTCTTTGAGATCATTTGCGAGTGGGGAAAGATTTCCAGCGAGGTTTCTTTCAATGCCCACCCCCGAACCCGAACGCCTCTCGCACGCCAAACCAGCAGATGATAACACAACGACACCTGCGAGAATGAGCAATCCCCGGGGCGGTGGTGGCCCGGGGATTGCTGACTCTCGCAGGTGTCGTTAACATTAAATTCACTAACCTGCTTCCCATCCGCCTATGCGGCCGAGATCGGCGAGCAATATAATCCTGGATACAGTCAGAAGTAACGGAGACGCGCAGCTGCTCAGAAACCTCACGCACAGCTGTGCGTCTCCGTTACTTCAGAGTCGTGGAGGATGGCGGAGTGAAAGTTGTGGGAAGTGAATGTACAAGGGGAGAGACTGACCCACTCGTCGATTCGGTCATGGTGGAAAGCCGTCATGTCGACGGCAACACTAACGAACAGACAATAACGTGGAAGAGAGTATGATTGAGGATGTGGAAAGGAGATGATCTGTACATGTAAGTACGTGAACAGCGCTGTATATATAGGGATCAGTGTATTACGGTGTCCAATCAGCTGCGACGACGCATCTAAGGACGATGATGTCGATGACGTAGTAAGCCGAGGTCGGCTTACACATGGTTAGTATTTGTTTTACTTTGTGTGATCACACGTGTTGAGTATCCAACAGACCGCTTTGCATGTACATTCTGTATGCCGCATCAGACATGCCTGAGTCGCTAGATGCAATGGACGAGGGCGATGCTATAACTACATGAGCCATAATACAGTCCGAAGATTCAGACAAACAAGGTACTATTTTCCTACATGCAAAGAAAAGGATAATATTGAGACGTGAATTCTATCCAACCGGCACAAAACCGTAGTAGCCCAGACAAATACCCTTCACGAAGAAGGAAAGAAGATTATGCGATAACCCTCAACAGGCCCGAGGGCTCCAGTTGAAGACGACAGACATCCCAGTGGCACAAGCCGCGGGATCTGCCTCGCGTTGACGGAAAGAACCGTCGGATAAAGTCAAGACGGCAAGCCTCCTGCGAAATCTCGTCATGAGCGTCAACATATGGTACAAAAACATAAAACAACTTGCGACCACGAAAGCCACGACGGGCCAATGGCATGGGCAAAAGAAACATATAGGTTACAGAAGAAGGATGAATTTCCGCCACCGATTCGAAGTAAATTCGGCAGGTATCCGCAGGATATATTTTCAACCGGCTTCCACTAGCTTCGCTGCGTGCGTACACACAGAGACCGAGTAGCTCCGTTAACATTGCTGGCAAGGGGTCGTGGGGTCGCACGTAAACCGGTCGAGTTTCTTACCATCATGATGGGGACTCCGGCTTCATTTCATCGCATAAAAGGACAGGTGATTTTGGTGATTACCGGAAACCCAGGCCGCCCAGTTATATATTGACATTCTCAGCTGAAGCCTGAAGCCTCGGAAATCGCTCAGTGGTCAAGCATGTACTACAAGTCACTCTACCCTGACCTGCCAAAGGTCCCCGAATCAAACGCCCACCACTTGATTTTCAACCGGCCTGACCAGCAGGAGTGGCCAGATTACACTTTGTTCGTGAACGTGGTTACTGGCAAGCGTCGTTCATTCAAGGAGTTTGTTGAGCGTGTCCGCGATGGAGCAACTGCGCTTGGTGCTGACGTGGCGCAGGGTGGCCTAGGTCTTCGTCCAGAGAATGGAGATCTTGTAGGCATTTTGAGCGAGAACTGTCCGGTGCGTTGCAAACATCTTTCCTATCGAGTCTGTAAAGTGAATAAGACCATTTTCAGGACTATATCGCGTTGATGCATTCGCTACTAGCCATCACAGTCCCATTTGCGCTATTTTCATCCTACTCAACGTCGTACGAGCTCAAACACGCCAATTCGCTCGCGCAGGCGACTAGGGTCTTTGTCAGTCCCTCGTTACTACCTCTCGCCTTGACCTTGGGTCTCCCAGCGGATCGGATCTACCTCCTAGAAGGAGAGAACAAAGGCTATATAAGCTACGATCAGCTCATCTCCTCTGCTCGAAAGAATAGCATTCCACGTCTGCCAGTCCGTCATGCTACAAAGGACACTCTGGCATACCTGATCTATTCCAGTGGAACAAGCGGTCCTCCCAAAGGCATGTGTCTCTTTTCTGGTCTTCATCGCGGAAACATGTACGCACCATCCACGCAGCATTTCTCACTTCGTCATACAGCCGTCATGATATCCCACGGAAACATCACCCATACCGTCCTAGGACTGATGGTACACGGCATGGAAGCGGCTAAAATTCTAGAGGTACGTATCCGACGTAACTTCCTTGGTCTGCGCAAACCCTTTGTCAGCCACCAGCATCCGACACCCCTGATGGGGTTCAAGTATACTTTAATGTCCTTCCAGTCTACCACTCTTTTGCCCTCTTCATGACCACATTTTTGAACTTTATGCAACCCTGTACGATAGTCATGTTGCCGAAGTGGGACATAGATCTGTTTTTCGACAGTGTCCCGAAGTAAGTGCCTTTTATATGCTGCGCTACTGATATTCATGCTTGGGTCGTGACTAGATACCGCATCACGACGATAAGCCTCGTCCCATCACTGGTACACCAACTGGTTCACCATCCCCGCTTCAAAACTACCGATCTGAGCACAATTAAAGGCATAGGCAGTGGTGCTGCATACCTCCCGCCCCACCTTGCCGACCAGCTTTGCGCCCGCTTCCCAGAAATGGACGCACTTACCGAAGGTTCGCTCTCCCTGCCGTCCTTGTTTGTGGATCATTGTACTACCATACACTTTCACAGGCTATGGTTTGTCCGAATTCGTAAGTGATCGTTCCCTCAGCAACCATACCAACCTTACCGTCAGAACTAGACAATGATTGCCTCCCTGAAACCTATCCCTGGCATGCTCAACGGACGCGCCGTGACGAAGCCTGGGTCTATTGGAATCCTCTGCCCTGGCGTCGAGGCTCGCATCATCCGTCCTGATGGGTCCCTCGCGGGTGTGAACGAGGCGGGTGAGCTCCTCATACGTGGGGGCGCAGCAGCGCTGGGATACAGGGGGAACGAGAAGTCTACGCGGGAGACATTCGTTGACGGCTGGGTGCACACGGGCGACCATATACGGATTGATGCAGATGGGGTGCTTTTGTGAGTTAATTCGACGATAATGATATACTCTTCACCATACGACACTGATCTCCTTCCCCTCTTGTAGCTTCGAGGACCGTGCCAAGGCAAGCTCGCCAACTACGTATCAGTCATGAGTGCTGTACTGACCCGTCTCAGGATACGCTCAAAGTATCTGGGATGCAAGTCTCCCCCGTCGAAATTGAGGATACGCTCCTCGCGCAGCCCGACAAGCTCATTACTGATGCAAGTGTCGCGGGCGTTTCGGGAGGGCGTACCTCGGACGAACGCGTCCCGCGCGCATGGATCGTGCTATCTCCGACAGGCGCTGTGCTGGGTGAGAAGGAGGTCGTGGCACGTCTCAACGCGTGGGTGCAGGAGCGGCTGAGTCGGTACAAGTGGTTGAGGGGGGGCATCGGGATTGTGGAGATGGTAGGTTTCTTTCTTGTTCCATTTGGAGATGAATTGATTGTGCGCTCGGATAGATTCCGAAGTCGCCGACTGGGAAAGTGTTGAGGCGGGTGTTGGTGGAGGAGTATGAAAGGGAGGCGAAAGCGATGGCGAAATTATGAAGAAGCAACGAAACTTTCTTTGAGCACACGAGTCTCTGTCTGAACGCGAATGGGTTCGGTGACGTATCAGCACGTCGTGAGCTTGGAGCTGTCATCAACCCTCGAGCCTTTAGTCTCTGCTACCAACACTAACTATGTAAGCATTTCTTTGCATCACACGCCCAGACACTGTAAACCACTATGTCATATTTGACTGACCTACGCGTCCACGTTCGTACCACTGTCGCTGAGGAGTCTTCAGCGTGACAGGCAGTGATACCTTGGTATGTAGGAGCGAGCCAGATAAGCAATGCGACGCCCCTAGGACATGAACTTATTTTCATAAGACTTTTGTATGTTCGTGACCCAATTTCGACACTACATCATAGTGAGACGAGATCAGGATTTGAAATTTGAATGGTTTCCCAGATTGTCTGTCAGGGGTTGTCTTTAAAACATTGATATCAGGTAGTCATTATTAGGTGTGAGGTGCAATATTGAGTACATCACACGCTGATGACTTAGCGTGCTCCCTAGGCCTCTAGCGAAAAGGTTCTGCAGATTGAGTTACAAGCTTAAGCGTGACCTTCAGAATGTTTTGTAAGTGGTACGTTTTGCGCAGAAGGACTCCGGCCCAGTCCGCTCTGGCGCCGAAGTCGCAAGTTCGTCACGTGCTTGTTTATGGATGCATGTCGGTCCTTCCATCATCAATCACCGCCCTCTCCAAGCCTAGCCTAGCCTAGCCCCCCCCAGTGCCCACTACGTGGAGTCGGGGATTAGTATTGCCGCACCGACGGTCGCTGGCATAACGGACCACGGACCGTCTGATAACTATAGAATTGAATGGTCATTGTCATGTTTTGACCACAAAGTATAGGCGCTCCGGCTTCATTTAAACGTATAAAAGGACAGGTGATTCTCGTGAATTACGGGACGCTCAGTTTCATATTGTTAGTCTCAGCTGAATGGTTGAAGCGCTCAAACTGATCTAGCATGTATTACAAGTCACTCTTCCCTGACCTGCCAAAGGTCCCAGAATCAAACATCCACCACTTGATTTTCAACCGGCCTGACCAGCAGGAATGGCCAGATTACACTTTGTTCGTGAACGTAGCTACTGGCCAGCGGCGTTCGTTCAGGGAGTTTGTCGAGCGTGTCCGCGATGGCGCAACTGCACTTGGTGCTGACGTAGTGCAGGGTGGCTTAGGTCTGCGTCCAGAGAATGGAGATGTTGTAGGCATCCTGAGCGAGAATTGCCCGGTGTGTTGCAGTCCCATTTCCTATCGGGCCTGTAAATTGAATAAGGTTATTTTCAGGACTACAACGCTCTGATTCATTCGCTACTAGCCATCACAGTCCCATTTGCGCTGTTCTCATCCTACTCCACTCCGTACGAGTTCAAACACGCCAATTCACTCGTGCAGGCAACTAGGATCTTTACCAGTCCCTCGTTACTACCACTCGCCTTGACCTCGGGTCTTCCTGCAGATCAGATACACCTCCTGGAAGGAGAGAATAATGATTACACAAACTACGATCAGCTCGTCTCATCTGCTCGAAAGAGTGGTATTCCACGGCTGCCAGTCCGTGATGCTAATAAGGACACTTTAGCGTACCTGGTCTTTTCCAGTGGGACCAGCGGTCCTCCCAAAGGCATGTATATGTGTCTCTTTCTGGTCTATATCTACGCAACATTTCTGACTTCATCATACAGCTGTCATGATATCCCACGGAAACATTACCCATGCCACCCTAGGACTGATGGTGTACGGTATGGAAATGGCTAAAATCATAGAGGTATGTGATCCATTGCTACTTTCTTGGTCGGCGCAAACCCTTCATCAGCCACCTGTATGGAACGCGCCTGATGGGATCCAAGTATTCTTCAATGTCCTTCCAGTCTACCACTCTGTCGCCCTCTTCACGACCAATTTCTTCAATTTTCTTCAACCTTCTACGACAGTCATGCTACCAAAGTGGAACATCGATTTATTTTTCGACAGTGTCTCGAAGTAAGTGCATTTGATATGCTGTGCTGCTGATATTCATACTTGTGTCGCGAATAGATACCGCATCACGACCATAAGCCTTGTCCCATCACTGGTACACCAGCTGGTTCACCATCCCCGCTTTGAAACTGCCGATCTGAGCTCAATTAAATCCATTGGCAGTGGTGCTGCGCACCTCCCGCCCCAGCTCGCCGCCCAGCTTTGCGCCCGCTTCCCAAACATGGAAAGAATTACTGAAGGTGTGTTCTGCACTCCCTTCTTACGCGTGGACCATTGCACTACTATCTAATTTCACAGGCTACGGTTTGACTGAATTCGTAAGCGGTCTTTCCCTCTACAACCCTGCCTACCTCACTGCCCCACGTAGACGGTGACCGTCTCCGTGACACCTTTCCCTGGCATGCTCAATGGACGCGCCAAGAGGAAGCCCGGTTCTGTCGGGATTCTCGTCCCCGGTGTTGAGGCTCGCATTATCCGTCCCGATGGGTCCCTCGCAAGCCACAACGAGGCAGGTGAACTCCTCGTACGCGGGGGTGCAGCGGCGCTGGGATACAGGGGGAACGACAAGGCGACGCGGGAGACATTCGTCGACGGGTGGTTGCACACGGGCGACCACATACGGATCGATGCGGATGGAGTGCTTTTGTAAGTTAACCCGATGATAGCGATATACTCTATGCCATACGACACTGATCTACTTCCCATTGCATAGCTTCGAGGACCGTACCAAGGCAAGCTTGTCATCTACACACCACTAGTCAGTGCTGTACTGACCTGTCACAGGACACACTCAAGATCTCAGGGGTGCAAGTCTCCCCTGTCGAAATCGAGGATACGCTCCTGGCGCAGCCTGACAAGTTCATCACTGATGTAAGTGTCGCGGGCGTTTCGGGCGGGCGTACCTCGGACGAACGCATCCCGCGTGCATGGATTGTGCTATCTCCGGCAGGCGCTGTGCTGGGTGAGAAGGAGGTTGTGACACGGCTCGATGCGTGGGTGCAGGAGCGACTGAGTCGGTTCAAGTGGTTGAGGGGAGGTATTGGCATTGTGGAGACGGTAGGTTTTTCTCGTTTCGCGTCGGGGATGAATTAATTGTGCACTTGAGCAGATTCCAAAGTCGCCGACTGGGAAAGTGTTGAGGCAGATATTGGTAAAGGAGTATGAAAGCAAGGTGGAAGCGAAGGTGAAGTTGTGAAGAAGCAACGAAAATTTATTCGAGCACGCTGCCCTCTATCCGAGCGTGAATGGTTTCCACGACATGGGCACATCCCGAGCCCGGAGGTGCTGTCCACCATTGTGCATGCAATACTCGTTAAAAATAAAACCACTGACGATGATGGCGGTGGCGATGAGTGACAGAAGGGACGGTATAAATCCGAACATGAGGTGTTCAAACTCAAGTGACAGCAAACGCACCTGGAGATACACTCCAGCGATATCACACGACGCAGTTTCCCCGCTGCATCCCCATCCTGAAGAGCAGCAGGGATGTATTTACGAACTGCAAAAGTGCCGTGATAAACGAAAAGAATGGCATTATATGCATCAGGTGAGCGTTTCTCAATTGCACGAAGCAAGGTCTCTTAAAATTACAGTGTACATGTTTCAGTGACACCAAGCACACTGATGGTAGCACACAACAGCTGCCAGTCTTTACGCCGGGGTTTATTTTGGCCAGCAGTGTCCATCACGAATGCGGCAACTGGCAGGGAACTACATAGAAATGGTGGGCAAACCACGAGGAAACGTCTTAATCGGTCGCCCGCGAAAGCTAATTGTTTGATGCGATAGCTCTCATTTAGGACTCCGGATGCATCCGGCAACCACTATCATGGGGGTCAGGAGTCAGGATCGAGGCATTTGCGACATAAATACTGAACGGCGACCAAGAAGCGACCATATTGATATAAGATTACTGCGCGCGGGACATCATGTCAAAATCGGTGATTGCCGGATGACCCATCGTGGTCAGTGGAGGTTAGTGGTCGTTAATGTGTTTTCTCGGTCGCTTTTCATAATTCATGCAGCTCTTCGATCCAGATATCCATCCACATACACACATAGAGGGTTCTTGTCATCATCTTGGTCACAGACGACACTGGTGAGACACATAGCTACGATATGCTTACAGATAATCTGTCAACCAACATGCACGCGCTCTCGTCTTGCCCCATCGTACCGAGCCGCGGGCGCTGTCTCAGAGCCGAGCCGTCAAAACTCCTCCAATGCTATTCCTGTGCCCCACCATGGGCCCAATACTCGGGTAAACTGAATTGAATGTGTTTCCATATCGGAGGCATGATCTCAGTCTACCAACCTGGTCTCTGCAGGACGAGGAGAATATCGTGGGCAAGTAGATTCATAAGTAAGAGAATTTAGCCCAGCATAAAACACTCACATCCAGTGCTTTAATTATCAACCATCGCACAAGCATTCATTTCGTGGATGTTCCAACTGGGCTTGACGGACACTGTGCCTGTGTGTGAGTTTGCACATCACGGGCTAAGCGTTCCTACGGACCAACTTCTGATGAAGGACGCCCAGCAATCATGAACGCGCAGAGTTGCTATGGTGGGCGTGTTGTCTCGAACTCGTTGAGTGTTACTTGCTCTTATGTGACATACGTGCTATGAAAATTGGAAACATACGAGCGAAGCGTGCACGCTTCCGGATCACCATTGAATTGTGACTGCCTTGCAATCGTTCAACTCGCCTTCATCCTGGTAAATGTAATTTCTCCACAGTCGCAGGGTCGCATTAAGTAAAGGCCCATGGTCCGTTCAATAGCTGCCAGTATCCCCGCATGATACGGCTCTCGTAAATACAAATTCCTAGGCGCCCTACAAAAGGCAAGGCCAGATACGGGACATATTCTTATCTTCAAGATTCGGTCAACGCACTGCTGAAGCCTTGTGCCCCATCGGTGGTCAAGCATGTACTACAAGTCGCTCTTCCCTGACCTTCCAAAGATCCCCGAATCAAACATCCACCACTTCATCTTCGGGCGGCCTGACCAGCAGGAGTGGCCAGATTACACTTTGTTCGTGAACGTGGCTACTGGCCAGCGTCGTTCATTCAGGGAATTTGTCGAGCGTGTCCGCGATGGCGCTACTGCGCTTGGTGCTGATGTGACGCAGGGTGGCCTAGGATTTCGCCCAGAAAATGGAGAGCTTGTAGGCATTCTAAGCGAGAATTGCCTAGTGAGTTACATTTTCCAGCAGTGAGTGTATACAGCGAATAAGTTCATTTTGTCAGGACTATATCGCACTGGTGCATTCGCTGCTGGTTATCACGGTCCCATTTGCGCTGTTCTCATCGTACTCAACACCATACGAGTTCAAACACACCAATTCGCTCGCGCAGGCGACTACGATTTTTGCCAGTCCCTCGTTGCTGCCACTCGCTTTGACTTCAGGTCTCCCTGCAGATCGGATCTATATCTTAGAAGGCAAATGTGATGGTTACACAAGCTACGATAAGCTCGTCTCCTCTGCTCGCAAGAGTGGTATTCCACGGGAGCCAGTCCGTCACGCTAATAAGGACACCCTGGCCTGCCTGATCTTTTCCAGTGGGACAAGCGGTCCTCCCAAAGGCATGTATCTCTTTTTCTGGCTGTGATTGCAGTTGGACGCAACATCTAAGCAGCATTTCTGACTCCATCATATAGCCCTCATGGCATCTCAAGGAACCATCATCCATGCCACCCTAGGAATGATGGTGCACTTTATGGAAACGGCTAAAGTCCAACAGGTATGCATTCATCCGACGCTAATTTCCTTTCTCCCAACCCTTTACCAGCCACCAGTACGGGACATCCCTGATGGGCTTCCAGTATACTTCAATGTCCTTCCATTCTACCATACTTACGGCCTCTACATGACCAGTTTTTTCGGCTTCCTCAAACCCTCTACGACAGCTATACTACCGAAGTGGGACATCGATTTTTTTTTCGACAGCATCCCAAAGTAAGTGTATTTCATATACTGTGCTATTGATATTCATGCTTTCGTCACGAATAGATACCGTGTCACGATGTTAGGCCTCGTCCCATCACTTGTACACCAGCTGGTTCACCATCCCCGCTTCAAGACAGCTGATTTGAGTTCGGTTAAAAGCATACTCAGTGGCGCTGCACACCTCCCACCCCAGCTCGCTGCCCAGCTTTGCGCTCGCTTCCCGGACGTGGAAGGAATCAATGAAGGTACATTCCCCACCCCTTTTTAGGTGTGGGTCATTGTACTACTATCTACTTTGCACAGGATATGGTATGTCCGAATTCGTAAGCGATCTTCCATTACTCATTGCAACCCCCAAACTTGACTGCCCGAGGTAGACAGCGGTGGCTATGAAACCCCTCCCTGGCATGCTCAATGGACGGGCCAAGAACAAACCTGGCTCCGTCGGGATTCTGGCCTCTGGTGTCGAAGCTCGCATTGTTCGACCCGATGGGTCTCTTGCAGGCCCAAACGAGGCGGGTGAACTCCTTGTACGCGGTGGCACTGCGGTGCTGGGATACAAGGGAAATGCCAAGGCGACACGGGAGACGTTCGTCGATGGGTGGGTGCGGACGGGCGACCAGATGCGGATCGACGAGGACGGAGTGCTTTTGTAAGTTGATCTGACAGCAACGGTATGCTCATCACCATATGATGTTGATATACCCATTTCGTAGCTTTGAGGACCGCACCAAGGCAAGCTTACGCCGCGTACGTACCACTCATTGGTAATGTATTGAGCTGTTACAGGACACACTCAAAATCTCGGGGATGCAAGTTTCCCCTGTTGAAATCGAGAACTTGCTTCTGGCGCAGCCGGACAAATTGATCATTGATGTAAGCGTTGCGGGTGTGTCGGGTGGGCGTACCTCGGACGAACGCGTTCCGCGAGCATGGATCGTGTTATCCCCGGCAAGCGCGGCGCTTGATGAGAAAGAGATCGTGACACGGCTTGATGCATGGGTGCGGGAGCGACTAAGTCCATATAAGTGGTTGAGGGGGGGAATTGGGTGTGTGGAGTCGGTGGGTATTGCTTTCGTCTTTCTTTGGGATGGGTTGATCATTATTGTGCTCTAGATTCCGAAGACGCCAACTGGAAAAGTGTTGAGGCGAGAGCTGGTGGATGAGTATGAAAGGGAGGTGAAGGCGAAGGCGAGATTGTGAAGACGCAACAGATTGTGCACCCCTCTATCTGAACGAGACTGATGAGCTTTTTGATCAATACCTTGCTGACTTGTGCCGCGGATGTATTTTGTAGAATTTTTAAATCTTACAGCGCGTACCTGCGGAGACTCAAAATGACTCGGAGCAGTGAGCGCTTGAGCGCTGAGCAAATGATGCAAGTAAGCACTTTCAACTGCGACGCACAGGCGAATTGAGTGTAATCATGTGCACTTCCACTAGCTGGTTCACATCAGCTTGAGATATCCCGGTGCACGTGATTGATTTCTTTGAGTTGCCGGTTGGTCGGCTCCCATCATTAATCAACGTAACTGCCTTACCGTCTCACTTGACCGTGAAACTGGCATCAAAGTTTTTCATGGTCCGTCCTGAGCAAATTCCCTGACAGACTCAATTCCGGTCTGATGGCGCTCATAAACCGGACGACCTCTAACCACAAACGTACAAGTCCGCGGCTCCATCATGTCATTGTATAAAAAGCCAGGCCAATCACAGGAACCTTTAATATTCTTGGCCGCAGCCAATAGCACTGTTGAAGCGCTGAAGCTTCGGGCATCGGTGGTCAAGCATGTACCACAAGTCACTCTTCCCTGACCTGCCAAAGGTCCCCGAATCAAATGTTCACCACCTGCTTTTTAACCGACCTGACCAGCGGGAGTGGCCAGATTACACTTTATTCGTGAATGTGGCTACTGGCCAGCGCCGTTCGTTCAGGGAGTTCATCGAGCGTGTTCGCGACGGCGCTACTGCATTAGGTGCTGATGTGACTCAGGGTGGCCTAGGTCTTCGCCCAGAGAATGGAGATGTTATAGGCATTTTGAGCGAGAACTGTCCAGTGCGTTACATTCCATTTTTCGATTAGGATCGTAATTTGACAACGTAACTTTGTCAGGACTACATAGCTCTGATACATTCGCTACTAGTTATCACAGTCCCGTTTGCATTGTTCTCGTCCTATTCAACACCGTATGAGTTCAAACACGCCAGTTCCCTCGCACAAGCGACTAGGATCTTTACCAGTCCTTCGTTACTGCAACTGGCGTTGACTTCGGGTCTCCCCGCAGATCGGATATACCTCCTAGAAGGAGAGAACAAAGGCTATACAAGCTACGATCAGCTCATCTCTTCTGCTCGAAAGAATAGCATTCCACGTCTGCCAGTCCGTCATGCTACCAAGGACACTCTGGCTTACCTGATCTATTCCAGTGGAACAAGCGGTCCTCCCAAAGGTATGCATCTCTTTTTCTTGTCTCACTTTCCAATCGTAGAATCAGAGATGCAGCTTCTGACTGTATTGTACAGCCGTCATGGCGTCCCATGGAAATATCACTTGTGCCACCCTCTCAACGATGGTGAACGGCATGGAAATGGCTAAAACTCAGGCTGTATGTCTTTCGGCGCTACATTCTTGGTTTTCCCTGACTCCCTTGCCAGCCACCAGTATGGAACACCCCTGATGGGCTACAAGTAACCTTCAACGTTCTTCCCGTCTATCACTCTCTCGGCCTTTACACGACCACCTTCTTCAGCTTCTTTAATCCCTCCACGATTATCATGCTCCCGAAATGGGACATTGATTTATTCTTTGACAGCGTCCCGAAGTAAGTGGAGCCTTTGGCGTGTCCTGTAGTCCCTTGTACTCATACTTAAGCTGCGATGTAGGTATCACATTACGACCATAATCCTCGTCCCATCCCTTGTGCACCAGCTTGTTCACCATCCACGCTTCAAAACTAATGATCTGAACTCGGTCAAGACAATCGCAAGCGGCGCTGCGTACCTCCCGCCCCAGCTCTCCGACCAGATTCTCGTCCGTTTCACAGACATGCCAAGAGTTACCGAAGGTGCGTCCTCCACATCTTGTTTGTAGATCATTGGTGCTACTGTTAACCTTCACAGGCTACGGCCTCTCCGAATTCGTAAGTGATCTCCCCATCTAAACTCCTTCCGTCCCCTGACGTCATTGCCTGAGGTAGACAATGGCAATAGCCATGAAGCCCATCCCTGGCATGCTCGATGGACGCGCCAAGAATAAGCCTGGCTCTGCCGGAATTCTCGTCCCTGGTGTCGAAGCTCGCATTGTCCGTCCCGACGGGTCCCTTGCGGGCCCGAACGAGCCGGGTGAGCTTCTCGTCCGCGGAGGCTGTGTGGCGCTGGGATACAAGGGAAACGACAAGGCCACTCGGGAAACATTTGTCGATGGGTGGGTACGCACGGGTGACCAAATGCGGATCGATGAGGACGAGGTGCTTTTGTAAGTTTGTTTCGATGAGTACGACGTGCCTCCCATCGTATAGAGGCTGACCTGCCCTATTCGCAGCTTCGAAGACCGCACCAAGGCAAGCTGCGCCATCCACGCACACAACTCGGTTCGTATTGTACTGACTCCATTCTCACAGGACACGCTCAAAATCTCAGGGATGCAAGTCTCCCCCGTCGAAATCGAGAACACGATCCTGGCGCAGCCCGACAAGCTCGTTACTGATGTGACTGTCGCGGGCATTTCGGGTGGACGTACTTCGGATGAACGCATCCCGCGTGCATGGATTGTACTATCCCCAGCGGGCGCAGCGCTGGGTGAGAGAGAGGTTGTGGCACGGCTTGATGCTTGGGTGCAAGAGCGCCTGAGTCGGTATAAGTGGTTGAGGGGAGGCATTGGCATTGTGCAGGCGGTAGGTTTTTTTCCTCGCTTTGTGTTTGGGGTGGATTGATTGAGTACTTGGGTAGATTCCGAAGTCGCCAACTGGGAAGGTGTTGAGGCGGGTGTTGGTGGAGGGATATGAAAAAGAGGTGAAAGCGAATGCGAAATTGTGAAGTGTCACGTATGTTTCTCTCGATACCGTTGACCGATGGGTCATCATTGTGCGACTTGCAATCATATTATGTTAACCGCTGTATCTGCTTTGGAAATGATTTAACTTCGAACACTGGCTCAGACAGTGTGGACCTAGAAGGCGCTAGCGATGGCTCGCGAGGGACAGGACAAAAATGAAAGTTAAATAAGATGTGAACTGGGATCTTCAGGTAAATAATAAATCAGTCTAATCTAATTACGCAAACAGTAAGAAGCTGATTGTCTCGCTCTCCAACAAAACTGTCACAAGTAGACAATCTCTAGGTTCTTATGCCTAATGTCAAACACCGACTCACTCGGTATATTTGGAAAGTTAACCTCGACCAAGCCCTCCTGACGTACAGGCATCCACCGTTCAAAGTGTTGCTTCCGGGAAGAGACATCTTCGAGGCCAACGAAGTCAGCTGGTCTGGGTTCACATAAGGGTGGTAAAGTCGAGCGTAAGGAACACCTGGGCACCCGGAATAGGATGAAGCCAGCTGACTTGCCCCTGATCCCTAGGATCTTGCATGGTCCATGGTCGATGTGTGAGCAGTTGACAAAGCCGAGTGCATACTGATAAGTGGAGGAATAATAGTTCTTCGTTTCGATGTCGATCTTGATGGTTGGACACAGCGGGCAGTCGAGTGTGACGCAGGGTATATAGTCACACGTGAACGAATGAAGATTAAGAGGGAGTATCACGCTCAGCGAATATGATTGTATATGGACAGTCTCCAACTAGGGTTCTCCGCGAAACATAATCCCTTGTGTTCTTCCTGTCTTCCCCTGTTGGAGTTGGTGCTTGGCGAGCGTGACTCGGCAATGGCCGAAAGGTGGCTGAAACCTTAAATCATCGGTGTACATACAGTAGTAAATTTCTCGTCTAGTAGTAGTAGATTACGGGTTTGCAACCAATTCACTGTGCTACCGAAAATCCTATATTCCCTTATCAACATTTACGCTGAGGAGCGCAAAGTGACGTGTTTCATATACCAAATCTCGCTCTAATGACTTACATTGGCCTCGACGTATCGTCAGTTTGCATCAGCAGGTCTGTATGGCTCCGCCTTTGTTTTGTCTTGTTCCTCGTTGGCATTTGCTTTGGCATTTATATTTGATGCTTGTCCCCGCAAAAATACTATTGGCTGCCAGACTAAGCACGCTTATTCTGAATGATTATTCAGAATGAGCATTCTTAGTCTTAGACATCCATGGCTATGTGCCGATAACTCAACTTTCTCGCAGTATTCATAGACATCGGTTCACTGATGTCATAGCTCAGTCTTCTGATATCAGTCTAATTGTTCAGTTCGCTGCTTGAGCTGTGCAGAGTCCATGATATCAGTCTAATTGTTCAGTTCGCTGCTTGAGCTGTGCAGAGTCCATGATATCCCCCGCAGTGGATGATGAGGATCCTATCATGGTCCATACCGAGCGACCCGCTGTCTCAGAGCCGAGCCGTCGAAACTTCCCCAATGCGATTCCTGTGCCCCATCATGGGCCCAATACGCGGGTAAAATGAATTGAATGTGCTTCCATCCGAGGCATGATCTCAGTTTACCAACCTTGTCTCGGCAGGGCGGAGAATATCACAAGCAAGTACACTTTTAAGTAAGAGTATTAAGCCCAGCATAAAATACTAACATCCAGATCTTTGAATTATTAACCATCCCGGTGATCCCACATGCCCCTCGTTTCGTAGGCGTTCAAACAGGGCCTGACGGATGCGGCTGTGTGCCTGTTGTGCGAGCTCGTGCATCACGAGCCGGGTGTTCCCGCGGACTAACTTCTGATAAAGGACACCTCGTAATTAGGAACGCGCAGAGTCTCTGTGTTTACGCAATGGTAGGTGTGTTGATCCTTTGAATTCGTGTTACTTACTCTTACATGACATATATGAAAAATTCAAAACATGCAAGCGGAATGTGCGTGCTTCCGGATCGTGCTTCCGGGTCCCTATTGAATTGTGACTGCCTTGCAACCAGTCAGCTCGGCTTCATCCCGGTAAATGTAATTCCTTCACAGGTCGCAGGGTTGTATAACATTAAGTAAAGGGCTCATGCTCATGGTGCGTTCGATCGCTGCCAGAATCCCGGCATAATGCGGCTGTCGTAAACCAGTCATGCTGTAACTACAAATGTGCATTCCTGGCCCCTACAAAAGGCCGGGCCAAAAACAGGATATTTCATATTTTCAGGAGCCAGCCGAAGTACCGCGGAAGCCTCGTGCCCCATCAGTGGTCAAGCATGTACTACAAGTCACTCTTCCCTGACCTGCCAAAGGTCCCCGAATCAAACTTTCACCACTTCATCTTCGAGCGGCCTGACCAGCAGGAGTGGCCAGATTACACTTTGTTCGTAAACGTGGCTACTGGCCAGCGTCGTTCGTTCAGGGAGTTTATCGAGCGTGTCCGCGATGGCGCTACTGCACTTGGTGCTGATGTGACGCAGGGTGGCCTAGGATTTCGCCCAGAAAATGGAGAGCTTGTAGGCATTCTAAGCGAGAATTGCCTAGTGAGTTACATTTTCCAGCAGTGAGCGTATACAGCGAATAAGTTCATTTTGTCAGGACTATATCGCACTGGTGCATTCGCTGCTAGCTATCACGGTCCCATTTGCGCTGTTCTCATCGTACTCAACACCGTACGAGTTCAAACACGCCAATTCGCTCGCGCAGGCGACTACGATTTTTGCCAGTCCCTCGTTGCTGCCACTCGCTTTGACCTCAGGTCTCCCTGCAGATCGGATCTACATCCTAGAAGGCAAATGTGATGGTTACACAAGCTACGATCAGCTCGTCTCCTCTGCTCGCAAGAGTTGTATTCCACGGGAGCCAGTCCGTGATGCTAATAAGGACACTCTGGCATACCTGGTCTTTTCCAGTGGTACAAGCGGTCCTCCAAAAGGCATGTATCTCTTTTTCTGGTTGTGATTGCAGTTGGACGCAACATCTAAGCAGCATTTCTGACTCCATCATATAGCCCTCATGGTATCCCAGGGAAACATCATCCATGCCATGCTAGGAATGATGGTACAGTTTATGGAAATGGCTAAAGTCCAAGAGGTATGCATTCATCCGATGCTAGTTTCATGTTCTCCCAATCCTTCTTCAGCCACCGGTATGGGACACCCCCGATGGGCTTCCAGTATCCCTCAGTGTCCTTCCGATCTACCACTCATATGGCCTCTACATGACCAGTTTTTTCAACTTCCTTGGGCCTCATACGACAGTTATACTACCGAAGTGGGACATCGATTTCTTTTTCGACAGCATCCCAAAGTAAATGCATTATATATACTATGTTACTGATATTCATGCTTTGGTCGCGACCAGATACCGTATCACGACGATAAACCTCGTCCCATCACTTGTACACCAGCTGGTCCACCATCCCCGCTTCAAAACTGCCGATTTGAGCTCAATTAAAAGCATAGGCAGTGGCGCTGCACACCTCCCACCCCAGCTTGCCACCCAGCTTTGCGCTCGCTTCCCAGATATAGAAAGAGTTAGCGAAGGTACGTTCCCCACTCTCTTATTGTGTGTGTCATTGTACTACTATCTACTTGGACAGGCTTTGCTTTATCTGAATTCGTAAGCGACCTTCCGTTCCTCATCGAAACCCCCCAATTTGACTGCCCGAGATAGATGTTGGTGGCCATGAAACCCTTTCCTGGAATGCTCAATGGACGAGCCAAGAACAAACCCGGCTCCGTCGGAATTCTGGTCTCCAGTGTCGAAGCTCGCATTGTTCGTCCCGACGGGTCTCTCGCAGGCCCAAATGAGGTGGGTGAACTCCTTGTACGCGGGGGCACTGCGGTGCTGGGATACAAGGGAAATGTCAAGGCGACACGGGAGACGTTCGTCGATGGGTGGCTTCGTACGGGCGACCAGATGCGGATCGACGAGGACGGAGTGCTTTTGTGAGTTGGTTCGAGAAGTATAATATGCCTCCCATCATACTGAGGTCGACCCGCCATGTTTGCAGTTTCGAAGACCGCACCAAGGTAAGCTGCACCACCACGCAGATAACTCGGTTCGTGTCGTACTGACCCCATCCTCATAGGACACGCTCAAAATCTCAGGGATGCAAGTCTCTCCCGTCGAAATTGAGAATACGATCCTGGCGCAGCCCGACAAGCTCATTACTGATGTGACCGTCGCGGGAATTTCTGGTGGACGTACCTCCGACGAACGCATCCCGCGTGCATGGATCGTGCTATCCCCAGCGGGCGCAGCGCTAGGTGAGAAAGAGGTTGTGGTACGGCTTGATGCTTGGGTTCAAGAGCGGCTGAGTCGGTACAAGTGGTTGAGGGGGGGCATTGGCATTGTCGATGCGGTAGGTTTTTTCCTCGTTTTGTTTTTGGGGGTTGACCGAGCACTTGGGTAGATTCCAAAGTCGCCAACTGGGAAGGTGTTGAGGCGGGTCTTAGTGGAGGGGTATGACAATGAGGTGAAAGTGAACGCGAAATTGTGAAGCGTCATGTTGTATGGACCTGGTCTCGTATGTTTTTCTCTTGATACCCATGACCGATGGGTCGTAATTGTTCGACTTGCTATCATGTTGTTTTAATTGCTGTATTTGCTTGGAAAATGAATTAACCTCGATCAACAGTATAGAACAGAAGACGCTAGCCATAGTTCGTGAATGATGGAATTTGAAGTTGAAGTGAGTGTCTAGTTGCTTTTTTTATGACAAACAGTGATGAACTTGAATTTGACATTTGGGGATGGGTCCGGGGGTACACTAACTGCCGCGGATACTAGGATGTTAAGTAAAACACACTTGAGGTCTGCTGATCGCGCGGCGTGGACGAGGGCAAGGGATGGGTGGAGCTGATACGGCTAGGCATTCACGGAGGACCTACTAGTATCCATGCCATATATCTGTTGAGGGGTGGAAGGTACTGGGGATGACGAGGCGGTGTTGCCTCATCGATGAAAGAATGCATTTTGGTCCGACGCTGCTCGAGAGTACGTGAGTGGGGTTTATGTTTAAGTATTGACGCGTAGAACCTGTCTTTAGCTAGTTACATCATGATGAAGGACTCTGAATTATCGATCATTGGGCAGGAGCGGCGATACCCCTCGGACGTGTTGGTTGTACATTACTCGGGGGACTCGGTCACATTTTATTGCAATCAAAGAGTCGCAGAATACAGTAGTGAGCAATCGGGGACTCGGTAAGAAACTAATATGAGAGATGGAGGCTCGATAGAAAAGACGGAGACTCGAACAGAATGCTGTACAGGGAGTAACTAGGGTGGGTGGGAAGTTCAAATTTTCGGTGCAGACGTGCACGGAGCAGAAGTGCTCTATGAGGGCAAGTGAATAGAGACGGCACAACAACTTTGGTTTGAAAGCCTCGTATATACCCAAACGAAGAGGGGCCTCGTATGTGTAAGCCTATGACTCGACAGCTGAGTCACGAATGATTTGACCAACGTCGCGAACTGATTCAACTCGGTCAAACAAGTTAAACCACGATGAATCAGTCTACGTTTGAAGAGGTCTCACGTGTGTAGTAGGCAAGCGGAGTCCCCCAGTTTTATACTCGGGGGACTCGGTCACATTTTATTGCAATCAAAGAGTCGCAGAATACAGTAGTGAGCAATCGGGGACTCGGTAAGAAACTAATATGAGAGATGGAGGCTCGATAGAAAAGACGGAGACTCGAACAGAATGCTAAAGGGCTATTCCTTTTTTTTTTTTTTTTTAAATATGTGTGATTTATATGTTGTTTTTTGTGTTGTTGGTGGGAGAATATGTTGTGAGTCTTCGAGTGCGCGAGTCCGAGAATGCGTGAATGGAGAGAATGCGTGAATGGAGTGACGGAATGCTGAGAGTAGAATGAGAGACCGCGTGAAATATTGCTAAGATGGCGCGCGTGCTGTGCCGTGCATGAGTGCATGCAGCAAGAAAGGATGTTGACGAATATACTTATTAAATTCGTCGGATGACCAACGTCCTGCGGCGCGAATCAGATCCGAAGACATTCCCGCAGCAGCGAGAGCAGTGGCACCACCTGCTCTCATTGAATGTCCCGAAAATTGTGCGCCGCAGAAACGGTGGAGACGTTGAAGAAACCACGAACGTGTGGGAACGCTACCTGAACTTGTCACCCAAAGTGCAGGGTGATGCAGGAATTGAGCATCACGAGTGCCGATATAGTTCTGCATATGTCGATGTGGGTCAATCGGTGATGCTGGGTCTGCAACGAGTAGAATGCTAGACCCGGTTCCAAGACTGTCGTTCTTTTGGTGAGGTAGGAGGTAAGACAGCGTTCTCGTGTCAGATTTCAAGGTGTGTCGAAGAGACACTTTTCTGTAGGATTGAAGTTTGGTGGCATCAGGCCACGTGAGCTCGCCCAAGCGCTGCAAGCTTGTGAAGCCGGTGATGAGCATAGCGAGGAAGAGAGAGTCGTCGTAGTGTGGGTGAGAACCAATGTCGTGGACAATGCGTACAAGATCATCCAAGCGAAGTGGTAACTTGCGCTGAACGGGTTTCGATAAACGACGTTTGCACCCTTTCAAGGTGCGAGTGACAAGTGGTGAACGTCGTGCGGCGCGCACATTGGGAAACATGAACTCAAGCCGATTTGCGATTCCTGAGAGGTAATTATCGACAGAGCGGGGTTCGATATGGTGTGATAGCCAGACAACGTAGTATGATAAGGTGTCCTCTGTGGGGTCGATGACGCGATGGTGCAATTGGCAGAAGGAAATATAAGAATTCAAGTGTGAGTCGTAAGCTGATGAAGTCGATGGTTCGATAGCAAAACCAAGCGCGATAGAGCGTTCGTGAAAGAGCCGCTCTTCAGACCAGGCTTCCCGTGTGGGTTGCCTGGACTGTGGGGAAAGTGGGATCATGTTCTCGCCACCCCCAGCGCATTCCGAGGGGGTTCAAAATCGAAAAACTGTGCGTCAGGTGCAATTTGCAAAACCCGTTCGTTGTGAAAACGAGATAGTGCGTCAGCCACGACGTTATCACAGCCGCTTACGTGCACTACACGCAGGTCAACAGAATGTTCAATCAGAACATCTACAGCCGAGATCAAAATGGAGTTATAAGGAGGATGGGCTCGGAGAGAATTAAACATTGCAACCGTGTTTGTGTTGTCGGTGTAGATCAACATTTTTGAAGGCACCTCCGGCATATTTGGTATGGCGTGAATCGCCGAACAAACTGCCAGGGCTTCTGCAAAAAAGATGGTGTCCTTGGGTCTGTCGTCGGGAAGGGGACTTTGGCATGCGAAGTTTTCGTCAGGGAACCAGAGGCCCAAACCGATACCTGAAGCGTCGGTATATGCGCGCACGACGTCCTCGGACCTGGGATTAAAATCAAGAGATTTGTAAAACAAAAGTCCTGGCGAACGCTCTATATGAGTCGCCAACCAATGTAACTCATGGATTATGGCGTTGTTGACATGGAGACGTGCGAAAGGTTCTGTCTTCTCACTGATCTTGGCATAGATCGCAGATAGGCCGGGCTTAAGCAGGGGGAAAACATTAAAGCTCCACTCGCACCATCCAGCGAGTTGTTGGAATTCCCGTAGTGACCATCTGTAGCCCTTTCCTGCGAAATTACGCAAATGTACGACCAGCTCGTTCTTCTTGTGCGCGGGAAGTATTGCAGTCATCTTGTTAGGATCGATGTCGAAACCTATGACCGTTAAAGGACTACCGAACAACTGTTTGGGTTTGTCATGCGGTAAGCCTATATCATCCCAGAGTTGCAGCAACCGTGTTTGCTTAGCGGGAAAATAACATTGATACGGTGAATAGTACAGTTGCTGATTTGCGAGCTCGAAGGAGAAGGAATCATCCATATAAGTCTTGAGTGCGTCAACAAGGATCCGATGGATCGCGATCCAAGCTACCAAAGACATGAAGGATATCCACACCTTAGGTGATCCACGTCCGCCGAAATTATTGTTTCGATCCACGTGTCGCTGGCCATTAACAGTCAAAATCTGTTTGGTTTGCCAGAGTGGATGCATCGGGAGCCTGCGAAAAGCTTGGGAGACGTCCGATTTCCACATGACAAGCTCATCATGTGGATGTTCCTTCCTGAACTCAAGAAGCGAGGCCCCAAGGGAATGTAGCCCGTCAAGCTTCGTTCCTTTGATCGAGTCTGATTCAATCATAGAGTTGAGGGAAAAATCGCCTGCAGTATGGTCTACGACGAGTCGTAATTTGTCGGTGTTGGGTTTTGGCACGGTGTGCATGGGTACACTGTACATTCCCGGTAAAAGTTCTTGTCCAAAACTTTCCGAGACTCGACCAAGTCGTATTTCTTCCTCAAGTTGTTCCTCTATGAAGGTTAATTGTTCGTTTGATTTTTTGCAAGTGCGCATAGAATTATCGTTGATAGAGGGGTAAGACTCGTCAGGTACTTCCGCCCAGGGCCAGAACCCTTCACGTAGCGCCCGGCATACTGATTCGACAAACAACTGGTTAGGGTGATCCGCTAACAGTGCTTGGAAACGATTGACGTCGATAGGTGTGACAATTTTGAAGAGGTCTGGTCTACTGGCCACTGTTCGAGACGAATCTGAATGCAAGAGGGATTCTGGGACATTAGGTACTGGTTCGGCATATTCAGTAGAGCGAGCTGTGGGACTGAAAGAAACATCCGACGGTGACCATATCAGTCCTCGGCGGTATCGTGGACGCTTGAGCTCAGACTCAGACTGATTTGGACTTTGCGTCCTCGATATGCTTCGTTTTAACGTGCTTGCGCCCACAGAAATGCCCATCTTGCTCGAAGGAGCAGATGTGTGCATAGCGGCACGAGGATGCGCTACGTGTACACTCTCCGTTATTCCATTTGCGGCAGGGGTCGCGCTTGTTGGACGCGTTTGAATCTCGTGCACTACTGCTGGGTTTTGAGTCTCCATTATCATTCCGCTGTCTTCCGTCTGAGTTGAAATGCGCGAAGACAAGGTCTTCGAATTCACGATAGTCGGTGAGCTCAAGTCTGCGTGAAGTGCCGACTCTGTTCCTGACGGCTTTATCGAATCGTATGATCCTACCATGGGCAGATGTGTTGGCCTGCGCGAAGTATGTGGAGATATAGGTGAAGTAACTGTTGAGTTCAGCCTCTCGATGAGGGAATGCGAATTTGATGGCATCAGCCGCTTTGTTCCAGGCTGAAATCCAGTCGGCTTCTGTAGCGACTTTCTTGGACGCTGCCTCTGAAGCTCCGTACCTGATCTCGAGATCCCCGAGAGTTTCTGTCTGCTTGTCGACTGTTCGAGAAGAGGAGATGATGGTATGGACGACGTCGAGGTTAATGCATTTACCTGCGACGATTTCGGCCCATCCGGATTCATGGAATTCCGGTCCATATCTATGGTACATGAGGTACCGCCGCACTTCTTTCTGATCTCGTGACCAGTTGGCAAGGATCTCATTGGTGCGCTCAAGATTGGCGGTGAGAGGTTTGTACTGTCTGGTTCTAACCGAGACAGCAACGGAGGAGTAGTCGAGTTTGGCACGTTTGCGAGCAGGTTCTCCTGGCTCGTTACTGCCTTCTCTGCTCCTATTCTCTGTATTAGGGGTCTTTTCACGTTGAGGCGCTGGTTCAACGAAACGCTCTCCGCGTTCCCCAGATGAGTCGTTTCCTGCTCGTGCAAGTTCAGTCTCGACTTGATCGAGCATGGAAATATATGGTCCGGCAACCGTAGAGACTTTCTCGGATGTGTTGAAAAGTTCTGCGCTGATGATTTCGACGAGCACGACATTGGCTTCAAGTTTGGTGATCCGCGAGCATCTGTAGTCCTCAACATAGTCGAGGCATCTCTTCGCCAGACTTTGTTGGGATGTAGCCGGTCCACTAGTGTCGGTTTGGGACATATTCCTTGGCCCTCCTGATCCTGTAAACGATCCAGTAGACTGGGTTTGTGACGATGTGCTGGCATTGTTATTGATGTCAGTGGTCATATGGATGAAGGATGATCAATTGGTGAATTAAATAAAGTTCAAATTTTCGGTGCAGACGTGCACGGAGCAGAAGTGCTCTATGAGGGCAAGTGAATAGAGACGGCACAACAACTTTGGTTTGAAAGCCTCGTATGTGTAAGCCTATGACTCGACAGCTGAGTCACGAATGATTTGACCAACGTCGCGAACTGATTCAACTCGGTCAAACAAGTTAAACCACGATTAATGATTGTCGCGACATATGTTGGTTTGTTTGGATTCGGGGCTTAGCCAAATAAAGCAGCACAGCCCCTGCACCTTCTTTTGGCACTGGCCCGGCAGGTACTATGCTGCATGCATAGTCAAACATCGATTTATCCTCTCTTCGCTGCATGATATAGTCATATGCGCTCGATACGATATCCCAGAAGATTGACTGTGGAACAGGAATGCATCAGTCATGCAATGAAGACGACCATCCTGAATCCTGATGCAGATGATGGACAGCATGATCTACTCATTTTCCCGGGTTCCGAATGCTGTATGTACTGCCACATAAACCTGTCAATCGTAAATGAGCGCCGCCTCGTGAATTCATACGTCCGACGCATAAAACGCTCGCCCACCTAACGAGCTTTCCGCCAGGCTGGGGACTACAGACAACCTGGTGAGCACTGGTCAACTATTCGCCCCCACACTTGATCACGAATCGTGTCAGAGTAGATTGATTCACCAGACGCCTTACGGTAACAAGCTATGGCCGCTAGATTCCCGGCAAGACAGACCCACACCCACGAGGAAGCTCCAGTCTTAGTGCAATCCCTTATACCAATTCGCTGGCACGGGTTTGGGGGACATAAGTTGGCTATTGAGGATTTTGTCTTCTTGCACGACAACATTCACATCGTGAGCGCTTCAGACGATGGCACGATGCGGAAATGGAACCGCAACACAGGAGGTCAAGTCGGAGAACCATGGATATGGAAGGGGGGAAGCATACATGCACTGGCGTTGTCACTGGATGGCAAGACGATTGCATGCGGGAGGAACGACGGAAATGTTCAGCGGTGGAATTCCGACGGAAAGATAATCAGTGTTTGGATGGGTCACACCGAGCAGGTGCGGTCGCTCTCGTGGTCTCCCAGCGGAAGCCATATTGCCAGCGGGTCCTATGATGGAACAATCCTCATTCGAAGAGCTGAAAGTGGAAAAGTAGAGGTTGGCCCGATCAAGACGAAGCAGATCGCAGTGGAATATCTTGCCTATTCACCTTCGGAAAAGAAAATTGCATCAGGCGGGTACAACAACACAATTTGCATATGGGACAGCAAGACCGGCAAGCTTGTCCTCGGCCCCATTGAAGACGTGGGGAACAGTACTGTGACGTCGTTGGTGTGGTCGCCGGACAGCAGGAAACTCTACTGCGCCTCGGACAAATTCGCACGTGTTTTCGACAGCACTTCAGGCACGCTACTCCATTGTTATGAGACCGACAATGTCCTGTATTCGGTCGCACTTTCACCAACACACAATGTTCTGGCATGTGTAGGCGATGAAGGTATCGTGCAGCTATGGGACACAGAGTCCCATCAACCACTTGGCCCGCGATTTTGCCAGGATCGCGAAACCCTGTTCTCTGTGTCATTCTCTCGAGATGGGAGATACCTAGCATGTGGCGGAAACAGCAGGAGACTCATTCTGTATATGGTCTCAGGCCTAGCTCTTCATCTTCGGGCGCCCATTTCTCAACAAGGTCACGGACAACTCACACAGCAGGAACCTCGGCTCAACCCACAGCAGGAAACTCTGCCCTCCCCACGGCAGGAAACTCGGTCCAACTCACAGCAGGGAACTCGACCCGAGTCCCCATTATCGTCTTATCTCAGTGTCAGTGTTCTCACGTCACTCTCTGTCGCTTTACTCACAGGACCATCACAGGCTGATGCTACGGGTAATGATGGTATCATTGAGGAGGGAAGCGATGATCCATACCACAATTTTTTTCAGGTAGCACTCGTCTTTGTCATGCAAAGGGCCCAACACTGATGATAATCGTAGTCTTCCCAACCATCTCTTACTTCCACGGCATCTGGTTCCCCTCAGCCTCTCAACCTGTCCTCAGCTCAACGATTCTGGAACACTATCTCTCGACGCCGCCCGCCAACAAGCAAGGCCGTCCCACAAGAGCGCCCAAAGCGCCATTTCTTCACTCGTCGTGCTCACTCAAACTCACCACTGGAGCCAACAACCATAAACCCTAAGCAACCAACACCAAATGGGAAAGTCCGAGCAGGAGAAGATAACAAGGAAGGTGACAAGGATAATGATGTAAGCCCTGGTTCGGTTCTCATACTGTCATCTCTCAACTCGACTGCTACCAGCCTTGTTCTGCGAACGATCCGCTAGAAGCCAGAAAGGATAAGTGCAAAGAGCGAGACGAGCCTCCTTCTGACAGCCAGAACCCACCGCTTGATGATTCACCCAAGCTCAACAATACAAACAAGCGAAAACTCTGGAAACGGCTAACGCGCGCTCGAGGGATGGATCCCACTGACACCAAAATCGCTCCAGCAGCGAAACGTCCCGAGGTCGTTGAGGTATACGCTGTACGGGGGTTCCAGGTGAGCTTTAGTTCGATCTCTGCGCACTTTTATTCTTACTAGAAATGAAAATAACAGGGATATGTTGCAATGAAGCGGGTACGCAAGACAGAGTTACCGACGGTGACGTGCAGTGCTCCTCTCCCTGCAACACACCCCAGTGCATCGTCACAGCCGGGATTATCGTTGCAAGTGGTCTCTGTACAGGCAGGGCCATCATCGCAAGCCATGGTTGGAAACAGCGCTCAAACTTTGCGAGCCGTTGGAGGTTCATCATCACACGCGTCTCCATCACACTTTGTCACCAACTACCACACCAATCACGACTCAGATTCACGCTCAAGCATCGAAGGCTCCTGTAACAGGTTCCTTGACAGGATATGTTTTCCCCGTGGACACTACTACAAAGATTCTTAATGTTGTCTGAATTTTCGTATGCGCTTAGTTTGCATCCTTTGTTTTTTTCCCTCTGCTGAAGCCAAACTCATCACGCAGCGTTCATGCTTCACCACGTTGCCTAAGCTCTCGTATGCTCAGCTTCATATCTACCTTATGTACCAATGGTTACCGTCGTCGCCAATCCCGGTCCACCTTTTACACACGTTCTATTATGGACATATACCACTGTCGGCTGTATTTTTGTAAAGCCAGAAGCACGGAGCGGTTGTTTGGATCTAAAGGATTTGCCAAACAAGGCTGCACAGCGCCATCACGGTAACTCATGATCGCGGTTGACGCGGTAAGCCTGAAGGCCTGACTCATGCCATAAGCAAGAAATGCAACGTACGTATTCTGTTCCTACACGAGTTTGACTGTCACGATTTAAATTGACAGTGATGTCTTATTCAACCTCTGATATAGGCAGGTTGACAGCCTGCCTTGGCTGCTTAATACAATCAATCCGAGGGCAACATAATGTTCGGTGATCGAGATTTAGTAAGCTTCTGATTCAAGTCCGAATCACTAGACAACTCCAAGACATGGACCGATCGACATCATATTCAAGTCCGAATCACTAGATAAATCCAAGACATGGACCATCGACATCATATTCAAGTCCGAATCACTATAGACAACTCCAAGACATGGACCATCGACATCATATGCATCATATTCAAGTCCAAATCACTAGACAAATCCAAGACATGGACCATTCGTGAAATATGACATCATCTCTAGAAGCCCCTAAGGGAGTATAAATATTGAAATAATACTATAGCTATACCCTCATCCTAACCAGCGAGACAACTAACACTAACCTCTAACGCCAAACATGATTTCAGCCTGCCAGCATTTCGCAATCCTGGCTTTCGCTATTCTCGTTCCCGCGGTCACAGTAGCGCTTGTGGTCCTCATACCTGCGCACGCCGTACTCACGTTGTCGGCAATGACAGCATTGTGCTGGATATTCACGGTCGTTACGCTAACAATTGACCCGGAACTGTCGCACAGCTGCGCTCTTCCTCTTATGATAATCGTATCCGTGACTATATCGTTCGTCGACGCCCACCGCATGGCTATAGTCGAATGGGAAGACGGTTAGTGAATTTAATATTGTGAACCAACATCAACTAATCTATATGTATTACAGGTTGGGCGGCCAATGGACTGCTCGGTCTGGCAATAATCGCCTTTTTTATCTTTTCCGCAGGTTTGGCGAGCGAGAGGCGTTCGGGTTCGGGGGCGGGCATTTTAAGAAAGCTCGCTGACAACCTTTCCCCATTCGTCAATGACCTCCGGCACATAGCTGTAAGTCATAAATATTCCATACTAGTAAGTCATTCTATTTCATTTACTACGTATGCGTGAGCTAAATATTATTTCAAGCCACAATACGATCCTTACTCACATTGTCAGACTCTCGCACAACCTGCCGCCGCCGCCGCCGCCGGTTTGGCCGCCACCGCTGCCGGTTTGGCCGCCGCCGCCACCGCCACCGCTGATTCGGGCGGCGCCGACGCTTCTACAGCGCCAGACACACATGAGCTTGATTCGCGAGAGGGTGGGCATGGTTGTGTTGCTGAAGACCGGGCCCCGGCGGGAGCGTGACCTGGAAGATAACTTGGAAGTTAGCTAGATCGTTTATGTAATGCATCAGACTCAGTTGCGGGATATTCATATCAATATGCTGCGTTCATTGCTTTGCGATTTTCTTTTAAAATTTCACGCAATTCAAAGGACGTGCGATGCACATGGCCTCAAATCGCTCAGTTGTTAAGTATGCACTACAACTCACTCTATTCTGACCTGCCGTCCACCGAGTTCAATGCGCACTACTTGAAACACTTGTACATCCTGACCAGCAGGAGTGACCAGTCTAAGATTACACTTTGTTCATGAACGTGGCTACTGGCTGGTGGTGTTCGTTCAGGCAGTTTGTTGAGCGTGTCCGCGATGGCGCTACTGCACCTGGTGCTGATGTGGCACAGGGTGGCCTAGGTCTTCGTCCAGAGAATGGACAGTTTGTAGGCATCCTGAGCGAGACCTGCCCGGTGCGTTGCAAACATTTTTCTTATGGAGCCTGTAAAGTGAATGAGGTCATTTTCAGGACTACATCGCGTTGATGCATTCGCTACTAGCCATAACAGTCCCGTTTCGTCCTACTCAACATCGTACGAGCTCAAACACGCCAATGCGCTCGCGCAGGCAACTAGGATCTTTGCCAGTGACTCCCTCGTTCCTGCCACTCGCTTTGACCTTGGGTCTCCCAGCAGATCGGATCTACCTCCTAGAAGGAGAGAATAACGGTTTCACGAACTACAATCAGCTCGTCTCCTCTGCCCGCAAGAGTGGTATACCACGGCTGCCAATCCGTGATGCTAATAAGGAGACTTGCAGCTCTGTATCTAGCGCCATTATGAAATATTTGGCTAGGTCCATGATCGCTCAGAGGCATGGGCCTCTGTGCCGATGCTTGCGGGCCCGAGGCCAGGTAGCACATCGCTAACATAATTCAATGCATCCCGCGAAGTGTTCTATGAGATTGTGGAAATAGACTGTTTGATTAATCACTTCAATTGAGGGGATCGAACCAGTGCATTGGTTGTTTACTTTATTTTTGTCAAACACCAGTAACTCAAGTAATGGCACGAGAATTGCCTTGTGAACTTTATGTCTGCCAATATCGTACATGACTCTGCGAGGGAATGGTAAGACACGACATCATCTCTAGAAGCCCCTAAGGGAGTATAAATATGGAAGTAGCCCCTAGAGTTATACTCATCCCCACATTTTCATCATATATATCGCTTCCAAACATGATTTCAGCCTGTCAACATTTCACAATTTTAACATTTTCGTTTGTGGTTTTCGCAGCTACAGTAGCGCTGGTGGTCCTCGTCCCTGCGCATGCTGTCCTCACTTTGTCGGCAATGACAGCATTGTGCTGGATATTCACGGTCGTTACGCTAACAATTGACCCGAACCTCTTGCACAGCCGTGCTTTTCCTCTTCTGATTACTATATCCTGGACTATATTGCTCGTCGATCTCCAGATTCTCCACCACATAGGCGAATGGGAAGTCGGTTAGTGAATTTAATATTATGAACCAACACCAACTAATCTATATACATCACAGGTTCGGTGGACGAGGGATTTCTCGGTCTGGCATGCTTCGCCTTCGTTATCTTTTCTTTTGGTTTGGCGAGCGAGAGGCGTTCGGGTTCGGGGGCGGGCATTTCAAGAAAGCTCGCTGACAAATTTTCCCCATTCGTCTATGACTTCCGGCGCATAGATGTAAGTAACAAATATTCCATACTAGTAAGTCATTCTATTCCATGAACTACGTATGCTTGAGCTAAATATCATTTCAAGCCACTACATGATCCTTCCTCACATTGTCAGACCTTCGCACAACCTGCTGCCGCCGCCGTTTCGGACGCTACCGACACCGCTGATTCGGGCAGCGCCGACACTTCTACAGCACCACGCACACTTGATTCGCGAGAGGGTGAGCCTGGTTGTGTTGCTGAGGACCGGGAGCGTGACCTGGAAGATAACTTGGAAGTTAGCTAGATCGTTTATGTAATGCATCAGACTCAGTTGTGGGATATTCATATTGCTGCGTTCATTGCGATTTTCTTTGAAAATTTCACGCAATATCAAAGGACGTGCGATGCACATGGCCTCAGATCGCTCAGTGGTTAAGTATGTACTACAACTCACTCTATCCTGACCTGCCGTCCGAGTTTAATGCACACTACCAAACACTTGTACACCCTGACCAGCAGGAGTGACCAGATTAGTACTAACACTTCGTTCGTGAACGTGTCTAGTAACTGGCCGGTGGTGTTCGTTCAGGCAGTTTATTGAGCGACTCCGCGATGGCGCCACTGCACCTAGTGCTGACGTAGCACAGGGTGGTCTAGGCGGCCTGGCGTAGTGGCACGAGAATTGCCTTGTAAACTTTATGTACTGTCTGCCAATATCTAATATCGTACATGACTCTGCGAGGACAGTCAAAGGAGACTTTTTCAAAAAGCTATCACGGAACTTCATTCGCCAGGCTCTCTCGTTGAAGATGGTACAATAAATTTACCACTCCCAGGAGAGAAAATATCCTGCACACCATCAGATGAGCTCTAAGAAATAAATGACACACTTACCATGATCATTCCTCTCGAAATGAGCCGAATCGCAGCTCTGCTCTCCCACAGGGGGTATATTACGACTGCGAACGCCGACAAGAATGTCCAAATGATACCGACTATCACCCAGACCGAAAAGCCAGTAACGCTAAAGACTGTCTGGGCGAAGAAAAGCGGGAGAGGGATAAGTATCATCAGCACCAAAGTCTGTAGAGCGAGCGGCCTCAGCAGCTGAACAGTTATCAGAAAATTTTAAAACACGAACAAGTGCTATTGACGCTTTGACGGCGAACTTAAATGCTTTATCTAGGTTGACTGGATCCAGATCGGGATCGACTTGCGCTTCGTTCGTCGCGGATGACACTGACACATCCGGACCCTTCTTCTCATCGTCTGACTCCTCTAGTGTGTCGCTGACTTTTCTACTAGCAACAGCGGCACTGTGGTTATTAATTGCACGAGTCGAAGCAAAATCATAGTCATCTGGCCACTGCAGGATTGATCAGCTCGTGATCTCAAGAGATGGAACAATTTGCGCACGATAAGCGAAGCGGCAGTTGAGATAATAGCACCGACACTGATTGATGCAAGGTTTCCTGCGAGCATTTCGTAGTTGCCTATCAATGGGTCGGTTTAGCTACACATCAGTATTGAAGTTAGTGGTCATCTGACCTCCGCTCGTCTGATCATGCAGCAAAGTCAAAAACGAAATGATGGAAAAATAAGAGACGTACGGTGACATTGATGACTTTTTGGTTAAGCGCAGACGTGGTGACCAGCCAGGCAACGACACCTGTGGCAAAACCAACGAGCGAACCAGCAATGCAGCCCACTTTACTAGCTTTTTTCCAGGTGATGCAAAGGGCAATTGGGCAGACAGCAGAGCCGAGTATGACACCCATAAACGTCTGCAAACCATATCAGACACAATGCGTAGCACGGACGGATACAAACACTGACATAAAGCCAACCCATGGACACTCCGATGTAGTAGAAAATAACACCGGCGATACCCATTACAAGGGCAAAGATGACAACCTACTCATGACAATTAACCAGGATTGGATTTGCTTGCATGAAGAATGTAGTATACCCCTGCATGGCTCATACGCAGAATTTGTTGCTCCGTAGCCTTCGGATTAATATATCTCTATAATCAACAGTGAGCGATTTTAGCGCTGAATGCTGGGTAAGAACATACCACATAGACATCGTAAGTCAAAATAGAAGAGACTGCAATGAGCTCTGCACTCGTGGCACTCGTCACAGCCAGGAAGAGGACGATAAGAAGTGCAGCTGCGCCCAATTGCCCGAGCAACGTCGCAGCAGCTAGCGAGGCTGGAAGACCCTCTGAGATGGCATTTTGCGAGAGCGGCGCAAGCTTCGGAATAAAACTGCTAAATAAAGGATCTTGTGACGAAGAGTTGGCGGCGGGTACCGCAGAAAAAGCCACTGCAGCAAGCCCAAGCGTCGTTGAGAATGTAAACGGAATAGCAAACCTACGCTTGAATCAGAAAGGCACATGTCAGTAAAGACACACCAACTCACCAAGCCAAGCCACCAATAAGGTATGCCTTGACGGTTGTGGAAGGCCTGCTGGCAATGGCGCGCTGCCAATATGCCTGGTCCTGGAAGACAGTTGCGAAGTTGCCAATGAGGTTGATTACACCAAAGATGAGGCCGTTTTTGGAGCGGAGCGTTAGGTACGAGCCCCCAGCATTACCGGCTACGGGTGAGATCTGGGATACCTCACCCAGTAGATAGTGCATGTGTCTAATGGAGCCAATATCGCCCGAGGTTGCGTATACGGTGAACACAAACGTCAAGATGATGGCGAAGAGGACGGTTGTATGTGTGCTGAAAATAATAGCATGGGTCAGGGAACATGCCATAGACGACAATTCACTTACTAATCGCAAAGTAGTGTGGAACGCATTCCGCCAACGACAACATAAATGGAAACACCCAGTGGAATGAGGAAACACGCAGCAATCGTGCTCATTCCAGTCAAACTCGTCACAGTGGCTGAACCACCCAAAACAAGCATTGACGATACGATCAAGTTTGTTACAAGACCGAAAGCCATGAAAACAAGATGCGCTGTAGTTCCCCACCGCGCTCCAATAATCTCAAGCCAAGTATGTGCATAGGGAGCATTGAGCTTTAGCTTCGCAGCAAGCTGTGCGAACAAGAGGACCTGTACGGTCGCACCTGCTGCATACCACCAAGGCCCTGAAATGCCATATCTATAGGCGACTGCACTAGATTGGAGCTAAGTGATATCACCCGGTAAGCCACATGTGGATATGGATGCTGAACATGGACATACTAGCGTTGCTGCCCACGTCCAAGCAGAAACAATGCCTGAGGCAATAAGCCCAGGCTTCACTGAACGTGAAGCAGACGAAAACTCCTCGGAATCTTTGGGAGAGACACCTGTGTAGCGTGCCTGCATAGCAGTCAAACCCACCATGAAAGCACTGAAGAACAGTCCGATCCCTGGATATCTTCAGCAAATGGTAGAAGATATGTTGCAACGTGTCTTACCAACGACTAACAATGTTACTAGAGATCAGTGTTGTTATAAGGGAAACGGGAATGAACTCACCGACGCCATAGCCTGCGCCTTGAGGGAGAATTTCACTGGTCGACATACGAGCAAAGAGGTTCAGAAAGAAGCTAGACCTTACCTCATTTATATATCGCACCTCTTATCACGAAGAAGATGCAGTTTGCCATTTTCAAATCATCAGGTGCGATGACCGTACACTTTTTCAAGTCCCCATGAAGAGCAAGCGTTGATATCGTGATTGTAGCGTTGCGAACCAAGTAAGGACCTCCAACCAGAACGGAGGTCTTCAGGCATAGTGTCCCTATAAAGGCACCTAACTTTGATGTCTTATCAATCTGGCCCTCATACAGAACTTTTGACGATGAGCCAAATGAGTGATTGGCGACGACTTTGGATTGTTTACCCGCGAGGATGATGCCGGATGCAAGACGGGGAACCCCAACGGTACCAGTGACAGAAAGCGGTTGAATCCTCAGTGGAATTGGGAACGCGTGTCAACGCAACGATATCGATGTCATACGTGAGATTTCGTGGTATCGCCAAGGAGTCCTCCTGTCTCGCATTGCAGAACAACTCCGACATGTCGGGATTTCTTCAGAGCGACAAAGACGGGCTAGATTACAGACATTAACAACGCCACAGTACTGTTGCCATCCCAATCTGCCTTGTAGAAATATGGTGAGCTTCATAGGAAGATAACAGATACCCCGGGGCGTAGACTCCGGATACATGCCCGTCAGCTCTCTGTTCTCGAATCTCCGCAAGTCGAACTGCCATAATCATGCGAAACTGGCCCCTATGAATAGATAAGCTGGCAAACAAACTATCATGGGGGTAAAACATTCCAGGGAATGGAAACGCTCGAGGCCCAGGAAGTTCCTCTGTAGATATGTGGGTGCCAAGGTTCCCACCAAGTAAACAAATGAGGGTCTTGTCTGTAAAGTCATGCATTGGACATCCGAAGATGAAGGTTGGAGGCATCTCGAATTGGCACCCGTGAGTACCCAGGCGACAACATTGATTGTAACCTAGCAGGAAGGGTCATGTGTATAAATGTGTAACCAAGACGTACCAATGATTGACTACCTGGTGCTCTCGAACATAAATCAAGCACCGCCCTGTAACTCTGGGAGATCCCAAGGTCCGCTAGGATCGATGCTGAGTCGCTGACCTATGCAGCCTAGTAGTTCTGAGTTCTTCCGCGGCATGGCTACAATCATTAAGTTCAGTTTGCTCCTTTGGACGAGTACTAGGGGAATTAGAAATTCCTTTTGAGTCTTTTCAACTTGAATCTGCCTGTCCGAAGTTCGCTTGTACCTTGTGGTGTGATCCAATGTGCAATACCTCCAACAAGTGGACTCCGTATGTATACTCCGCATGTATAGGACGGTAATCATTGAAGTCGACGGCGCCAGGAAATGAGCAAAAATTCTGCCGGATGTCAAGTCATAGTCAAGTGGACAGCTGTCTTCCTTCATATAATGGTCTGCCTATACGAGAGTCTATAGTCAGACTCCCGCAATTCAAATCCGTAACACCCTCCTGCGAAGCCTTCACAATGTCATAGTATTGAGTAATACCAAGTTCACCGTGACGACACGCCATTGCGATATTGGCGTATTTCTTCTCGCGAACGGCAGTCGCAGCCAGATCTTGAATCCGCGCCTCGGGTTTCTCGGCCTTCGGACCTTCTGTGCAAAAACAACGCAGCTTTCGGCATCATCGAAGGGATGGATATACAATGAGTGCATCTGAGCTTGATTAGTGCACATCACTGTTCCGCTGGTATGGGTTCTTAGGGTATAGTATGGGTATGGCGGTCATAGTGGGTATGGCGGTCATGGCGGGTATGGCGGGTGGGACGCGTGACGAATAACGTTACGTGGGTCGTAACTCTACAGTACTAGAACCTTCCTGCTATAGCCTAAGTAACTAAATATATAGACCCCGCAGACCAAGCGGCATTCCACCAGGAAGCACTATGAAGTCAAGACGCAAGAGCATCATAAGAATGGTCCACACAACACCATGGGTTGAGCCCATGTCAGTGTCAACAGGGGTGCGATTTCGAACGGTCAATATAAGTAAACGATAAACAATTCAAATACACTGGCAACAACTTCTTCAAGGTAAAACTCATGTCTGCCACTGTGCAAGAGCACAGTACTGACAATAATCACTTGTAGTCTTTGCAGTCATCCCTTCTTGCTGTGACATCCGGTTCCTCTGGCCTCCCAACCTGTCCTCAGCTCGACGATTCTGGAACATCATCTCTCGACGTTTCCCGCCGGTAAATGAGGGCATCCCACAAGAACACCAAAAGCGCGGTTTCTTTTCTCGTCGTTCTCGCTCGAACTCATCACTGGAGTCCACAGCCATAAATCCCAACCAACCAACCAACCAACCAACCAACATCACAAGTCTTATTTCGACTCCCGCACACGGTCAATGATTTCAAGACGACCACCGTCAGCGTTATCCCGCGAATGATCCGCTTGCGCCGGGAAGGATAACGGCAAACAACGAGACGGGCCTCCCGCCGACCTCGATAGCAAAAATAATCGAAGCCTCTGGAAACGGCTAATGAACGCTCGAGGGAAGGATCCCATATCGGCTCCAGCAATCAAACGTCCCGAGGCCGTTACACTGTCTGCCGTGCGTGGGTTCAAGGTGAGCCTACAGTACTATTTTCTACATACTTTTTCTTACCAAAGGCGGAAATAACAAGTATATGTTGCACAGACACTGAAACGCAACGGCATTGCTCTCGCTCCAGCTCACCCAAGTTGCCCGTTACCGGCGGGCCCATCATTGCAAGGTGATTCAGTCCAGTACATTGTTGCAAGATACTTCAGGACAGGGAGGGCCGTCATCGCCAGCTATAGTTGGGGGTGGAACTCAATACCCCCAAGCTATCGGGGGTTCGTCATTGTAATTTGTCGCTACCAACCACACCAGTCATGACTCAGATTCGGACTCGATTCAATGTTTTTGCAATAAGTTCCTCGACAAAATATGTTTTCCCTGTGGACACTACTACGAGGATTCATAGCGCTGGATATTTGACCTGCTTCCTTCGTTTTACTTTGCGAACGTCTTTTTTTCGCTCCTTTGACAATCCAACTCCTACAATTTTCGTCACGCTATTCATGTTCGCGCATATTCAGCTTCGTCACTTCATTTTGTACTGCTATTGTCGGTACTTAATTTGGATCATTACACCCCTTCTACAGTGGTCGACTGTACTAGAAGTACGTCGGCGGTAGCTGTTTGGGTCCATGACAATCTCCCAGCAATTGCGAATACAACGGCTCTCTCATAAGTCCTTCGCACAATCCCCTCGTGCATGAGCTGCACACGAATGATACAGACAGTGCAGGCATCTGAATCCAATCAGACCCTGTTGTACCGCATGACAAATATCCTCGCCCTGGCATGATCTGCGAGACACACGAGGTCGTGCGTAGATAGTGGCTTCAGGGGCATTCATTTGACGTATAGTCAGCCGGTGACCTCCCTCCCACGCGCTGAAGATTCGGCGCTGCGGTATCATGCACGGAAGTACTGTCTGAGCGTTCTGAGCGCTCTATTGTTTTCTGCACTTGCGCGGAGGTCAGAGAAACTTTGATGCGACGAGTAAAAACACATTTCTCTGGCAGAGATCTATACCGTTTACCAGGCAGGTGATGCTCGGTTGCACGTGTCCGCATCAGGAGCGGCTTTCTTGTCCTGTCTGGAAATACCTCCAAATTTGAGCCCATGAGCCGCTATCAATGGACCTGAGCTTGCGGCTTATTGTAAAGATACCGCTCACTTTACAATAGCGCGCTTGGTTCACCACTCTCACCATCCAGATATAATAAATTGACGACATCAATGAACAGATCATTCTATACTCGGATATCCCTGACTGTCAGCATGCTCATCTTAAATATAAAAAGGACTCCTTTACCTCTTCCACCAAGCTCGGTATGAGCCACGAGGAGCTACCTTGCAAGAATATCTGGGTCCAGTATCTAGGCATGGCAGCCGTTTCCAAGGGTCTTGGAGTACCACAGAAGGAGATTCGACAATTCGGACATGTATACCGTGCCCATCCTCAGCGACCCCAACACCAGCGCTTTCATTGACGGATCCCTCGTGACCCCAGTGTATCTTGAGAAAACTCATCCATCAAAGCCCATCTCCCCGCACGGCTCCGATATGGTTATTAGCGTGACTGACTCTGCATATCTCGACGACCCACGCCCTGTCGTGAGTTTTTCCGACGCCCCCGGAGAGATTACAACTTCCTTGGGGAAAAATTTTCACTCGGGGGTTCAAAATGTGCGGGATCGAGATCGAGGTGTTACACGAGAAGAGCAGTAGGCATGTGTTGTGGGAGATGTGTTCTCTTATGCGGACATTATCGTGGCAAGTCGGCTGTTTAGTGTACCGACACATCTTGAAAGATGACGCGTGTGCCAGGATCGGTTCTTGGGATGGATGGAGATGGGTAAAGGTGCTAAATAATATTCAACATTACCTTGCATGAAGTGGTGTAAAGACCATCGCGACGGCTTTGACGTGTCAATGACCGATATATTGTGTTACTAGTCACACACCTTGCAGTTATAAATATCAAGCAGTATAGTTTCACATACACAATACAGCTGCCAGCGACATCATGCAACCCATCATCCTATATGATATACCAAGCAAACTTCCCAAGAAAACATGGTCGCCCAAGTCATCAAAAATGAGGTGCTGTACACGTGTTGCAACACCTTAATAATAATGGCCAACTCACATCAGTCGTCAGATTCTGTCTGGGCCACAAAGGCCTTCCGTATGAAGTTATCTGGGTAGAGTTTCGTGATATTTCCGCAACCATGAAAGACATTGGCGCATCGCCAACAGCTGGGGAAATATACTCCTTGCCAGTCATTAAGGACCCCAATACTGGCGCAGTGATCTCCCACTCCGACACGATTACTAAATATCTCGACGAAACCTACCCTGACAAGCTGCTTATACCCCGCGGGACACATGTACTCATACAAACCTTTGAAACCCTATTTATCGGCACGGTTGTGGGGCCCTCCTCGGAACTCCTTATGGCCAGAACACTCGAGATACAGAACGATATTAGCCGGGAATCCTTTATCGAATCGCGGTTAACGATGTGTAGAGAAACACACTGGGAAGATATGGCTCCCAAAGAGAAGGCACAACGGATGTTCGCTGCGCTCAAGAAGGGCCTTGGTGTGGTGGATGGATGGTATCAAAAGAGCGGAGGGAGGTGGATTATGGGGGACACATTCTCGTTTGGAGATCTTGTTGTGGTTTGTTATGTGGTTTGGTGGAGCGCTATTTTGAATAAACAAGAACGCCGGGAGATCCATGCCTTGCATGGGGGAAGATGGGCGCGTCTTTTGGCGGATGTGAATTTCGAGTGCAACACTGATTTAGGCTACTTTGACTCTGAGGAACATAATAATAGTCGTTCCTTCTTATGATCTTCATGCATTTTTTAGCTCAAGAAGCCCGTGGCCGCGGACTCTCAGCTGGGTCATCAAAGAAACACCATGATCGCACGTCGCTGCGCCGTCGGGCCGTGCTTGAACGCGGCGGAACGTCGCGTGAATCTTGTGATGTCGCAGTTTCAGTACGAACTGAGGTAAAGACCCAGGTATCGAGGGTGTACGGTACGCCGAAGCACTATGAGAGCGCGGCGGAATGCAGGTGGAGCTCACATTTTGTAGGCAAGCTTGTGCGGTCAACGATCTATCAAAGTAAGTAGCTGATATCATAAATTACTCTAGACATCAATGACCCCAAGTCTGGTAGCTGCAACTCCAAATTCCCGAACCGCGTTGAGAAAATAAATCCTATCTTTATCGAGCCACATGCCCTCTAACTGCCCCAAACCGAACTTTCTGTCCAACACGACCCTCGACACAAGGTAGGGATGTCTAATCAAGCTGGGGCCATCGGACCTGCCAATCGTGTTGATCGAAGACGGTTCTTTCACCACTCGTCCTAGACCCCGCCTGTTCGTCACAGCCAGCAGGCTGAATTCCATCACATATAATTTATACTCCTCGGGATGTGAGTTTGGCATGTCGGCTGGGAATGTCAGCAAAACTCGATTCCTGCTAACACTGACTTCGCATTGACATGAATGCTCAAAAACACGAGCATTTAAAGGGCCACAGTATGGCAGCCGTTCCGTCAAGATCGAAGAAACCCCGCGTGGAAATGACGAAGGATAGAGGAGGAAAAAAATTTGGTGGAAAGGTATAGTAGTCGACGTTTAGGGTCCGAGGTGCACTGTTTGTTGGACTTGCATCTGTGGCTGCTCAATGACATCCTCCGGAAGGAGGCAGTCCCACCAGCCTATGTTGAAGGGTAACAGGAACGACGCCAGAAATTGCGGCGTCTGAGACATATCTTCAATTAAATAAAGCTTCAGAGTATCATGGACAACCACCAATTGTTTCCGAGGAAACAAAAATCGATTTCCTGTAATTGTGGAGCTGCTGCTCCGCTGAGGACGCTCTACATAAATTAAGAATTCCCTCAGCCTGTCAAATCTTTCAACATGACAAAAGCTCACATTGGATGTCGTTGAGTGTTGCCAGTCCCAAATCTACAGCTGCTACATAGTCTCGCGTGTGATCCCGGGGGAAAAGCAAATGTAGCGCTGCAAAGCGATATGCCTCCCACAAACCTTGAGCCTCGGCGCGTCTGTGTCAACAATGCGGTTGTCCTCGTATATAGGCAACCGCGACAGAAATAGTGTCCGTCCAGCACTGAAGTTCCTCGGCAAGAGAATGGAACCCTGCTTTGGACTCCATTTTGTGGTCCAATATCTTCTCGTCACGACCAGATATGCCAGTGAGTGGGAAGTCACGGTAGGCGTAAAACGTGCACGAGCAGACGTGCTTAATGTTGAGAGGTAGCGTAGACGAACGGTCAAGACTCAGATTGTCTGAGCTATGTCAGCATTTAAGAGAGCTTAGAGTGTATATGTCAGATGTTCTGAATCGTTGATTCGACATTCCGCAAGAGCAGTCCTGCTCTATAGGAGAAATTCCTAAATAGGGACCGCACATGGTCACGTGATTTTCTTTCGTTCCGTCCTTCGTTCATTACGCCTACTACAGAAGGCCCTCTATTTGTGTGGAAACCTGTAGGACTTAGCCGTAAAGCACAGTAAAGGCGCTATCGAAAAGAGTCCAAAACTTACACCACACTTCAAACACCCCCACCACTCTTCTCAACAGGTATCCTCCTCCTCTGCACACCCTTCTTACTCACAGTAGGCGCGATCGATACGTCTTTCAAATCTCCACAGATCTGCAAAGTCAAGGTTTGTATGAGCATGAGCATGGACGGGCACGAACGAACACAAATACAACGAAGATGAAGTGAGAGATGGAATAAGAACGAACCTCGACAAACTCTTCAAAATCTACCACATCTCTCCCCCTCCCTTTCCCCTCAGGTGAATCAGAAAGTCCCGCCTCCCTTAGGATATATCGGAAATCCGACTCCCGCACACCGTCATAAGCATACCCAAGCCCCGCAACAGACCGCACGGCTTCTCGTATCCTCGATACGGGCATCTTCATCTGATCCTGCTCCTGTGTCCCAAATCCAGACCCAGAACCAGAATCACCAGGCACGCGCGCATGCTGTCCAAACACCTCCCGGAGCGTTTCAATCTCCCCCGGCTCAAACAACGCACGCGGATACGTCGCGGCACCCGAAAATGGGCGCAAAAGCGCAGGACACCCAAACAGCGCCCACACGCGCCGCTGTACCTCCCCCATGCGTGACCAGCCTTCTCCCGACGAAGTTGTAACCGCTTCTACCCGTCCACCCGCGCCCATCCCACGTAGCACCTCCTCTGCCCTCCTCGCCTCTTCCCCCCTCCGTCTTGTATCCCACTCCAGGGTATCGCCCATGACGCGTATGACTTCTGGTAGTGCACTAAGTGCTGCGCGTGCATCAACGAAACCTAAGCGTGTGCGCCGCAGGAGCACGTCGAGTGGTTTTTGTGCGTATTCGTGCGTGAGCGCGTATGTGATCTCGGAGTGTGTGAAGGGGTAGGGAGCGGATAGAGGACGGTGTGGGTCCAAGGCCGGCGTTTGGGCCGTGGAGGAGAGGAGAGCCCATGCTTGTGAACCGTAGGATGAAGAGAGGTGTTGTGCAACTTCTAGGTCGATACCGTACTGCAGGATGTATCGGTAAGAGTGTTAGTGGATGTGAACTACATTGGAGGGGGTACTCACCCGTTGAATCAACCCGATGAACATATTACGATCCCACCCTTCGCTTCCTACAAGCCGTAGCTCTTGGGTCTGGCACTTCCGAGCCTCTTCCGTCAGCCCAGGGCCCACTTCAATTGCTTTATCGACCGCCTCTTCTGCCATCGCACGATAGGTAGTCCACTTTCCGCCCGCGATAGTCACCATACCGCTCTCATCCACCTTCACTACATGACTTCTCACCAACCCCTCCGTGCCACCCGCCGCACCAGATGAAATAAGCGGACGGAGTCCCGACCACGCTGAAAGCACGTCCCCGCGGCGCACCTTGATATCCCCACTCAAATACCCACGCACCTCATCTATGACCCACTGTATCTCAGACTCGCGCGGGAGAATATCATCACCGCTTAAATACGCGTCTTTCTCTTCCTGAGGCTTAATATGGGCGCGCATGTCATAAGGCTCGTCTGTTGTGCCTGCTACAACGCCACCTTCCCATGGGAGGAAGAAGACGACACGGCCATCGCTTGTCGCAGGGTCTAGGAGTCCCATGCCTTTAGGGGCGTAGTAGGAAGGGAGGGCGATGTGCACGCCTGAGCTTGCGCGCACGATGGGTTTGTGAGTGGGTGTGGAGAGGGAGAGAAGGGAGTCTGTGTATGGCCCTGTAGCGTTGATGATTACCTGTTGGGGTGTTGGTTGTTATATGTGGTGGAATGGGAGAACGCACTTTGGCTTTAACGTCAAATTCGCCTCCGGCGATGTGGTCTTTGACGCGTGCGCCTGTGATGAGGCCTGTGGTGGGGTCTTTGTGGAGGGAGGTGACACCGCAGTAGTTAGCGGCGGTTGCACCTGCTTTGATGGCGGTGAGGATGAGGGCGATGTTCATGCGGGAGTCGTTGTGTTGGCCTGAGGGGGTGAGAATGAGAATGAGTGGATTGGAATAGAGATGAGACATACCGTCGTAGTAGACCACGGCACCGACGAGCCCCTCACTCTTGAGCATGGGGAATTGTTCGAGGGCCTTGCCCTTGGACATGAGGTACGAGGATTCCATGTTTTCCTTGCCAGCAAGGAGGTCGTAGAGTTTGCATCCGGACCAATAGTAGGGAACTTGCCAGTACCTAGTTATTTGTCAGTGATGGTGATCACTGGATGGGGTGATAGACGGTGGAGTTGGAAACGGGGATTAAAGATAATGACGCACTTATAAATGGGCAGCATGATAGGGAGCATGTGGCTCAAATAAGGAGCAGTCTGTAGGAAGACCCTCCTTTCACGCAGAGCCTCGCGAACGAGTTTGTACTGCTCGTAGTCAAGCTCGAATATGGCTTTTTGAAGATAGCGCACGCCGCCATGGACAAGTTTCGTTGACTTAGAGGATGTACCTATTAATAGACGTATGTAGTAAGGTTGCATAAAAGAGAATAAACTTACCACTAGCGAAATCTTCCCTCTCGACTAAGGCGACTCGTAGGCCACGACTTGCAGCGTCGACTGCGACACCGGCACCAGTTGCGCCGCCTCCTACGACCAATATATCAAACTGGGTGTCATCTTCGCCCTGCCTTGGATCAGCACTGCGTTTTAAGGCGTTGATCATAGCTGCGCGAGAAGGAGGAGACCATGGTAGTGGTGGGCGTCGAGACTCGTGTGTTGTTTGGGGGTAGGCAGGACCGGAATTGAGATAGAAGTAGCCGGCGCCTGCTGCTGTTGCGGTGGATAGAGTGAGAAGGGTAAGCGTGCGCCGAGTTAGTGCGCGTAGTGGTGGAGCCATAGAGACTAGAGCTACTATCTTGCCTTCTCCAAGATCTGATCAGAGACTAGGTATCCTCCGAGTGCAATCGTGCCTCTACTTTCTTCTTCTAATGGCCGTAGACTCGACTTGTCATCGATTCCAGCTTTGGTTTCTGCTCGTTGGTTTTCGGAAACCATGCACACTTTTGGTTTCATAGCTAAGTACGGGCCGCAAGATCGGGCCCCTTCGAGTCCGTATTCGGCAAGCAGGGGCTTACGTACGCACCATAGTTTGCAAATAAACCAAAATTTCTCCGAGCCTTGCATGCAACACCTTGATCAATCGAAGGCTGGTGACTGTCTCCCCGGTATTCGTATTGCGGCTGCGATGGCAAAAAAGTTACTGGTTGGCATAAGCACTCGGCGCGACGTCGATCACGAGAGGTGGGACCAGAGTCCAGACGTTGAGAACGGTGTTTTGCTTCGCGGACGACTCGATGTCCAACATACCTTTTTCCAGAGTCACTATGCAGGAGCTCCTGCAGGTTGGTTCATTTCAGTCTGCAAAGCACCATGACCCTTGTCGACAGCCCTAACTCTTCCGGAACTGAGGCTTGAAGATCGTGACGGTCCCCACTGATGTCTGTCACTTCTGCCGACGGCCAGGTGGCATCTCTCAGGTCTGAAACTCTGCGATAGAGTGCGGTCACTTACGTTCACCCGCTAACGGCAATGCCTTCGAACCGAAAACTTGGCTCCCATGCTATTGACGTTATCGAAGCATCTCACCCTTGTGTTGCTGTACTGTGTAATCGCATCGTTCTAAAATACGGTATTGCGCCTGTCGATGCGCGACGAGCGAGCTGGTCGAGATCTTGGACAATGGCAGGCACTATGTTATCGCTCAGGATCTCGACCGAGACACAATTGTGAACCTACTCACATTGACGTGATTAGCTTGAAACAAGAGTCAGAGTTTCCATGAATAGAACTGTACGTCGTTATTTTCTCTCGTTCTGGGTCGCACGCACCATCGAACACCCTCAGGACGTACCAATCTCCGTTGGTGGACCAGCCTGGCCGGTCAAACACTCACGAGAAGCATTCCTTTATGGGCGGCACATTTGTTGCGAGTTGCTCACACACGGGACTAGAAAACCGATTACCTACGCTGAAGTGAAATGTTTTCTTTGGAACAAACAAACACGTATTGGAAATATTGTTGCGTTCTCGTGTTGTGAGTACATCGCCGCAATCTCATAGACAGAAGAAAACACTTGTTCTTTCTATCTACTTAACGCCACCTCTACCAATGACCTGGTCGTCGTATAAAAGGGCCGGGGCAATAGCTCTGGGCCAGATGCTGTCCGCCGCGTCTGCTGATCTTGCCGCTGACCGGTGTTTACGGAGGGGATGGATATCAGCTTCTTGCAAGGCACATGAAGACATGCCTGATGGAAAACACAGAAAGGACGAGCAGGTTACTTGATAATGCGAGGATATCGGAATTGCACGCGCCTCAAGCACGCCCAAGGTGGGGATCACGGTGAGCAGTGCAGCAAAATCTGTTCAGAAAAGTGAGCTATTACATTACCGGCCTGGAGGACGCAGCTTAGCGTATTGTGTTCTATTGTGTAATAACACAGAGGATGAAACATACGCTATGTTTCCCACCCACCCGTGCCTCGGGCAGGGATGCGTTCATGAAATGCGTGCGCACTTGGCATTAAATCATTGATCGCTAATAGATCGCTACAGTAAGCACTAATAAACAACCGGGATTAACGCTTACGCTCTTCAATCAGTCCCTATATGGGAGAAGTTAAAGAGACTAACACTAGCGTCGGAGTCGCGTACAACTTGATACTCCCTAGATAACATTGTAGGCTTCAATATGCAGACACAGCGAATGTTTTACCGCACCCAGCACGTATTCTAATAATCTCAAGTTCGGAGGTGGTGATGCTTGTCGGAGTATCAGAACTTCTTTTCCGGGGGCGAGTGTTACAAACGCCGACCCGAATAAAAATTTTAAGTGTGACGAGAGCGGGCCTCCAATAGGCTGGCAGGCAGGCCGTTTAGATCAACGATATGCAGTTGTTGTGCGAAAGAACAACGTAATTAGCCTGCGCACTTACCGCTAGCAGAGTCTAGAACGGTCTAGAGTTGTTGATCGCATTGAATGGCCTCTCAGCGAGCACTTGTTGTCTTTATTGGCTGATCAGAATTCGAAGGCGAGAATCGAAATTTTCGCCTAACCGTTCCGTAAACAATATGAGAGAATGTATAAAAGCAAGGCGAAAAGATGGAAGAAACTCATCCTCTCTTGTCTCTGACCACCGAGTATCATTCCTAAACAGCCTCCTATCACCAAATCATCAAAAATGATTTTCAACATCCTCGCTCTTCTTCCCCTCGCTCTCTTCGTTTCTGCAGGCAGCGGCCAGTGCAACACCGGTGTCATCCAGTGCTGCAACAACAGCACCACTGTGAGTATCGCATTCATTATGCAAGGGGTTCCATTTAACAGCCAACCTGTAGTATGAATCGACGGCGGCCAAAAACGCCTTCGACCAAGCTGGCCTTGTCAACGTTGAGGCAGTGGTAAATGCGTTTGTCGGTCTCACGTGCTCTGGCATCAGCGTCGTCGGCACTTCAGATGGCTGCTCTGCTAACCAGGAGCCCCTTTGCTGCGAGGACAACTCATACGTCAGTTCCATTTTATCTTTCTCTAGGCTTAGGATCCCACTAACGTACCTCTTCAGAATGGTGTCGTCAGCCTTGGCTGCACGCCCATCAACGTCAACGTTTGAGTAACGGATTATGACGTGGTTGCGGATGCTCTCTGGGACAGTATACCATACTTTTACGAACGTTATTATACGCTTTTTGCTGCACGCCCATCAGTAACAAGTAACAGTACCATGATGCCTACACGTTTACCAATGGAGCTTATTGCTGTTTCCTGTTACTCGTGATCAAGAATCATCACGCTAGCTCTCCAGCACTAGAGAGCGAACCTGGCTGTACTCACTAAGCGGCAATATTTTAGCATGCATTGGGAGGGGAACCTTGAGGCGATCTTCTCGATTCAGAAATTGCACCAAGTTGGCCAAAAAGGAAATCTAACTCCGCCATGACGCATTCGCCATGATCTGCATTTACCTGGGAGGTTTAGAATTGTCCCTGGAGGACACAACCCCTTGGGCTAGCAACAATTTGTAGAACCAGGAAGCCACTACATCTATCGCCTTGGCTTAAATTTTCTTTGCAGGGTTCTGATTCAACTTCTCAGAAGTTCAGAAGTTGAGTCCAAACATTCTCACCGCCGACCCTCGTGCCGCTCCCAGCCGCATCTCGACTCTCCGTTTTGCCTTCTATATGGTCTGGCTCTCTCGTTCAGGACTACTTCCGGATTACTTCTCTAATCATGGACTGGACGCCTTCTTTGCTAACTCTTTTCTACTTTGGAATCCATGCTCAATTCCCGGCTCCTTATCCCGGATCTCTCATGCCCCCATGTGCGATGTCCTTCCAGCAGACGATTTCAATGGACACCGACCTCGTGGATGTTGCCGAAAGCAAACGAGGCATAATCGAGCCAGTGACCGTCCAGTGACGAATGCCAATGCGAGGTGCACCTGACGGCCTTGGATGCCGTTGCTTCCAGACTTTTCATGCAATTCAGACCTGCCGCACATTACAGGCGTCTCGCACTACTACCGACGCGTTACTTTTCTATCACCACCATGAACGCGCAGACCGATCTATCTACAACGCGCCACATACCTAGTCTGGCTTTGGTCTGGCAGATTGGGAATTTTGAAAATGCTGCATACCCGATGCGACATGTGAACGCATTCCCGACGTTGACTTGTATTCATTCGTGTGGCTGCATGAAGCACGATTGACTGACATCTTGCTTTCTGTGGGTTTCCCAGCTATCAGAGCTAGGTTCGTGCCCTATCGTACGTGCTTCAAGTCTGAGCTCTACGGAACAGTTAGTCTGTGTCTTCTTGCCTTTGATTTTATTCATGCTAATGATTCATAGTTATATCACTGTACAGTAACGCTGAATTCTCCTTCGTGTTCCTTCCTCTCTGTGCACTCTTTGAGGCATGATGGCGCTTGGTGGGTCTAAGGGCTTTTCTTTTTTTACTATCAATGATGAGCTGGTCACTGGGACGGTAAGGTACGCGCAATTCTTGTAGATGCACGAGGCCAAAGCGATATGCGTTTCGAAGTCGGGCGAATTTCCGTTGGAAACAGCACAGAAAACGAAAATACATACTCGCTATACGAGTCCACACGCGACAGATAGCAAACTCGTCAAGAAATGAGAAGTGCTGTAGTGACATTGCATGAGAAATATGTGAAAGTGAACCAACGGTTTAGACGGGAGAAACTCCCCAGCGTATCTCCTGAGGCTAGTGACCTCTTCGTCTTGCGTTGAATGACCGATTCGATCTCTTGTCAGTTACCAATTATAATTACCGTTCCATAAAAAAAACAGGTGTTTCAAAAATTTGTTGTATTTTCATATACCACGTTGATGCTGTTATGTCACCGGTCATTGAAGACCGCGCCCATCATTTGCACTTACCCTGGCCGATTCTGAACTCTTGAAAGGATTGTACAGAGATGCGACTTGAAACAATGCTGTGGCTGGTGTAGGTCAATCAGCTGCAATGTGTACTGAAACGCGAGTTCAGGGACCTATCAGATTACCTCCGACGAAACGCTTGCGGGGGAAATGAGCGGCGATTGGAAAATTTTGAAGGAGGAATTATGTAAGTGTACCCTGATAGCTCCACCAATCATCGACCTCCTCGGAAGAACACCTGTCTGGGCCCGTTCGGGATAACGACACCAAGACGTACTCCAAGTACAGAAGAATTAAGCGGCACGCCACGAGAGTCCAGAAGAGTCTTTAGTGGTCCTCGCGGTTGCTAGTGAAACTGATTCATTGAAAGCATGATGGAGATTCAAGGTCGATATGGAGGTACCAAGACTTTCGATTGGAGAGTCCACTGCCGTCGTGTTCGCTACAGAACGAATGAGCAGAATTCGGAGGCGAGGATGACAGTTCGTACCTTTGAAAATTTCAATGTACATAATTCCGTAAATCAGGGAGAGGGAATGCATAAAAGCAAGGGCAACAAGTCGAAAGTAACTCACCTCCCTCTTCTCTACCCACCGAGTATCATTCCTAACCAGCCTCCTTCTCTCATCAAAAATGATTGCCGCCATCTTTGCTCTCCTTCCGTTCGCCCTCTTCGTCGCTGCAGACGGTCAGTGCAACACTGGTGCAATTTCGTGCTGCAACAGTGTCACCACCGTGAGTTTTGAATTATGCAGTGTTCAAACGCATTTCTAATCGAAGACATCTAGTATGATTCACCGGAAGCTCAGAAAGCCTTCAACCAGACTGGTCTCGTCGACGTTGCTGCAGTTGTAAACGCCTTTGTCGGTCTCTCGTGCTCTGGTGTCACCGTCATTGGTACATCCTCCGGCTGTGAAGCCAACCAGGAGCCACTTTGCTGCGAGGACAACAAATACGTGAGTCCCTTCGCGTATCCTGTAAGTTTGCGCCCTGACAAACGTCCTTTCAGAACGGTCTCGTCAACCTTGGCTGCACACCTATCAACGTTAACCTTTAAGCGACGGATTATAATGGGGGTTGCGGATACTCACTGGGACAGTATACCTTAATTAGTTGATCGTTATTTGTCAACATACGCTCCTTGCTGTGCATTCGTCAGTAGCAGTACCATGATACCTTCCTGCCTGCCAATGGAACTTAATACTGTTTCGTCTTTTTGATCATTGGGCGATTGTCAGACCTAGATAATTTCGTGGCGCACTTCTGTTCTCAGCGTTGAGCAGTGTCACTATCAGGATCAAAATATCAACTGCGAAGGCTGTTATCAAAAATATATATGCACGTACCTCGGATGACTTGCGCGAATATTTCGTACACGCTGAAATTCGTGTGAATGAGGGATCAACGAGCACCTGACTTTCAGGATTCAGAATTGAATCATAGGCTCTTATAGAGCTTTCATTCATGGTGATGCGGCTAAGGCGACATAGCTATGCCAAAGCTAGTGACATTATGGCCATTGTCAGACGTACACCGTACACGAAATCATGGCGTGCTTTTATATTCAGCGGAGTGACTCTGGGTCAGGATATGAACTGCGAAGTTGTTATCAAGAATGTGCACATACCTTGGATGACTTGCACGAATATTTAGAAACTAGATTCATGGTAATGCGGCTCCATGAATACCTCGCAAACGCAAAACGCAGACCTTGGATGACTTGCCCAAATATTTTGTACACGAGGGATCAACGATCAATGTTCTGAATTTAAGGAATCGGAAACATAAGCTTAAGCCGACATAGATTCATGGTAATGTGGCTCTATGAATACCTCGTAAACGCAAAACGCAGACGTTGTTTAGAAGACGGTGCTTAATTGCACTCACTGATACGGACAATGCATATGGGTGGTGGCGGCTTCTTGAAGAAGTTCAAGTGAACGCTAAAAGCCGGCGATCTTCAACTTCTTGAAATGGGTCATGCTCAACTCGACCAATGCGTCACTGATCCAACCACCTGCAGGCTGCATGCTTTCTGACACAACCTCTACACCACTCGTACAAGCACCAGCCCGCGTAGAGTAACACGCTATCTATCCAGCCTCAAGCCACTCGCCTCGTCCTGCTTGATGTCTGACCTCTCCTTTGCAGAATTCTCGCAAACATTTTCTCCTCCAACTCTCATTCCGACTCTAAATGCGCTCCTCGCCGGCCTATCTCTCCCATTCGGGCTCACATCCCCAACAGACTTAGCGCCCTCTCTACTCCTCGCAATCCTAGAATCCATCCTCGAGTCCCGCCTCCCCATCCCAGCTCCAATCCGCGCCTCCCGCTCCTCCCTCGCAAAAGTAGAAGCCATGAAAGTTTTCCTCGGCGTACTCGAGTGCGATGTCCTCCCACCAAACGAGGACGTCGGTCTCGCGGACCTTGATCCGCGGAGACTGGCGGATGGGTGTTGGGAAGAGACTGTTTTTGTTGGTGAGCTGCTTTGTTGGCTTGGGAGGAAACGAGGGATTATCGAGGAGGTGGATAGTGAGGGCGAGGGCGAGGTGGATCTTACGGCGTCGATGCTGTTGTGTCCTGAACCTTCGTACAACTTGTCGCATATCACGGACGTACCGCGCCATCCACGCGTTGCGTCTCCCTCCACGCGGTCTACTGCCACTATGAGCGCGCAGACCGATCTGTCGATGCATAACGCCCCTCATATGGAGTCTGACACGAGCATGGCGGATTCTGAACTCTCAGATCATACAGAGACGCAGTCATTGCACGATACCCAGCCACACTGTATTCACGAGCTCGAGGACCCCTCATATTTCCACGAGCCCAACACGTCCAATATCGATGATTCAACAGAAGGATCAGACTCAGACCCCGATTGCTCCACCTCCTCCCTAGAACAGCCTCCAACTCCCACACCCCAGCCTATCCGTCTAAAAGGCTGGATCGGCGCTGTCGATTCTGAGCTTGAAATGCAAGCGTTCGCAACGAACAAGCTTAATGCGAGCACGCCTGTTAAAGATAAGAGTCAGCGCCGGCGGAGTTCTGGGCTTTTTCCCGTGACAAGCGGGAACCAAAATAATTCTACCCCTCGCATGCCCACGATGTCGGTGCGTATTCCTGCCAGTGCACCTTCGGCGCGTACCTGGGCCGATAACCTCTCTATTCTTGGGACTTCGCCTTCCGCACTGCCATCAAAGCAAAAGCAAAAGCAAAAGCGGACGGCAGATTATGATTATTGTTCGCCTACGGAACGTACGGTTGCGCTTTTGAACGAGCGCGCGAGACTTCTCAGTGAACTCGCTGATCTGCGGAGGATTAGGAAAGCTAGTCGATAATGTTACGGGCGAGTGGAAATGCCATGGGTAGGGCGTGTTCTCGATGCCTGTTGCGATCTCTTGATCACCACTGGTCAGTTTTGGTTAACTTTATCAAGTTTCTTGGTTCAGCTATCGTTGTACGTCTCGCTTAATTAGTATTACTGAGTTTTAGACCATTTTTGTTTGCTCATGTTTAATTCTAAAGCTTGTAGCAAATAAACCCAAACTTCTACATGGGGAGTGACGGCGATGAGGTGTACCTAGCCCAGACAGGTCATTGTAATTGCAAGGAAGGTTCATTCCAGTAGAAGTGGAAAGTATAAATCTGATAAATGAATCGCCTTATCAGACCAAGCATTCAATAGGCACAAGAGATGTCAGTAGTGGCATGAAAGTTTGATGAGGCGAAATTTTAGAAGTTTGAGGCACTCGAATAGACTTAAAGCCGCACTGGAAGCGCCCGTGTGGAGCGCGTTCGTTTCGTTTGGAATCGGTGATTTCATCACGTCTTTTAAGTCCGTGGCTAATCTCGAGCTCGTTGTTCTCCAGTTCTCCAGGAATCAGGATCGTACCGGTGAAATATGGCTCCGCGATGATTGCTTTGCTTAGTGGTTATCTCCTTCTGGGCGAACTTCAGTCGGTCGCTCACGGTCGCTCCAGGATCAGAGCTCGCAATGCTTATCCTCGACGTCAGTGGGGCTGAATGATGAATGTTGCTACGCAAGGCCACACGATAGGAGTTGTCGGTCCGTGTTGTCGACTCGTAGGCGATCAAATGTCGAAAGTGGACAGATCATCAGAGGGGGTGGACCTGCCAAGGGGTCAGTGCATTCTGATTTCAGGATTTTGATTTCAGGATCCGAAGCTCGAGAAGGTGATAGCAATTTTGAAGTTTGCCAACCTAGTTTGACGCATATCCGACAGTCGCGGCGGATCTGATCCCCTCCCCCCTTCCAGATTGGCAAAAGTCAGATGGTGAGTTCTGTGCTCGGTTAGCGGGAGCGCCAAGTTTAAATTTGTTTAGACATGTCGACCGACGTCGGTGTATCAAGGGGCTGCCGAGCTTGTTGGCGTCGAGTGGCACGGTCCGATGGAGTCGGGGTGAGATATTGACAGCTGTTGATTGGCTGTTGTTGATGCGTCGCTGCGGACTCCACTGACGAACGCACTTGGATAGCCATGTTGATGTTGGTCGCCAACACTCCTTTAGTAGTAAAGGCAAGACTGCTGCGGTAAGAGATTTGAACTCAGCATGCGCAGCTTGTGGTACTAGCCTTGTCGTGCTAGTATTGACGATAGCCACAGCTAGCTCCCACTGTTGTTGTCCTATCTTTCCGATCAATCTGGACGTTCACAAGTCTTAAGAAGAAGTTACGTTTAACCGAAGTTTGACCGAAGTCTATCTTGATGAGACGAGGTCCGTGCGGATGGGGAGATGAAGTTCCAGTTAACTTGGTTGTCTAGTTCGTTGAATCTGGCGCAGCGGCGTGTACTTTCCCAAAGGGACTAAGTTGATTCACAGCCTATCGATATCTGATAGACTCACCACGCTGTCATGGAGTTGTTTAACCCCTATTCGAGGTTGTTATTCACTTCAGTTTGTTTTGAATGTAATGTTGAACCACGTTTCCACAGCCCTGATAGTAATTTTAGAACAAGCGTGATTGCTCACGCTGTCTGTTTAAACCTCGACTCCCTACGTGATTTTCTGATGGGACCCACGCTGTCATTTCGACTTGAGAGTAAAGCAGTAAGAGGTAGGCTTTGAATCTCTTGAAATGCAAAGGGTAGGAGGGAAGTGGTAGGCCAGGAACGAGATGAGTGTGACAGATACTGTCGCCGATCCTTTATCACATGCTTATCATTTCCTATTCATTTTGGGATCTATAATGGGTTTTTACTGTTAGTCACCGGGAAATTCCCTCGGTCACTTGCGCTTGCGAACTACCGCTGGGTTGAATGGATTGACATGATCACCTAGGCACAACTTTGTTCTTCAAGGGCAGCTCACACGGCGTTTTCAAAATGTTAATTATGTTTATGTAGCTTCTAATCTTCGCGTGTTCGTTCTTCAAGTCGTTCTGCGAGATACGCCGCGGAGGTTCACAACAGCTTACTGCCCTAGAAATGTGAAAATAACATCCTCTCATTTCCCACTCAATCCGCAACCAGCTTTTCTATTTTTAATATTTAGATCCTACGACCGCGGTTAACGTTACGGCAATCATACCAACCCCCATTCCCCTGTATTTAAAAGGCCAACATAGCATTCGCAACCTAGGCCTCATCGAGCACCCAAGCTCAAAGGTCAATTGTTTAGCCTCATCCTGTCCTTTAATATCCGTTCGCAACAAAGGTATACCATTCCAACAGCCCGGTACCCATAGTATGCAATCTCATACTTTCGTACCCTTGTTTCCTGGTCAAGGCTCCTCCTCTGCTGCTCTATCTTTGGCTCTGAACCAGGCTCTTCGTGACTCTCGTTCACCATCTGCTCAGTTGCTTTTGGCTTCATGTCACGAGGCTTTCCATCTAGAGCTCTCCAAGCTATCAGAAAATGAGCTCAACCAATCCTGCATTTCCCTCCTCGATTTCCAGGAAGCCACCTCACTTCTATCACCTTCGAGTGTATACCAGAACAATCCTATCATTTCTAGCACTTCACTCTTCCTCGTCCAAGCTTTGAGATACCTTGCCCACTGCTCAGCAGAACCTAACAGCCGTGGTCCTTTCCCTGACCACCGTCTCGGCGTCCTCGGCTACTCCTCTGGCATCGTCACTGCATGCGTGGTAGGAGCTTCCAACAGTGTACTCACATTCGTGTCCAATGCAGTAGAGGCATTTCGCCTAGCATTCTGGATCGGCCTCCGATCTATCCAGCATAAAACTAAAGAGCTTCAATCGGCTCTAGTTTTTCCTGACACAACACTGCCTTGGACCGTCGTTTGTATCGGTTTGAATAGATCTGATGTACTGGGCTTCATTTCCGATTTTGAAACAAAGGTGAGAAGCGCCCGTATATTAATAACATGTTCCAAAAATTGACTAGGCTCATCAGCACGACTGCATTGCCTCCCTTCACCTGACGGCTATTTTAGATACCCAGCACGTCACTATTTCGGGTCGCCCCGATATCCTACAGCGTTTCTCGTCATCGATTGCAATTTCCAAGTCTTGCATCATTCATCCGACAACTACAGACGCTTTATACCATGCACACACCCTCCGCAGTGTTCGCGCACAAGTCTTGGCTGATGTCGGGAATCATTTGATTCGCTTTCCTGATTTTTCAGACCTGAAATATCCCGTCTTTTCGACCATCTCCGGGAAGCCTGTGACGCAGGGCTCTGAGCACTCCTCTCTCGTTGACGCAGTCCTCGACATGATAATCGCGTCTCCTGTGGACTGGATGTCTGTGGTACAGGGGCTCGGTAGTGCAGCACCGTCCGACGCTCCTACACAAGTGTTAAACTTCGGCCCAAGCTCTGGTCTTCTCCGAATGCTCGAGAAATCGCTCTCAGCCGATAAAATTATTTGTAGGGACGTGACCGTTTGCGATTCTAGCAGTCCGGATGCTGCGACGGGGCATACTTTCAAACAAGAGCCGATTGCAATTGTCGGGATGGCGCTTCGCTTGCCTGGTGGTGCAAGAAATGCGAACGAGCTTTGGGAACTGCTTGAGCGAGGAATTAATACTATTTCTGAGGTATGTTCTTTCTGTCTATGGCGTTTCATGAGATAATTTTTTTCTAGATCCCTGCGGACCGTTTCCAATTGGAGCGCTACACATCTGCCGACGCTAAAAGCGGTCGGGGGATGAAGGTCCACACCGGAAATTTCATAGATCGTCCTGACGAGTTCGACTACAAATTCTTCAAGGTATCACCCAGAGAAGCAAAGAGCATGGATCCACAACAAAGAATTCTCCTGCACACTGCTCATGACGCCCTTGAAAACGCTGGTTACGTTCCAGATGCTACCCCGTCTTTCCAGCGTGACACCTTTGGTTGTTTTATCGGTACGGCTACCCACGATTATGCGGACAATTTGCGGGAGGATATTGACGTGCATTATAGCACGGGTATGCAGCCGCCTTCTTGATGTGTTGCTGGTTCTGACAGACATTTAGGGACCTTGAAAGCTTTTCTTAGTGGTCGTATATCGTATGCGATGCAGCTTGGCGGCCCTTCTATGACTCTTGATACTGCTTGTTCGTCGTCAATCGTTGCACTTCATCAAGCCTGTCGTGCACTTGTGAACGGGGACTGCAATGCTGCAATTGCAGGTGGAGTCAATGTCATGTCGAGTCCAGATGTAAGCGAGATTTTTGTGTTCTCGATACCAATCGCTAATGACACTCCCCTGGCAGATGTTCATCGGCCTGGATCATGGGCATTTCCTCAGCCCGACCGGTCAATGCAAATCATTCGATGCATCAGCTGACGGCTACTCTCGATCAGAGGGATGCTCTCTCTTCGTGCTCAAACGTCTTTCAGACGCAGTTGCAGAGAACGACGATATTCTCGGTGTCATCCGCGGTATCGACATCAACCAGAGTGGACTTGCGCATTCCATCACCCACCCGCACATACCTTCGCAGGTTGCTCTCATGAATAGGCTCTTGAAAAACGCTGGTGTCGATGCGTCGCGCGTCAGTGTCGTAGAAGCGCATGGCACTGGTACTCAGGCTGGAGATTTCTCCGAGCTCCAGAGTATCCGTGCTGTCCTTTGCCGTGCTCGCGACGTCAGCAACCCCCTTCATGTCACGTCGATTAAAGCCAACATCGGGCATCTAGAAGCTGCTTCTGGCGCAGCCGGCCTTGCAAAACTTTTGCTCATGTTCCAACACGACACGATCCCTGCTCAAATCTCCCTAAAGACACTGAACCCACGTATCACGCCGCTAGCCCAGGACAACACCGTCATCGACACGCTTCCTTCGCCGTGGGTGCGCGGCTCGTCCCCTCGCATGGCGCTGCTCAACAACTTTGGAGCATCAGGGTCAAATGGGGCACTCATTGTTGAGGAGTATACAAGGCAAGCAAAAGCCCCAGCTAGTGGAGCGTCTTACGTCTTCGGGATCTCTGCGAAAACTCGCGAGGTACTCGAAACTCTCCGTGTTAGCTACTTCAAATGGCTCCACGACGGCAGGAACCGTTCGGTTCCCATGAGCGACATCGCGTATACTGCCACGGCTAGGAGACAATTGTACCCTTACAGAATCTCGGTAGACGTAGTGAGCAAGGAGCAACTCGTCCAGGGTCTTGCAAGCGCAGAAATGACTCATTGCGAGGGAAATTTTGGTCAGGTGGTTTTTGTCTTCTCTGGTCAGGGAAGCTATTATCGCGGCATGGGGAAGCTTCTCTATTCGAGCTCTCCGGTCTTTCAGCGCTGCATTGACAGATGTCACCGGTACCTCGTGTCAAAAGGATTTGCGGATATTCTTCCCAGTATCATTGGAGGAGCCATGGATAGTGCGGATGGGATGGAAGAGTTCGAAGCGTCTCAAACTGCTACGTTTGCGCTGGAAGTGGCGCTAGCAACGTTATGGATCCACTGGGGTTTGACGCCTGCCGTAGTTGTGGGGCACAGGTGAGAATTAACTCCAATATATGCATTTTTGGTTCGAAACCTAACGGTTATAACCTACCAGTCTCGGTGAATATGCTGCTCTAGTTATCGCTGAGGTGATTTCGCTTGAGGCAGCCCTGTTCTTGGTTGCGTCACGCGCTCGCCTGACATGGCGTAGTTGCGCCTCGGGTACGACAGGCATGTTGGCTATCAGACTCGGAGAACAACAGATTAAACCCATTCTAAAAAACACGTCATACGCGGATCTTTCCGTCGCTTGCGTCAACAGTGATCGTGCCTGCGTCGTCTCTGGTCCGCTCTCTCAACTCGAGGTCCTGACTGGGGAGTTAGCGGCTACGGGATCTAAAGCGCGTCTCCTTGACGTTCCCTATGGATATCACAGTCAAGCGATGGATCCGGTTCTTGATGATCTTACACAGTTAGCGCGTACTGTGCCTTTGGGGTGTCCGAAAGTGGCGGTTGGGTCTACGGTGCTTGGCAGGCTTGTTCCTGTGGGGGACTCTGCGACTTTTGATGCCACTTATTTCGCTACGCATTTCCGCCAGCCTGTCCTTTTTGCGCCAACCGTCGACGCGCTGTGCAAGCACCCGTCGCTGCCACAGATAGATGCGTGGATCGAGATGGGACCCCAAGCATCGTGCTTGCTGATGATAAAGGCTTGTGCATCTGCTCCGAGCGAAGCGGCGCTATTGCCTTCGTTGAGCAAGAATGACAATGGTACGCTTGCTTCTAGCTTGTCGCAGCTGTATAGGACCAGTGCGCCTTTGAACTGGCGGAATGTGTTTGAGGAGGTTGCTCCGGGGACGTGTGCGGATTTGCCGCCGTATCCACTTGAGACGCATAAGATATGGGTGCCGTATAAGGAGCCTTTTCTTCCGTCTTTGGAGTCGTTGAAAAGCAAGGTGCCGGCATTGGCGCCAGCATCGCCACCAGCACGAAGGACAGCGCCAGCGCCAGCAAGAACCACGGCGCCACCGGCCCCAGCACGAGCCACAGCCCCACCGCAAATCGTTACGCAAGCCAATCTGATATCCGACTATCCCTTTCTGCGGGCGTGGGTACAGTACCCATCTCGCGAGAACGGCAATGCGGCCAGTTTCGATACTCCCATCGAGGTTTTAGCTCCGTACATCCAAGGACACAAAGTCGCAGAGCACTGCTTATGCCCAGCATCAATCTATCTTGAACAAGTTCTTTCAGGTGCAGATCTTTCACGGCGCCATCTGGGCTTCGATTTCGGGAAGAGCATGGCTGTCCTTCGAGGGGTCCATTTTGCGAAACCACTTGTTTACCATCCCCAAGTGAACCGTGTTGTCCGCACGCATGTCACCATCCACGAAGACGGCACTGGTTTCTTCACTATAACATCCAGACTGCAATCTTCTCTTGATGAATCGGTTCACGTCCGCGGAGAAATCCGTTTTCAATCCATCCGGGAGACTACTGCTAGTCTTGACAGTGAGTTCCGCCTCATACCGAGGCTTAGCGCGGAGGAGATTGGTTCGCGGAAGGAAGGCCAAGCGGAGATATTTTCCACTCGGACGTTATATGAAGTTGTCTTCCCTCGCGTTGTTGAATATTCTGCAAAGTATCACACGATCCAGACTCTGACTGCTAGTGCGGATGGGATGGATGGTATAGCGCAGGTCAAGCTTCCCTCAGACGGCCCACGACTCTCCTTCGCCGCTCATCCCATTTTCACCGATACCCTCCTCCACACTGCTGGATTCCTAGCAAACATGCAAGGCGATGTCAGCGATGCTTATATCTGCAGCGAGATCGAGTCGTTCAAGATGCTCTCCGAGTATATCGATCAAGACCAATCATACACAGTTCATTGTCGCGGGTCGTGGATGTCCTTTGACAACATCGTCCTCACCGAGGCTTATGCCGTCCAAGACCAAGAACCTCGCCGTGTTGTTGCGCTTATGAAAGGCATTCAATTCAAGCGTGTACGCTTGAGCGGTCTTGCTCGGGGGTTGGCGACTGCAGCAGACTCTGCCTCTGCGCAGACGCGAACCCGGACCGATTCAAACGCTATCACTCCACATGCGACCCCGCAGGGTATCATTTTCGGACGCTCGCGATCTAGTACAGAAAGCACGGGTGGCGTGCAGATAAGCAACTCTGGTAATTCCAGCAGGCCGTCTTCACCGGAAACCCTGGTGTCTGATGATGACAGACGTATCCGCATCAGGGATATCATTGCGCAGGTACTCGGCCTCGCGACTCTTGATATAGAAGATCATTCCGACTTCAAATCGCTCGGCCTTGACTCCCTCAGTTCATTAGAAGCTCTACACGCGCTGAAAACTGAGCTTGGTGTTGATCTTCCTCATGATGCTTTCGAGACGTATTCGACGATCATATCGTTGAACGCTTTTCTCGATAAATCCTCAGGCTCTTCGCTCCAGAAGATCGTGGAAAGGTCCCCTCAGAAATCTTTGGAGAGATCACATGCGTCGCCAGCTAGGTCCGTTGCGTCGACAGTGACGGTGTCTGGTGATGATAGGCGCATCCGCATCAGAGGTATCATCGCGGAGGTTCTTGGCCTTTCGATTTCTGATGTTGAAGATGACTCCGACTTCAAATCACTCGGTCTTGATTCCCTCAGTTCATTGGAGGCTTTACACGCGCTGAAAACCGAGCTCGGTGTTGACCTTCCTCACGACGCATTCGAATCGCATTCGACAATCGCATCATTGAACGCGTCTCTCGATAAATCCTCTTCGCCCCAGAAGTCCGTGGAAAGAGCCCCACAGAAACCTGTAGAAAGATCCCATTCGTCGCCAGCTAAATCTGTTGCGTTGACAGTGACGGTGTCTGATGACGACAGACTCATCCGCATCAGAGGTATCATTGCGGAGGTACTTGGCCTTCCGATTTCTGATGTAGAAGATGACGCCGACTTCAAATCACTCGGCCTTGACTCCCTCAGCTCATTAGAGGCTCTACACGCGTTCAAAACCGAGCTCAGTGTTGACCTCCCTCACGACGCATTCGAATCTTATTCCACGATCGCATCATTGAACGCTTCTCTCAATAAATCCTCTTCCCCCAAGAAGTCCTCGGGAAGATCTGGTCCGTCGACAAAAACATTACAACCTGCATCGTTTGATACCCGCATGTCACGGCTCCAATTCAGCAAGGACGACATCGCTGTCCCGCTACTTCTTATTCACGATGGCAGCGGCTTGATCAATCATTATAATCGTGTGATGCCATTACACCGTGACGTCTTCGCTCTCTCCAATCCCTGTCTGATTACCGGTGGAAAATGGGAGAGTGTTGAGCAGATGGCAGAGTCCTACGCCAACGTCGTTCTGGGTGCGAAATCGGATCAGATTATCATTGGCGGTAAGCGGTCATTGTTTTATTGCTCAGCAGGACATTATTAACAGTGCACTACAGGGTGGTCATTTGGTGGTGTTGTGGCCTTCGAAACTGCCAAGAGGCTCGTTCAGCATGGCGTCCGTGTCCACGGCATCGTTCTCATCGACTCTCCTTGTCCTGGCAAACATGTGCCCCTATCATCATCGGTCATAGACCACGTCACGAAGGCGCACTCGAAAGGAATTGATTCAGGAACTCTGAATCTTGTCGCGGAACAATTCAAGGAAAGCTCGCGACTCCTTTCTGTCTACAATCCATCCCGTGAAGGAAAGCTCGAGGTTCCGGTAGTTCTCCTTCGCTCGTCTGAGGGGTATGCTCCTCCGGGTCTGACCGTTCCTGACTGGCTGCAGCATCGTGGAAGCGAAGGTGCCGTCGTCAGTGAATGGGAAGCTTTCACCCGGTCCCCTGTAAAAACTTGGTCGATTCCAGGCGACCATTTCGGACCATTCAATCCCGAAAATGTAAGAGTTCGACACTATCATGTTTGGAGGCAACAATCAACTAACGCTCGATTTTGTAGATTGAACAAACGTCTCAGCAGCTCAAGGATGCGTGTCATTATGTGGAAAGGCTATAAAGGATACCCTGTACTTTTGATTTCAATGCTTGCTTCATACCACATTATATTTCGTTTGTTTATAGATTATTTTCTCTCTCTCCGGATCAACATCCTCCTGCTTGCATCTTACAAACGCGTTTCTCGTTCCTCGTGTTTCTGCATTTCTGTATCAATATATTCAGTTGACTATGTAACGTGACTGCGATTTCTGTCTTCCGTCTATAAACGGTTTTGATGTTTCAGGCCGCAGGTTGAAAACAGATGGATGACACTGGGAGGCACAACTAAGACATTGATCACTCAAAGTGATGTAACCGTACAGTCCTAAACCTGAGGTTGACAAAAATTAAGACATGACATCAGACTACCTAGAGCAGTATAAATAGCCCCTAGCTAAGCGGTACTCAGACGGTACTCGTCCCCAATCTTCTCGTCGTCCAGCTGCTAGCTACTGCCAACGACTTACGATTCCCGCTCGTACGACCATGATCTTGTCCGTCACAGCTACAAACTTGCTTGCTCATACTCCTTATGCTCATCCGCACTCATCAGAAGTTGCGCGTATCCCTTACTTAAATCGATATAGGCTGCACCGATATCGGTGAGTGACCTTGCATAATTTCAGGAACCGCCAACTAATGTAGCTCTCGTAGCCAGGGCTGTCGTTCTCGCCCACAGCACCGTGCGAGGGACGTTCGGATCGGAGGTGGAGAATCCCGCCAAAACTATCTTCAGCAAGATCACTAGCCTCGTCAACGCGCTCAATAACCTCGAGGCCGTTAGTCACAAGTATTCCGTACTAGTGAGTTCATTTTATTCCTGATTGACTACTTGATCAAGCTGAATGATATTCGTTCAATCCACAATACGATCCTTGTCGACATTTTCAGACCCTTGCACACAACCTCACCAGTGTCACCACGGACTCATCCGAGTCCCCATCCCTGCGCACACCGGCTTTCTTTGACGGCAACGGCATGAGAGTTGAACAGAAGACTCGTATTACTATATCATTTGTTGATGAATCAGTTGTTTTTCCACGTCAAGTTACATGACTTGAGTATTATATAAAATCAGACCGTTTCGCAGATCCGGGCTGGCTTCCTCAGTTGAGCAGGGGGACACGGACGAGCAAGCTCAACGGGTGTTTCCTCGATAGGACAGTGCATAAATTGTAGTAAAATGAAAACACATTAATACATACAACAAGATCAAAAGTACAAGTGATCCGGGGGAAAATGAACATGTCAAAGTTACATTAATGGGACGTTCTCTTTACTCCACTCCGACCTCTTCATTCCGGACTTATGCCTCACAGACTCCATCTCGAAACTTACGTCGTCCATAAGTGACCACTCCTCCTCGGGCATTTGATCCAGAAGACTTGGTTGCGCCTTCATACTGCTGAAATCAACGCGGATGGGAGAGGACTCTGCATCTTCCGTGATCGCGTGCGCCACGTTTGCAGCTCGGCTCTGTTGACGTTCAGCGAATGCTGCTGATGCACCTCCCGGCGTCGGCTTTGCAGGCTTGAGTTTCGAAGGTAGTGCGCTAAGGCCAAGGCCTAGCGAATCGAATTTGCTGACGAAAGATGCAAGAGCACGACGTTCCTCCTCAAGTTTTATCCTTAGCTGTAGTTGATTATTAGCACCATAAAGAAAGCACATTAAAGTGCGTAAGCCAACCTTCTTTTCTTTGTCCAGCTGCCTGACAAGTTCAGCCGCCCAAGCTTCCTTTTCTTCTCGCTTCTTTACTTCTTCCTCAAGTTTGCCGACCCATTCCTTCTCAACGTCTTCTCTGACGGCTCTCAGAGGCTCCCCTAGATTATCCTCATACCCACGCACTACAATTTCAAGCTCACGGATCGTCTTCGCTTGCTCAGCAATGAGCTTGTCTTTCTCGGTTTCTGAAGCATCTGGGGGAAGTTCTGGGCGAGACAGGAGAGCGGCCTCTAGGGAAAGTATTTGAGTTGACTGTGACTCCAGTTGAAGGCGAGTCGCAAGAAGCTCTTGTTGAAGCTGTCATGAATCGACAATGTTCATCTAGATACAACGATCCAACAATACTGAGCGTACGAACCTCGTATGGTGACATATCGAAATCAACTTTGGATGGGCTGGCAGGACGTGATTCGTCTCCTTTGTTTTCATCTACCGTTTGAGACGTTAGGATGAGTTTCGTGAGTTGCTGGATTCGAGAGTTGAGGTCCTTCATCGCTTTTGATTCGTCAATTTGCTGTGACGAAAATCAGTCGGTTGAGAAATACGCAGCAGGAGGCAGACATTACCTCGCGCGCTGAGAGCCTGCGAGTTCGAGAAGGTGCTTCCGCTTCTCGTTCTGAAAGCTTGGTCTTGAGGTCCTCAATCTCTTTCCTGTATCGTTCTATCAAGGCATCAGTGTCGACAATCTCTTTCTTCTTCGCATTAAGCTAGGAACGCGAGGGATCAGCAAACTAGGAGCAACCGACAGGAAGAACATGACGAACCTGCACTCGTTTAATCCTCTGAGCGAACAAAAGCGTACTCGTGCTTTCTGCCACAGCACTTGCATCAGGATTAATGGTGCATATTACAGAGATTCGAGCATCTCCTGAGAGTGAAGGCTGAAGCAGTCGTGTGAGCTTGGAGTTACGATAAGGTACGTGGTCACTGAGAGAGGCAGTTTCAGTATCCCAAGCATAGCACAGGATGACGCCTCTGACTTTTTATTCTTTGCAGCGTTCTCTGCAAGAGTGCCAATGACGCTTCCGAGTGTCAGCAAGCTGGTGTTGATGTACTTCCCCTCCCTGGTTCTCTCTTTATCTGAAGTGGCTTTTTCGGAACCAGCAAGATCGATCAGGCTCTAGATGAGAGTGGTCAATAAACCCGCCGAGACTAAAAATCGAAATGAAGCCCACCAGCACCGAAGTCTGAACGCTTCTTCCTCCGATAGTTTGTAGTCGAGTTCCGCCAGGCGTCGGTGGGCGCATGCCAGGAGTGTGACGACCGCTTGGTGTTTCGCTCCTTCCCTCTCCCCTCTCCCTACTCTCCACTACGAGTCGGAACACGCTGTGGCTTCGACTACTTCGTTCATTCCAGTCTGTGCTAGCCGTCCTTCTGTTCCTTTCTCCTCGCTCAAGGACTTCTTTGACGCTCTTCAAGCTCGTCACGACTTCTTCCCGAAGTGGCACGAGAATACCCGAACCCTGAATTTGGACAGGCTGAGCAGCAGACATCGAAGGCGGTGCGAGCAGATCATATATCGTTTCATTGTAAATTTCGAGGTAAGAGCACCGAAGAAGATATTCACGAGTGGGTGTGCGGCGGATGTAAGCAAACACATCCTTCATTGCACGCGGTATTATGCCGGGTTGATCTTCGTTTCCAGTCTAGATGAACAATGAGAAAATGTTCGGCATTTGGATTGAAACGCGCGGTCTTACAAGAGTGAATGTTTTCCCGCTGGCTGTCTGACCATAAGCGAAGATAACAGAGTTGTAGCCGTCCATAGCAGCGCATACATGACTGCGAGCCACAGCATTGTAGACTGGCTTGTTCTCAGAGCCAGTAATGACTTCGTCAAAATGGAACTCTGGTGGTGTGCTGGCAGTTGACTTTGCGTATTGAGGGAAGAGCTTGATGGTGCGTTGTGCACTATGATCCCATCCGACGTGTGTGGAGGTGGTGGGGCGAATTCTGTGCGTTTGAATGGCGTCAGTATGTGTCAAGAATAGGCCAGGAGCGAAATGACCTGATAGACACAAGAACCTTGTCGTCCTTTCCATAGTTAGGTCCAGGGATTGCGGCTTCATCGATGTCCCCTGAAACATCGCCGGGCTCGACGGTCTGAAAGTCGACTAGTGCCTCTTCTGGATCAATGCGACTGACATCCATATCACTCGCGTTCATGTGGGAATTTGGAGTTTGACTCCTAGGCGTTCCAGGTGTACGAGGGCGGGCTCCTTCGAATGACTTCTTTGCTGGAGTTGCGGGCACTGTTGGAAGAGACGACTTGGTCGATGCGGTAGTCCGCAGTCGTGACTCAGAAGATAAAGCTGCCTTAAATTTCTTTGCTGTCGAGCCAAGGACGCTGGTCTTTATTGCAGAGGGGAGTTCACTGCTGGATGCAGAGGAAAGCGGACGTTTGGGCGTGAAAGGTATGGATCGCGTGAGTTTGCTGGGTGCCGGTGTCGATGCCATTGTTGTCGTATCGATGTCGTCGCCGCTGTCAAGCAAGGCGTGAAGTATGTGCTGGCAGATCGGTGCTGTAGGAGTCAGTAGGACGTAAGTACAGTTCAACCCTGGGAATGGATGAAACGCGAATCATGGTCACGTGCTGGCTGCGACGCGTCTTATCACATGACTTTGTACATCGAGGAATCGTGACGACGTGGATCAATCATCACAGCATCTCGGCTACCCTCTGTGCCATTACTGGATTATGTTCACAATACAAGGAACGAAAGTACCACTTCGCCATACCGATTGTTCTGCCAACTCGTCGGTTGCCTCTCTCTCCAGTGTTGAGAGCAGATTTCCACTCTTTCACGAGTAATTATTTCACTCCACGTACTTGTTGTGCTTCTTATGCCAGCTCTCAATGGAATCACCGGAGTAATCCTTAAACACCTTCTTCCCTCCCTCTGGAAGGCGCACGTAGTTAGGTTTTGAGTTCATTTTAACAACAACCTTTTTTAATTCACACATCACTAACCGCACTTGAGTGGCCAAGAACACTTACAAGCTCATCCGGTGCCTCTAGCTCTGGGGAGTCGATAACTGATGCAAAAGGATGCAACAATTCTGGCCTTCGTGCGATAAAACATTCGATGCATAAATATCACTCAAGTAAGTAAGCTACTCACGAGGTTTCGTCATAAAGCCAGAGCATAGAAGAGCACTTCGTGCAAAAATTGCGCTCAGAGGAGGCGATATGTTGTTCTAGATTTTCCTTATCCATCACAGCCTTGTATACCCTTATTCCCGTACTCAACAAGGATCCACGGAAAGTGTCCTGACTGAAATACGTACCCAATATGTTCTTTACCTTCAGTGATATTCAAGGTTTTGGAATGTGCACCGAGATTGATCGAGCCGCCAACACCACCTACTTTGCGGCAGATGGAACATACGCATAGCTTTATCCACAGTCACGAAAATTCCTGGAGGTTTAAGTTATCTGGGGTTATGCTCACTTGATATGGGACAGGGGTGCTGCTTTCTACTGCAAATCGCACAATACCACAATGGCAGCTGCCTTCAAGTGTAATAGGCATTGTTTCAGGTCGTTCAAGCGCTGTCGGCGGAAGGAATGGAGGTCCTCTCAAAAACTCAAGCGGAGCCCCTAAAGTGACCCTGTCACTGTTTTGCTTGAAAGTTGACAGTTAAAGGTTTGTAGCTCCGCTTAAATTACTCTATATAAGCCACATCTTTTTTTTCATATTTCCTCAAGAAGGCTTGCCACGCTGGTCGTTTCAGATATTTTCACTGTCGACTCAGTGCCATGGACTCTACGAGTCTTTGTTTACCTTCGAGAACAAACCCACTATAGGAAGTGTCGCGGCGCCATCTTGAGGCCGTAGCATGTCGATTTTTCTCTGGGACATTTGATTACATCTCGATCTTCTACGATCCTACACAACGTGAGTCTTTCATTCTTCTTGTTCCTTCATATTGCGCACTTCCATGTTGTCCATGATCTTAAAAATATACTGATTTTAATGAATACGACCTGCTCGACAAGCAGGACATGACCTCATCATATTTACTTATGAGACACTACCTTTTTGTTTTCTCATCTCGTCCACTTCGATTGCTGATTGTCCTATCATGCAGGTGCTTGTCGAGTGCTTTTGATTTATCGTGTACGTATCACGACGTAGAATTCGAATATAGTAATTGCATCTCTTCGAGATTGGGTCCTCATCGTGTTTATGTCCTATCTCGGCGGTATGGGTGAGCATGTCGCAATCAGCCCTGGCCAACCAACGTTGTAAAGCAAGGTTGACACCCAGTTGATGCTGACCATATGGGCTGCATTGTCTTCTATGAACGGTACTATGGCAATCTAGAAGACATTTTTCTCTGAGACATTTAATTCTATCTTGGTCTTCTACAATTCTACAAAATGTGAGTCTTCTGTTCTTGTTCTTCATATTGCGCACATCCATGTTGTCCATGATTTTTTTTAAAACAATATTTGTTTGGTGGAGATGAGAACTGCCCACAAGCACGTCATGATCTTACTATATATACTTCTGAGACTCAACCTTTTTTTCTTCTTCTCATCTCGCCCACTTACTTTGATTGCTAATTGTCCTGTCATGCAGGTATCACGTTATAAAACAATTGCAAGTCGTGTTCACGCAGTATCTCGACAGTATGGGTGAGCCTTGTACTTCCTACAGCCCAGCTACGTTGTAAAGTGAGCTTGACACCAATTTGACGCTGACCGTGTGGCTTGCATTGTCTAGTAAGAACGGTATGATGGCAATCTAGGGGGCTGCGACAATTCTTTTCTGGGGCATTTGGTTTTATCTTGCTCTACAATTTTACACAATGTGAGTCTTTCGTTCTTTTGTCCTTCATATATCGTATACTTTCATATTGTCCATGATTTTAAAAGACTAGTGCTTCTAATGAATAAGACCTGCCCGCAAGCAGGACAATGATCTCACTATGTTTTTCTTCTGAGACTATCTTTTTTCTTATCTCACCCACTTGCTTCGATTGCTAATTGTCCTGTCACGCAGGTGCTTGTTTTGATTGTTGTACATATCATGCCATAAAACAATTGCAAGTTCATGTTCACGCGGTATCTCACCGTGTGACCTGTCCCCTGTACAGTAAAAGATTGCGATAATCTGTATATCTGAAGAGTTACGCACCCCCCCTTTTAAATCAGGCTCCTGGCCATGTTGAAGTAAGATGAAGCTGCTCGCCTCCACTGTACCGAACGTAGCCTATGATATATTCGATTCCCACTCTTCATTCTTTCTACTGGGACGGAGGGGGCTCCCACCTTCTTCGTGATTCGCTTCTGGCGGCTCCACGTCGGATTGTCGAACAATGTATCATGATTTGGTGAGGTGTGCGCGCGCCACTGAAGGCCACACCCGTTAGGCTAAGGGCAACTGAAAGAAACTTGCCCTCATCAACGACTGCCAAAACCGTGACTCCTTCGAGCCTTAATTCGGCGTCACCAAGGTGTAAACGGCCGAAACCATAATTTCCATCATTGATCATAGTTTGTTGTCCACTCTTATGACTTGCTCCAATTCCTGACACCTATTCGTATATATGTTTGTCGCTCGGTCAGAATCACTTCTATAGCATCAGGCGTTAGAGCGCTTCAAATAAATTTGCACATGCTTCCAAGTTTTGCGGGAGAACCACGGGTATACATCGGTATCTGTGTAAATACCTACAAACCGCTCCCAGCCAACCAACGTTGGACCATGACGAGTGCTTCTTTGGGTTTGTCAAGCGGGACCTGTTACTTTAGATCGGCATTGCAATGAAGTTGAAATGAGCTTAAGACTGACCATATGTCCGGCACCGTGGACAGTAGCAAATGTGAGTCCGTTAGCACTCCTGGTCTCTCCGGCAATCTGTCCCTCAATCAGCCAAGGCTCGAGCGGTTGTTGCCCAAACGCCTCTTTGCCGGTCCACTCCATGTTGAGTGTCCACGCCTGGTTACCAAGCCAGTTGCAAATCCAGTCATATGAGCCCACATATATCAATGCGCGTACACCGCGCTCAAGAAGTGCAGCAACGTGAGGGTAGGTTGGGTGATACTCATCCATAGCCAACGAGAAAGCCTGTCCGACGGGATCACTGCAGGAGCTATAGTTTCCTGTGACGGCGGGATCTACACCGAGTTTTTGACGCACGGAGGGTTGGTCAAGGTAGCTTGCCATAGACCTAGCCTGAAATTAGCTAGGTTGGTTGCACAAAAAGACCATCGGCTCACAGCGTAATTGGGTAACATAAGGTCTCCGCGATAGGTCCATCGCAGACCTTACTGAGATCGTAGGGATTCATGCCTACCATAGTATAAACGTGTGCACGTGGATGAGGGAGATCGTTTTGAGTTAAACCTACCAGTCGCGAAGAAAGGTTCTGATATCTCAGCGTCGCAGAAGTTTGAAGCTGCTTCACAATTCATTAAGTCGAACTGGTTAATGCATGATTCTGTCAACCACTTTTGGCACCGAGGGAGCTATGGAAAGTAGGTCAGTTCCAACAACATCACTTATATGAAAGCACCAAACCGCTTGCTTCATGCGATTGCAGGAACTGGAAGAGATATGGACATCAGTCAAGAAAAATGACAATGTCGGAATTCACATACGAGATACTCTGAACAGGGAAGACTGATGCACCAGTGCATTGCATGTCTACATAGGCCGCCGACATTGTGTAAAAGTCAGTCAGACCGTTGCCTGCACATGGGATAAGCTAATGAAACATTGTTTATGGTGCCAATAGTTACCAATCATGATAGACTGAAGGTTGATTGGCGTGGCACCAGCCGCGGTCAACATTGCATTCTGGTCGTAGACTGCAGCAGCAAAGACCGGGACGTAGCGCCCCTACAGTTTCTTGATTAATCTCTCTCCATACCGGATGGGCAGGAATTGTACGTACTCCATAAGACTCTCCGGCCATGTGAAATGCACGTCCCTTGAACTGAGTGAAATTTTCGAAGAAAATCGCGACAAACGCAGCGATATCTTTCGACGCTTCCTCAGTAGTGCTCTTGCCAGACGGTAAATAGTGTGATTTCATGCGGCAGGCGTTCCACTTACCACGGTCTCGCCATAGTCCGCGTACGAGAAACCAACCCCAATCGGCTGATCCACGAAGAAGATATTCGCATTGGAGTTCCAGGACTCGGGATGGAACACCGTGCTAGTATCATTCACCACTCGACAAGGTCCGAGTTCCACGTAGACGCCCAGGCTAGAGGAACACCCAGGACCTAATAATTGCCGTGTTATACGAACCGCAACGGAATTACTACGGTACAACTTACCACCATTGGTCCAGAAGATCACATCGTCTTTGGCAGGATCGTTCCTACTCTCGAAAAAGTAAAAGAATAGATGCCTGGCCTCGATATCTATGTACCCCGTGTAAGCGCTGAGGTTTAGACATATTATCAGTTCAGTGCTAAATACATCTACAGGCTGTACTCACTTCACAGTTCCATCACAGAAATCAGAAGACTTCTTAATTCGGACACTGTAGTTTGGGAATATAGGGTGGCCGAGGGTTGTGAATTGTGCCTCTGAGAGTGCGCTCAGTTGCTCGACAGGATTGAACAACCCTTCATCGTAAGGCGCTGTGAAAGACTGGGTAAACGACTTCACTGGTTGTCTAGAACTTCCACGACTGGGAGTGCCTAAACCAAAGAACGTCTGGGTTGTCGCGCTAGCTGTGAGTGCGAAACAGAGGGTACTGAAAACCCTCCCTTTGGTGAACATGGTGGTAAGGAATATAGAGTTGAAAACAAATGAAAGGCTTACAACACGGTTCCGCTGTTATGTAAAGGTGATTCCCAAGAACATGTGCTTGACCATATGGGCCGCCAGCCTGGGGTCACCAGACCAGTGTGGTACCCAGACTTCTTCATATCAGTGAGAACATATTAACGGAGTGTGGGAGATGGTGACAATAGACTTATTTGGTCTTCTCAGCGGATTGGCAGCGGCAGCGCAGTCTGGACCTCTGCAGACTTTGTGACGTTCAAATTTAGGTCAATTTGGCCTAACTTTAGTCGAGTGCAGGATTACCATATTTAGCTGTTTATTGTAAGTCAACAAATAAGTCTAAATACATATGGCGCGCTCGGATGAAAATTAATGCAACTTTAAGTAGGTCGTTACACGTACAGTGAGGCCTCCAAACTACTCCATCGACCTCCCCTCTCGTCTACCAGACCCTCGCTAACTATGTCTCCTCCAACTTCTGGGAAAAGCAAAGAGTCAGGGACTGCCCGGATTCTGGGGTCTGGTGCATCCGGTTTGTACTTTGGTCCTGGTCTGTTATGCTAGTAACGAAATAGCTTACTGCGTTATGGCCACTAGGTGTTGCTGAGTTGCTTGTATTTCATCCAGTCGACACAGTAGCAAAACGACTTATGAGCAATAAAGCAAAAGTATATCATTGTCGTAAAATTCATTTGCTGCAATTTGTTGACAACCCTTGACACCCAGGTGTCCTTCTCAGCGCTCTCCCCGATCGTATTCCGCGACTACGCTACGGCTTCGTTACCCAAAAAACTTCTGTCTCTCTTCCCCGGTCTTGGGTATGCAGCAGGGTACAAAATTTCCCAACGGATATACAAGTTTGGTGGGCAGCCGTGGTTCAATGAGATCATCACCCGACATTACAAAGACGATTTCACGCGCGTATTTGGTGAGAGGAAGGGGAAGATGATGATGCAGGCGACTGCTGGCAGGCGAGTTTCATTTTTTGCAAGTTGTGAATGAATTTATGCTGATTTCTCCGTGCAGCTTGACCGGTATCGGTGAAGTTGTGGGTCATCTTTCACCTTAGCTTCCTGGCGGGATACTAACGTTCTATTAGGTTCTACTTCCTTTAGACGCCTTGAAGATAAAGCGACAAGTCAACCCCGAGGCGTTCCGTGGACGAGGAGTTCTCCGGATTTTTATGGAAGAAGGCACCACCTTATACCGTGGATGGGGCTGGACCATGGCGCGTAATGCGCCAGGCTCTTTTGCGGTAGGCCCGCTTAGGTAGTTGTATTTATCGTGCTGAATCTCTGTTTCAGCTCTTTGGCGCGTCGGCGGTTACGAAGGAGTACGCCCTTGGTGTCACTGACTATTCCAAAGCCACGTGGACCCAGAACTTCATTGCATCCATCGCAGGAGCTGTTGCGTCGATCACGATTGCAGCACCCCTTGACACAGTCAAGACTCGTATCCAAAATGCAAACTTCGAGCAGAAGGTGCCTGGCCTAACAGTCGTGAGGGACCTTATCCGAAATGAAGGCCCTACGGCGTTCTTCAAGGGCTTGACCCCCAAAGTAATTGCTGTTTATCCTGGTACAACTTCGTACTAATGACTTGTGAATATAGATTCTTGTCGTTGGGCCGAAGCTGGTCTTCAGTTATACCCTCGCACAATCACTAATACCCTTCTTTGGGAAGTACGTATGAACGGTAAAACACATCACTTAGTCTATGATATCCGAATGCTGCCTGGTTTTGGATGCTGCTTCCGACCCCTGGCGCCTGGACATGGGTTGCAGCCTTGTTCACTTTGCTACACTGATCTATGTAGAAGCAACAAACTATTAATGACACCCTACTTTCAAAAAAATTAAGTCGTCAAGGACGAACGTGGCAGCTCTGCGTTGACCTCCGTCTAAACAAATTTGCACTATCTGCGGCCCCACGTATACAGGTCTACTTGGCGCACAACAAGAAATTACATAGCTGAATGCCATACTCGACTACGGGCCTCCTCTGGACCCAGGCCATCCTCCACAGTGCCAAACTTTTCTCGTGTTCATGCTGAGATAACTTGCATGTCTATGTCGCAATAAGTAATAGGTGCTTCCTGTGTTAGTGCTCTCTCTTATTGTCTTTCAAGCGCGGTTGTCAGCTCTAGTTACAACGACCTCCTGAGCGAAATCAAGGTCATAATTTGCGCATTCAGGTTCGAAGGATTTTATCCCCGAACAAGGAAACAGACGGTGTGTGACACGTCCCATTCTAGTGTTAGTCCAAGTGATCAGGACTGCGATTATGCGAGTAGCGCGAACGGTTGAAACCCGCCACTTCAAACTTGCCGAAAAACACCATCACTCACAGAAGATTATGCATCTCGTAAAGTCCCCTCTGACGCAGATGTGATTTATACGGAAAATGGTGATTGTTCTGTGTTCCAGTCGGGGGTCTGCATGAAACTTCACGCATTGGCTTATGTGGACGAAAACAGGAACAAAATTAACCAGAGCGATACCTCAAGACTAAATGATGAGAAGTCAGATGTAGAAGCTGTTGACATAGAGATAACCACTCGCTGGGGCACGAGGTGGGAACCGTTGCACTAATGTCATGTAACGAGAGGGTGTAAGTATGTGATCAAGAGATTCTGCATTCTCCAGGGAGACGGCAAGATTGGTGTTGTCGAACTGACGGATTAATACTTTAACCAACAGAGCTATAAAACTCGTGAGCACAGAACTGACGAACAACCAACTAAAAGACAAACCCGCACTTCCCTTGAAAATCTTGCACTTTTTGACGGCAAGGTTCACATCATTAACCTGTAGATCCGAATTATAACACTGATGACGGTCTAGATGAATTTCTTGACAATCATTCTCCTGGCATTTACGGCTGTCAGTCCTCTCAGTGCACGAGCCATGCCCGGCCCCGAGGCCACTGATGAGTCGTGTACCTGGAAACCGTGTGGGGCTCTCCCATGCTCGGAACTAGATTTAATAGAGACTAAACTCTGCCACTTAAACGGCGTCGGGACAACTCAGTTCTGTTGCAGCAATGACTGATGGCCGGAAATCATTGCAAAGCAAATGAGCGGTTCGGGTATGTCAACTATGCAACCCTTTATCAGAACACATACTGAGGCAGAATAGAGTTGGAAACAGTTCTGCTCACATGTTGAGCTGCGATAAAGGATTCCCCAAAGAATCTTGCAGATCGTCTCCATCACATCCTCTTGTCTTCGCTCTTGCCTGGAAGTGCACAAACGATATATATTTGACTGCAAGCCAGAGTGCATGAACTGCGTGTTGAGAAAGACCAAAATATTCCCCTAGAAATTCGGCAGTACTCAGCGGTAGACAATGAGGTGCCAAGAGGTAGAAACTGTGTGAAGCTGAGGAAGAACGATATCATCTTTGATCATGCTGGCTGATTGAATGAAGCGCATTAATGGCAAATATGACTCACGGGCTCGCGAGATCGGGGTCATCGCAGATACCTTAAAACAGACTGATGACATCCATGGTCTCGGTGTGTGGTCGTCGTGGCAAACGTTGACAAACTAGGGGCTAACATTGTTGTCACCCGTGACAATGTTGAAGCTCCCAAGTAGAGTCATATTACGTCCCGATTGGAAATTCATATGGAAAGAGACTGCGTTCTTCGTGTTTTTCTATGAGAAAACAAGAGATTGATAAGTGGAGGCATACTCAACTATAAACCTCCTCTGGGCCCTGGGCCACCCAAGACTTTTCTCGAGCTCATGCTGAGATAACTTGCATATCTGTGTCACAATGATAGGTGCTTCCTGTGTTCGTGGTCTCTCTAGTGTTTTTTTCAAGCGCGGTCGTCGCTCTAATTACACCGACCTCCTGAGCGAAATCGAGGTCACGATTTGCGTATTCAAGTTCACAGGATTTTTACCCCCGAACAAGAATCAGACGGGTGTGACACGTCCCGTTCTGGTATTAGTCCGAGTGATCAGGACTGCAAGTAGCGTGAACGGTTGAAACTCGCCACTTCAAACTTGCCTGACAAGGCAAATGAGTCACCCATTGCATCATCGCTCACAGAAGGTTATGCACCTCGTAAAGTCCCCTCTGACGCAGATGAGATTAATACGGAAAACGGTGATCGTTCTGTGTTCCAGTCAGGGGTCTGCATGAAACGTTATGCATTAGCCTATGTGAACGACAACAGGAACAAAGTTCACCAGAGTGACACCTCAAGACTAAATGATGTGAAATCAGATGGAAAAGGTGTAGATATAGAGATTGCCAATCACTGAGGTAGGAGGTGGGAACCGTTGCATTAAGGTCTTGTAACTAGAATGTGTAAGTGTTTATCAAGAGATTCTGCGTTCTGCAGGGAAACTGGGCAAGATTGCTGTCTAGAACTTACGGATTAATACATTAATATTTTAACCGGCAGAGCTATAAAGCGCGTGAGCACAAAATCGACGAACAACTAACAAAAAGACAAACCCGCACTTCGCTTGAAAATCTCGCACTTTTTGATGGTGAGCTACACCTTGTTAACTTGTAGATCCGTATTATAACGCTGATGATGGTCTAGATGAATTTCTTGACAATCATTCTTTTGGCATTTACGGCTGTCAGTCCTCTCAGTGCACGAGCTATGCCCGGCCCCGAGACCACTGACAAAACATGTACCTGGAGACCGTGTGGGGCTCTCCCGTGCCCGATAATAACTTTGATAGGAGCCATCAGACCCTGCTACTCAAACGGCGTAGAGACAACTCAGTACTGTTGCAACAATGATGAAGTTGGTCCATTGTAACGCAAATGAGCGGTTCGGGTATGTCAGCGATGCCCCCCTAATCAGAACACGTACTGAGGCAGAGTATAGGCGGAAACAATTCTGCTTACGCGTTAAGTTGCAATAAAGCATTCTCCAAAGATCGTCTATGGTAGCATGCTTAGTCGTCCTTGTAAAGACTTTTTTGTCTCGCACTTGTCGACTATCGCCAGAAAATCAGGCTTGTTCTTGATAACTGACCGTACAGACCTACAGCAACGATCGTTTTGGGCTGCTCGTCATAAGTCAAATACCAGACAGAACGGGACGACCGTCACCCGTCCAATGTTTACCTGTTTGGGGGTGAAGAAAATCCTGTAGACAATGCGCACATTGTGCCTTAATTTCACTCAGCTGTTCCAGAGGAAGGGAATGAATGCTACCTGTGGAAAGAAATAAAATCTTGGAAGCACGTTGCCTCGCGCAGGCGATGTATCAAGGTAGTCCATGGTAACTTGAGGTTCATGTAATAGCATTGTCTCGGGCTGATTTAAGCTTGCTAAGTAGTCTTTCCTGGCGTGGATTGTGTATCGTGAACAGCCAGTATATGAGGCCAGAGTGACTCCGAATAGAGGTGTTGGCATGCATCTGCTACTAGATCATTGTATGAATTGTTCGATAGAAAGAGCAGGAAGAAGAAGATGTGGCGTGGGAGACCAGGAAGGCGGGAAACGCACGGGGACGGGTAACACCGTGGTTTTGGTCTACATAGTAGACCATGCATATGATGACACCCATTTTTCTGTCCTGATATATGATGCTAGGATCTACTACAATCGGATTGCCAAAGACCAGCTGGATTGCGACTCACCCTCATAACCATGACTGACTTCCTTCTACATGGTCTGGCCAGGAGAATGACTCACTCACGTATCGTGAATCTCCCACATTCCGTCAATAGTCTCGACTCCCCAGACTTTAGCCAGGCCTATAAATGAAACAAGACAATTCATTTCTCACAGTACCAGCGGCATGTTCTGGTCTTGGCCTGCTCATATCCAATTGTCATTGATACATGTCTGGGAACCGCCTTTAGCCAACCCCGCGTTGTACTTGTTTTGTTGCTAAGTTCTGAATACCCCACCATGTTCACCAAGGGTAGGATCCTCTGTTTTGCGCTCACAGCAGGCGCGACAACCCAGTCGTTCCTTGGGTTAGGAATGCCTAGCCATGAAACTCCAAAACAGAAGTCATTTCCACAATCTTATATTGCGGCTTACGACGACGGATTGTTTACGCCTTTCGAGCAACTCGGCGCACTCTCAGAGGTACAGTTCACGACCCTCGGTCACCCTGTGTTCCCGCACTACAGCGTCCGGATCAAGAAATCTAGTAATTTCTGTGATGGAACTGTGAAGCGAGTATAGCCTACGGATGTGTTCAACAGGGCTAACACGATAGCGCGTCTACCCTCAGCGCTTACACGGGTTACATAGATATCAAGGCTAGGCATCTATTCTTTTACTTCTTCGAGAGTAGGAACGATCCTGATAAAGACGACGTGATCTTCTGGACCAATGGCGGTGAGTTCTTATACCGTGGACAGGATTCCGTTGCGGTTCATACAACGCGTTTATCAGGTCCTGGGTGTTCCTCCAACCTTGGCGTCTACATGGAACTCGGACCTTGTCGCATACTGGATGATAATGGGACCGTGTTCCATCCCGAGTCCTGGAACTCTAATGCAAATATCTTCTTCGTGGACCAGCCAATCGGCACTGGTTTCTCGTATGCTGAATATGGTCAGACTGTAGTAGGTGATACGCCTGCCGTACGAAATCACACTACTCACTGTATGGAAAGAGCACTACTGAGGAAGCGGCTAAGGACGTTGCTGCGTTCATCGCGATTTTCTTTGAAAATTTCACACAATTCAGAGGACGCGCATTGCACATGGCCTCAGAGTCTTATGGAGTACGTACAGCTTCTACGTTTCTGACACAGAGAAAGACTGATGGGGAAACTAAAGGGGCGTTATATCCCAGTCTTTGCTGCTGAAGTCTACGACCAGAATGCCATGCTAATCGCGGCTGGTATCACGCCGATCAGCCTTCAGTCTATCATGATTGGTAACTGTAGGTATCAAAGTCTTTGCATCACTAGCTCATCCTTTGTGTAGGCAATGGCTTGACCGACTTCTACACGATGCTGGCGGCCTGTGTAGATACGCAATGCACCGGCGCAGCAGTTTTCCCTGTGCAGAGCATCTCGTATGAGAATTCTGATACTGTCTTGTCTTGATTGACGTACATGTCTATCCAGTGCCTGCATTCGCATGAAGCAAGCGGTTTGATGCCTCCGCATCGGTGACGTCGTTGGAGCTGACCTACTTTCCATAGCTCCCTCGTTGTCAAAAGTGGTTGACTGAATCATGCATCAACCAGTTCGACACAATGAATTGCCAAGCAGCTTCAATCTTTTGTGAGACTGAGATATTCAGCACTTTCTTCTCGACGGGTAGGGTCAACTCAGAATATTTTAAGTGCACACGTTTACGCTTTAGCAGGTAAGAATCCTTACGATATCAGCAAGGACTGCGATGGACCTATCGAGGAAACAATGTGCTACCCTGTTACTAAGTGAGCCAATGCTACTTCTGTTTCAGCGATCTAGCTAAACGCTCACATTAGGCATATATCAAGCTTCCTCGATCGACCCTCAGTGCGCGAAAAGCTCGGCGTGGATCCATCCGTCACAGGTAACTTCAGTTTCTGTAGTGCTACTGTTCGACAGGCTTTCGTCTCGACCGTGGATGAGTATCACGCCACCGACACTCACGTCGCCGCACTTCTGGAGCGCGGCGTACGCGCATTGATATTCGTGGGCTCATATGACTGGTTCTGCAATTGGATTGGTGTCCAGGCGTGGACACTCAATATGGAGTGGAGTGGCAAGGAAGCATTTGGCCAGCAGCCACTCAGATCTTGGCAAGTCGAGGGACAGGTCGTTGGACAGACTAGGAGTGCGAAAGGGCTTACGTTTGCTACTGTGGATGGTGCAGGCCATATGGTCAGTGTCAAGCTTACTTTCAATTCTCAATGCCAACCCATAGAACAGGTTCCATATGACAAAACTAAAGAAGCACTTGCTATGGTGCAACGCTGGCTGGCTGGGATTGGCTTGTAGGTCGAGGCTGGTAGTGTATAATTTCGAGAACAAAGTATGCAACCGTTGTTGATGAAGTAGCGTTCCAAATGTCGATTTTTATGTTAACAACGGAGCTATATAATGTATATGACACGGCAGAGACAAATTTAAAATATGACCGGAAAAATAAGGCTCGGATTTTGCCCTGTCCGGATGCCTAAGTACTTGAAGAATATGCAAAAGGGGTCGGCGGCATGCAACATCTGAAGAACGGATCGACATAAATTCCGAACAACCAACTGGGACACGCCAGGCACACGTCCACAGCGTAGTGACAAGTGGCACGACACGAAAGGTTACTAACTTGGGGGTAGAACTCGTCATTAGAATGTACAAAAAAGGCTTTCGTCTCGTGATAGATTTGTATTGAGATCATAATCATAACCAGGGGGCATCTAAACACTACTCTTCTCGTCTACCTCACGATATGACTTTTGTGATGTGTTATCCGTTGAAACCTCATCCCCGGAAGCGGCATCGGCGTTCTCGAAATGAGAACCGTGGTTTCTAGGGCAATTTGAGTATTTGTCTGTCTTAGGATATGCGCACTTACTCGGGCCCAATGATTGCGATAACGATGACGAATGCAGCAACGGCACCGATGAAGATAGCTTGCACCTGATGAAGTATGAATAAGACCGTGTGTGAGCGGAGCCATAAGTGACTTGCCGTTGCATAATCTGGGACCACTGTGAGGACTCCATTCTCCATGATTGTTGTCTTCAAGTGGTCACCACCAGCTGATATGATTTGAGAACTTCATTGGTAAGAGGGAATGTGAATATCTACTCACTGGCTTCAATTTGTGCTGATGCTGCCGAAACCATCTGCCACACACACGTTAGCCATTAGTATCGCGTAATGTCCAAGAGACCTACATTGCCGAGCTGGTAAACGACACCAGGGAATGTTGCTCTGAATGCTGGTGGGGACATCTCAGCCAGTTGGATAGGGATCTGCGATTATGTTGGGAGTCAAGTTCGCATTAATGAGGGTAGGGGGACACGTACGACGCCCCACGCTCCCTGAACACCAACTTGAATACAGAATGCTCCAGCAGAGAGGGCAGAGAATGAGAAGGGTAGAACCCATAATGGAATGAACACTGCCGGGGAACGTGGGTCTTGTTCTCTATTACCGAGATCGGTACTTACCTCCGACGAGAAGCACAGAAGATCTGACGAAATGAGTAAAAGCGTGAAAAGATCATTGATTGAAGGCACATACACGATCGTCAGGCGGCGTCCAATGTACTGGCTCACCCATCCACCCAGAGCACCGCCACTGTGGACCCTCAGGACTTTGACTGCTTGCGGGATCAACTAACAACTCACACAAGACCTCCCTGTTTGGCACGTTGAGAGTCGACACACCGATAAGTTTGTAAGACTCACGCAGTTGCTAATAATGGTCGCGACAGTGGCATCGTGGGCACTGAAGCCCTTAGTGATCTGGAGATATGTGGGATACAGGTCCTAGACGGGCATTACATTATCGGGGGCACCTTCGTGCACGGGATGCACGTACCTGTGAACCGTGAGACAAAAAATTGAGTCCTGCAGAGGGGTGTTGGTATATTCATTGTTAGGGAGTAAAAGAAAGTCAAACCCGTCATTAAGAGCACTGCGTAAATGCATAAGGGCCAGTGAAGCTTGAGCATCTCCTTTGTTTCCCTAAGGAAATTCTGCGAGGTATTGGTCCCTCTCGCCTTCTCTTGTTCTTTACGCAGGAAGAATGCACTCTCGGGGATAAGAGCACGGACGACTGCGGCGAAGAAGGTGATGCCTGCTCCAGTCCAGAAAAGCGCCCGCCATCCGTGCTGGGCTACCAAGGTCAGGTTGATAACGGCTGCAATCAGGTATCCGATAGCATAGCCTTCCTGCAAAACACCACTTCCAATCCCACGGAGTTCAACGGGCAAGTTCTCAAGAGCTGAGGACGACGAAAGTCCCCAGATTCCACCCATAGCAATACCGAATAGGGCACGAAGGGCAAGGAATTGCTGAAACGTGTTGACAAAGCCAGTTCCCAGTTCAAGAACACCGCAGATAATGAGATTAATAACCAAAGGCCACTTGCGACCAAACCGGTCAGATATCATACCAAATATCACCTAGGAAATGGTAAGCTTAGCAGGAAATAACAGCTGTGACACTAACTGCACCGACTGATCGGAATAAGAGTGTCAACGTGAAGGCGGTCGTCTTTGACCATGTCCGTGTCGCGCATCAGCGGCGCAAACAACAAAGAAAGGGAAAAGACGTACGACCGCACTCGTTGACTTTCCAAATTGTTCAGACAATAGTGGTATCGTGAGCGTTACTGCGACGAAATCAAGGGCGTCGCATGCCCAGGCAAACCAACTATTGTGATATGTTAAGATGATAGCGCGAAGCTAGCGATGGAGGTAGGACACTGACCCAGACAAGAACTGAGCCCACTGCACCCAGGTGAGACTTCTGAGTGCAACAACTACAGCACCAAGAGGGGCACGATTCTCGCGACGCGGGACGAGTTCGCGAATAAATCTTGGTGGCATGGTGGAGGTGGTCTGATCTCAGAGGAGCGTTAGATCATGCTTATATTCGCGAGAAAGCGGTCAGGCCCACCCTAGCCTCAGGCACCCATTGGGCAAGCCCGCCGATATGGTTCTTTGGTCATAGAGTGGTTCTCCACACAAAGTGATGCTTCTAATATCATTCATCAAACTCTCATGACGAGAATATTGACTCGAGGTTGCTGCGTAATCGTTCATAGTAGCGGTTAAGGGCTATAGTTACTTTTCAGTATTTCATCTCGGATCACATGCTGATGAGAGGCTAGGTAGAAACCCGTCACTGCCGGCCCTGTGACAATCGACAAATGATGTTAAGCACGAGGTGATCATAAGGTCGGGGATGAACTCTTTACTTACTCATCGCACTTCTGCTTCCAAGTAACGTTACTAGTGGTGTACCCGTTACAGACCATATCAATGGTATCGGGGCAGGTTATGCATCACAGTTAACAATAGCCATCACATCTCTGACAAATTCGAACTCATTCAGACAGTTCTGTTCATTCGAAACCGAACTCGGTCACAATTTTTTGGCCGCATCTTGCTTATGGGGCTCTGGCGAGTTATGGCCCTCGGATCTGAGCCGCCCGTCGCGCATCGTGGAAGTCTGATAGGTACCTAGCGTGAACGATCATGACAGACGGAGCCTCATCGGCTCACTGGGGTAAACATCTCCTCGATAAGTCCATTGCAGTGCCTGTTAAAATGATATTGTAAAATTATTGCGCCATACCATAAATAGGATAAGGAGATTGTTTAAACCAGAAGTACCGCTGCAGTGATTCAAGGAGAGAGCAAGTGGTATGCATTGCAGACTCGGAGTTACTACTATGATTTACGGGTCGGGACTTCCCGCGTCACGTGGTTCCTAAAGACGCGTCACGGCACGGAGGACGCGCACTGCACATACAGCACATACACGTCCTCCACACCGATTTCGAAAAATCTAGTTGCCTCATGTCGGAACGCGTCATTTGCTGCTGCGTGCAGCGAATCAAACTCAGCCACAAATCGAATTCTTCTAGATCAGTTAATGACGCCATATCAAATGCAGAATCACGAAACTGATTTAATCACGATAAGTACTAGCCTAGTACTCTCCTCCAATTAAAATTGTTCGTTTAGCCCGGCGGGCGTTATGGCATGCACCATCCAGGCTGGATTCCTAATAGCGCCGTCACAATACTGTGCACTGCATGCCCTCATCGTGGATAACGCTCCCGCCCGCTCCCTCGTCCGTTCACCGTGCCCCGACTGCCACGGCACCTGATACCTCAGAGTCACAGAGCCTTGCAGCCATTTTGCAACTAATTGTGTCTAAATGGTTAGTCCACGATTCTTTCAAAACATTTTTGTGAGGAAGTTATAAAAATTAGACTGGAGCTATTTACGCCACTGCGATTGCAGGAACGGCTAGAGGAGTCTACATTCACATACGAGATGCTCTGCTAGGGAACGTTATTAGCTCTGGTGTATGACATTTCCACGTAGGCTGCTGACATTGTGTCAAGGTCGGTCATACCGTTATCTGTACATGGGATGAGCTAGCAGGATCACGTCACGCTCTTTTTATAGTTTTTCATATGACAACATGCGGTACATACCGAGAACTCCTACAAATCGGACAGTAGACGGGGCTCTAGGACTTCAAATTTCGTATGGCTGTGAGCGACCACCTTTACTACAACGCCTTGATTGGGCTTCCTTAAAGAGATCTCGCATTAACTCTAGTTCGTCTATAGTCTTCTCCGACAGTTTCTGTTCTCTTACTGTGGAGACCATAGTGCTGTTGGCAACGATGTACACCCTCTGATCGGGTAAATTCGCATCCTGGAGGTTGCGCCTCACGGTGGCGCGAGTTTCAGTGATGTACTGCTCGCGTGCGGAGCTATACAATTCGTTACGACGCGAGCGGTTTTCATCTTCATCGCTGTCGTAGCCCGATTCCTTGATGATGTTTCTGATATGCGAGTCTGATTTCGACCGCACGATATAAGTAGGAATGTTGAAACGCCGGCAATTGACCAGCATGGCAAGGTCGGTCATTGTAAAGCGACTGTCGAAAAGGATGATAATGCAGTCGAAAACGTAGAGCCCGTGTGCGGTAAAATATTGCCAATCCGGCGTGTTAAACGTGCCGGACCCTGGGACATCATACCAAACGAACGGGTTGTGGGGGCTCGGATCTGGGAATCTGGTGATATCCGCGGTGGTCTCAACCACGCCCGTTGGGGCAGCTCCTTGATCTCTGTTTCGAAGGCCCCGGAAAGCATTGATCAGTGACGACTTTCCCGCACCGGAAACCCCTGTCATCGCGAAATGGAATAGTCCCTCTTGGTATTGGACTCTGTGCTTCGCGGATTGTATCTCCTTATCACTGGGGATGCTCACGAGCTGGAATGCGCTGTGTTTCTCCAAGGTCTGCGGGTCCTCCTTCCCATTTATGGCGTTTTCTGCTAATGGAATACCTGCTGTAGTACCATCAAGTTAGGCTAAAATCCATGTGGACAATGGATATTTTCTAACCTTTATTGTTCGACTCGGACTTCGTGACCGAGACGTCATTTTCTTTCGTCTTCATCTGGAGTACCGCGGCGCAACGCCCTGGTGTTTCATAAAGACGCCTCTGCGTGGTTTCTTCTGAGGCATGTATCCCTGCTTCGCTCGGCCTCTGCCCCACATCTGTTTGTACAGAGTAAAATTCTTCAATGTTTCTACCGGTGGCACGTGGTACTCGAGTGGCTTGGCGCTCGACTGTTTCTTCCCCTCTGATGTCTTCTTTCGCCTCGATAGCAATGCGATCAGCTGTTTCTTCCCATCTGAGTTCTTCTTCCGGGTCTATGGCAATGTGATCTTCTTCTTGCCATTCTTCTTGCCATTCCTCACCCTGCCTTTCTGCCATTGGTGTCCTACCGCTGGCTTGTCGTTGGGGATTCGAGTCCCTGGCCTGTCTTAAGTTGGCAAAAGTGGGGTTTTCGAGGATTCTCGATGACCGAATTTCATCGATGATTGTAACAACGATGCCAGCGATGGCTCGAAGACCTCGCATGGGGACGGACGTTGACGCGCCCATCGTTCATGCGGTAGATTAGAGTCAAGTTGTGTATTTCGAAGGAAAGGCAAAAATGATGGATCATCTTCCAAGATCGCAGAAGGTGGTTATTTTATGCTATGTATCTTGAAATGCTGTGTCGCCTCGAGGACCAACTTGCCAATACACACTGGACGTCTCATGGCTGATCGTCTCTTCTCTAGATGGCAGCTGTGGAGACTATCACACAGCACCAAGCACACGAGGTTCTTGTTTTCGCTTCCCATGCCGGCTTGCTGCCTGATCTAGGCCAGGGGCATTATACAGGTGGACTTCCGCTTTGGTATTTAAACAGGGTATGATATACATGGGCGGCAAGCTAGTGCCTAGTTAAACAGATAGATATTAAACCGACCAATGACATCGTTAGGGAATAGATTGTCGTGAATTGTAAATGTTTTTGGGGATGCTAGTGACTTGAGAACTTGGGGTATATATATGTGCCATAGAGTGGGGCGAAGGATGCACCGGAGAGCATCATACGATGACGTAGAGCTCAGGGACCCATTTGCCTTTGCGACCACTGGTAGCTGGGTAATGATGAGCTGACAAGATGATCACATCTGACGGCCTAACATTGTTTTGGTTGAATGCCCACTCTTCACAACCATGCGCAATGGGCTTTCCCTAATGACCGATAAGTCGAGTACCACATGTCAGTTTCAAGATTACACACACACCTTTGCATCATTGTAAAGATCTACGATATGACAGGCAATTGTTTGGGCGAACTCTTGACGATTCATCAGTCTACCTTCAGTTGATACATCAAAGTAACGCGAATAGTAACTGCTGGGCATGTATCCGGGCCACTACGTAAATAGGTCAGCGCTAATCATTATGGAGGCAGATGATGCTCACCTCTAGTGCCAGACAAGTTTGCCGCCAGCCGGTATTAGCGAATACTAAATCCAACGACTTATCAACGATAAGATTGTTCTTCAGAATATCCTTCACGCGTACACCAGGCCAATTATTAGTGCGAAACTGGACGTCTCTGTCTGCCGAAAAAGGAGTGATACCCTGCGGGCGTGGAACACGCTTCGCTTTCCTACCATCCGCAAGGGTTAAAGAATTTGGAATCTGGAAGTCGAATAGGGGAGGATGGGGAGGATGGGTAGCCTGAACGTAGTGCTAATGCAACGTCTACGTAAGAACCGCAGGAAGAACATGAAGACTTACCGCATTAGACCCGGGTCCAGCAGGGTTCAAAAGGGTTTGGTTGGGCTGCACGTATGACATGCTGGATTAGACTCAATTGAAGCTGGGATGGGAGATATGGGCTGCAGATATTTGGGATGTTTGGTTGATGAGGTGCCCATCCTCAGAAATTGCCTGTTTTATACCATCCACAACTTCAAAGCGGTGTATGATATGAAGCGTCAGTGGTCCTAGTGTCGTCTGGGACCATTCAAAGTGTCCGGTAAGTTGTGGATTATGAAGCGAGCACAAACCATTCTACAATGTGTAACATCGCGACACAATGAACGTAAATTTCCTCCATTAAACGGCGGCGTCACCAAGTGTGGGTCACTAGGAAATATTTGAGACAAAGTGCCTTAGATACACATGCAACGCAATGCAAGACCTGTCATTATCCAGCGTCTGTCAGTAAAACTTGATCCTTGGGGTAATTATGTGTCCGTATCATTCTGACAGAAGCTAAAGCTCACCAACTGCGGGTGGTCCAGTAATCAGGAACAACTGGTCCATGATGCACGCTTTAAGCTTGACGTTCGTTGTGACAATATTAATCAAAAACATAAAACTCAAAGATTAAAATTGGAGTCGGCGGGGACTGAAACGAGACAATTCCCGACACAGCTTGAAATGTCTGTTTCCGACGGTGAAAGGAAAACATTGACATGCTATAAGACACAATGTGTGAGTCATCCTTGGACAGCCGATGGTTACGACCATTTGTTGCAACGAGTACAGAGGGAACATTAGCAGCTCTGTGGATGACAGGGTCGACGCAGTAGTGGGCACTGCCAGCCGGAAATTGTGGCGTGAAAGTACTGGTAGGGCTTTTGTTCTCATTGAGTCAAATTTGAAATTACCAAAAAAGGCATCTGTGGTCTGAGTCGACTCTGCGAAGGAGTCTGAGCGACAAGCAACGACGAACACTTACTGGCTGTTTACAGTATATCATGTACGGTACCCGGGGCTCGAGAGTTAGGCGTATTTGGTGCTCGCTTCTAGCTTGCCTGGTGCCCTGGCCTTGCCTCGGTTTTTGCCTACTAATTACTGCCTGTCAAGCATGCCACATTTACGCATTACAGGAGTATCATTTAGTGGCAAGTTCGAGTCCTTTGTTACTTGTACATCTTCTCATACATTCCATATTAATCGACACTACCGAAACACTACCCGAGTTTATGCTATGTGTGCTGCCGCATTATACATGTATTATGTGGTATGAGCGATTCGACTCAACGAATCCAATAATACTATTTCCGGAGCACATGAAACACCGGAACCCACACACTACCGTGCAAATGTATGGACATGAGCACGATATCTTTTAAGTGGACACGTGAACCGAGGGCCCAAGGGACACAATCGACCGAAGGCGATAGTTTCTGTGGACTTAATCAATTCTGGCGAGAAATCGATTTCTGAGGGCAAGACCCACTGATACACGTAAGTAAAATTTATGCAGTCCAGTGCATAGTGCAACTGCGAGTTCCTGGATGGTGCCCGGATTGACCGTGATGTGTCCGGCGGGGAGAATGTCATACCCAGGCCACTACAAATTGAATGTCAGGTCTTGATCAGATTAGAACACACATTAAACGTACATGAAGGGTTACTTTGGAACACTCTGCCATATCTACAGTTTCTTGACTGTCCTGAAAGCATTCGCCATTCAGAATATTCTTGACCAAGACGCCAGGATTCCCATTGTCGTTAAACGGAATCGTGTGGCAGTGTGAATGACATGGAGCTGTGACACGACGTGCTGGTGTCCCGCCCAGTAGCGTAACCTGTCCAGGAAAGCGCTCCTTCGTAGGTGAGGGGGGCGGCGTGCTCCGTGCAATCAATGACTACTGGGTTACAGATAAATCTGGGCTGTCCTGCTGAGATAATTCCACTGAGACATACAGATGAAGATCCCACATGAGACCGGACAGTGTGCCATTTCGAACTTGAAGGCGGCATTGGGGTGAATCGAGCGAGTGTGCAACACAAATATCTTCGGTAGCCGGAGGATTCGGAAACCGAGCTTTGACAATGGCTGTATCATCATACCTCGCCGCTCCTTTATAGGAATCGCATGAATGGCAGGTACGATGAGTGAATGGTAGGCGCAGAGCAGGCCTCCAGGATATGGCGTTGTGTCTGGTTGGTCTGGCCTTTGACGCGGCCAAGTGGTAAGGCCTCCTACATAGTTGTTGTTCCTTGATTTAGCGATGGCCGACCACTTGTAAATGGTATCTAGACCTTTTGTCACCATACCTCAAAGAAATGGCATGCTTGCCAGAGTGGGCCAGCCAGCGCTCTCTGCAAGCTGTAGTTCATGATAATTTGGCGAAAAATCAGAAATAGATGGTGTTCAGCACAGGATCGTCGGCCTGTGCCTGTAATTATTTGGTTTGAATATATATATCAGTTGACAGAAGTTCCATTTCCCAGCAAACTCAGTGAGGAGTGAAGTTGCCAATTGGTGGTGGTGGCAGGTTAATGAAGTGGTAGGTGGCGTTACAGTTACGTTATCACACATGTCACGTGGCCTTGGCCACAGGCCAATGGCCTTGAGTATCGATTTGGGTTTGGCTGTCGAAGACTTGTTCATGACCATTAAGTACAGACACTGTTGTTACGTTGTTGTATATAAATACTGCAATCATTTTCGTACACAGGCAGAGACGCCTATGCAGCTTAGGCGCTGCCCTTCTCGTCAACTTCACGGAATGACGTTTGTGAGGCGTTATCCGCTATGGCATCATCTCTTCCGCCTCCTTCTTCGAAAGCGGCCTTGTGGGCCTCGAAATGTGAACCGTGGTTTCTAATGAAGGATGAGTATCTGTATGGCCGAGGAGATGCGCGGGACTTACTCAGGGCCGATGATTGTGACAATGACCACGAATGCAGCAACGACACCAATAAATATGGCTTGTACCTGATCAAGTAATGAATGAGACTGTGCGGGAGGAAAACTCGGTTACATACCGTTGCATAATCTTGGACCACAGTGAGAACTCCATTCTTCATGATCGTTGTCTTCAAGTGGTCACCGCCAGCTATTATACATTAAAATCTTCGTTGACGAAAGAAATTGCAACTGTCTACTCACTGGATTCAATCGTTGCTGATGCTGACGATATCATCTACCACGAATATATTAGTCACAAGTGTCGTGTTATGTCCATTCGACCTACGTTGCCGAGCTGGTAAGCAACACCAGGGAATGTTGCTCTAAACGCTGGTGGGGACATCTCGGCCAGTTGGATCGGGATGACGCCCCAAGCGCCCTGAACACCAACTTGGATACAGAATGCTCCAGCAGAGAGGGCAGAGAATGACGAGGGCAGAACCCATAATGGAATGAACGCTGCAGAAAAAAACATAAGTTTTCTTCCATATTACGGGGACCGGTGCTTACCTCCGACAAGAAGCACAAAAATTCTGACGAAAGGTGAGAAAAGTCGTGACAACATCTTTTAATGAAAGCACATACACGATTGTCAGGCGACGTCCAATATATTGGCTCGCCCATCCAGCAATAGCACCGCCGCTGTATGACCCTCAGGACTTTGAGTGAATGCATAACCAACTGACAACTCACGCAATAGCACCCTGTAGGGCATGTTTAGAGCTTGCGCACAGTAAGATTTGTAAGACTCACACAGTTGCTAATAATAGTCGCGATAGTGGCATTATGAGCAGTGAAGCCCTTGGTAGTCTCGAGGTACGTGGGATACAGATCCTGATCGTGCATGTTATTGTGGGCTCGCCCCTCAAATATTCATACACGAGATGCGCGTACCTGTGAACCATGAGACATAAAATTGAATCCTGCACAAAAATGTTGGTATTGTTGATGGTTAAGGAACGAGAGAAGCGGCGAACCTGTCATTAATACCACTGCGTAAATGCATAGGAGCCAGTGAGTCTTGAGCATCTCCTTGGTTTCTTTAATGAAAATCTTGGTTTTCTGTGAGGTATTGGTCCCTCTCGCCCTCTCCTGTTCTTTGGCACGGAGGAAGAACGCGCTCTCAGGAACAAGGGAACGGACGACCGCAGCGAAGAAGCTGATGCCTGCTCCAGTCCAGAATAGCACCCGCCATCCGTGCTGGGCTACCAGGGTCAGGTTGATAACGGCTGCAATCAGATATCCGACAGCATAGCCTTCCTGCAAAACACCACTTCCAATCCCACGGAGTTCAACGGGCATGTTCTCAAGAGCCGAAGACGCTGAAAGTCCCCAGATTCCACCCATAGCAACACCGAATAGGGCACGAAGGGCAAGGAATTGCTGAAACGTATTGACAAAGCCAGTTCCGAGCTCAAGAATACTGCAGAGAAGGAGATTGAAAACCAGCGGCCACTTGCGGCCAAATCGGTCAGATAAGATACCGAAGACGATCTAGGAAGCGATAAGCTCGTTCGTAAAAAAAACAGCAGGGAGGCCGGGTGGTGCTTACGGCGCCGACTGATCGGAATAACAGAGTCAACGTCAGGGCGTACGTCTATGAACGTGTCGTGCATAAGCGCCCAGGCAATGAGGGAAGGAAAAAAAGCGTACGATCTGAGTGTTCGACTTCCCAAACTGTGCCGCTAGGGGCGCTACGGTGAGTGACACTGCGAAGAAATCAATGGCGTCGCATGTCCAGGCAAGCCAGCTATTGTGACATGTGTTTAAGATGGTTGGGCGAGGCTAGCAATGGAAGAGGGACACTAACCCGGACCAGAATTGGGCCCACTGCACCAAGGTGAGACTTCTGAACGCATCAAGTAAAGAGCCAGGGGCACGCTGCTCTCGACGGGGGATGAGCGAGCGCAAAAATCTTGGTGCCATGATGGGATGACGAGTGATCAAAAAATAAGGGTCGGCGTTAAAGCATGTTTCAGCACTTACACTTTATATTGAGAACGGGATCAGGAACATTCCAACAGTTGAACGTCAGGTACCTAAAGTAACATAAGATCTGAGGCAACGTGCCAATATGGATAAAAGACTATGACAGGCTAGACTGATGTACTCACGGTTCATCCCATCAAATTCTTCCCCACACAAAATGGGGCTACTCTCTGATCATGCCAGCTAACTTGTGCCAACTAGTAGTGCCAGCAGTGCCTTGGGGCCCCTGCCTCATCATTTATTGTGACACTGCGGAGATCAAATCGCTACTAGTGTGCGTCGGCTAAAAAAAAACGCCCGTCACCATCGCTCGAGTCAGCCTGATCATACTGGCGAAAGGCTGGCCCACTGAAAACCTGAGCGGGTCCACGCACTGCCTGGGATAATATATATGCATCATGACAGACGCAAGGTGATTGCCGGGAAGAAGTTGTGTCCTCGTTGTATTAAAGCATGTTGTCTAGAACGTTGGACATTGAACCTTCATCATTAATGGGGGACGGCTGACTGGCCGCTGCCTCCGGCTCAATAGTAACGATGAGTCGGATGGATGATAATCGGGAGCTATATATGTATATGTTACCATGTGCGACATAAGGGTTATAAATAACCACCATCACGACGGATATCCTTCGGACAAAGACTGGTCTGATTTCGAATTCGGGGGCACCGGGAAGCAGCTAGGGTCATCTCTCCATTTGCTCTCTTCATCAGAACGTGCTTGTCGACTGCAGGCTACTATTACATCTTCAAGCACAACGATCAAACTGATGCTTGTCAATGTCTTATTTACGCAATGTACGACCCTGCAGGAAGATCATCCATGGCTCGAGAAATCCACTGGAACAAGGTTATCTAGGGTTATCTTGATTTCAAACCGCACGATGGCTACACGCGGTATTCATCCATGGAGGTCGATAACGACGTGTTGATGTGCTTCAGCGCTTTGCCTTCTTACCCCTTCTCGTCGTTTTTTTATCTTTTTCATCTCCACCTTCCGACTTCCGCTTTTTGCCAGCAGAGGGCTCGGTCGTCTTCACACTGATGACGGTAGCTCCTTCTCCCTTCGCAAGCCTCGATACTTGCGCCTCGGCGACACTCCAATCCGCATTAGCATCGTTAATTGCATACCTGTGGAGCACGACCATAAGTTACGTTATAGTTGCCCTAGATCCAGTCGATCCATGTCCGCAGCAACCGGAGGATGCAATCACACTCACTTGCTTAGATCCAGAGAGTCGATCATCTCGCGTTGTTTTTCACGAAGCGCTTTTGTTGCTTCGTCGCCGGCCTCGTTGAGTTCATCCTCGACATTTGTTTCAACAGGTTTCCACTGTGTAGACTCGCCACCATCCACAACACGTGAAATTGCCGTCGGAGGGGCCAACGGGATATCCGCGCCGATCGAAACCTTTTGGATATCGACAAGATGCTTTGTAATCTTGCGGATGACCTTGACAAACAAGGCTAATGCATGTGAAACTGGCAGCGACAGTTCACCCTAAAAACCACTTCGCTGAGTGTCACCCAATGCATGTGATAAAACAACATACCTCGACCTCCTCGATGGTCTTTCGTTGAAGACCGAGACCAAGCATGATGGAGGCCTGAACCGCGCTAAGTTTCACGCCATCTCCTAACCGTCCTTCGAAATACAAAGAAGCTACTGTCGGGAGTAGATCGAGGACAATGTGGTAGTCAAGCATGTTATTGGCATATGACTCCAGACGCTTCAGGTCAAATGGTGACATCAGTATGGAGAGCTCTGGCGATCCAACAGCTAGCGGAAGTGTCTATCAGCAAGATTCAGAAAGCTCTTGATAACAATTTTACCTCGCGACTTCTCTCCATCGAGCTTCTTCACGCCGACATTCGCAGCCTCGAGCACACTGAGCGCAGTGACGCTGCCGAACTCACGGAACTTGAAAGAGAGCAGAGATAGGAACCGTCGCCTGAAATCTACGGTACGTAATTGGCCGAGCTCCGCATGTATAATAAGGCAGCCCGCACCTTTTGCAAATTCACCCATCCACTCAAGTTCGCCGTCGGTCGAGCTATTCAGTCCCCGGACCATAACGCACGTGTGCTCTCCCGTGAGCTCACTTTGCGTTTGGCGGATGTACAATGGTACATATCCAGCCCTCTTCCAGAAGCTGGAGTCGAAGATCAATAAGTATTATCGTGTTAATGGAAAGGATATCACCGAAGAAGCTGAGGGGTCAAGCCATAGGAGACTCCTAGATAATCTAAAGTTTCAGGTTTCCTTTCCGATAACCTCTGTAGCAATGGGGGCATCGCCTCAGGGGCGCGCACTGTGGGGTGATCCGTTTTTAGATTTGTTTCCTAGGCCGGATACGCGTTATTTCACAAAAATATCTTAAACAAATATCGTACTCACCGGATCTAGAGCTGCTACATCTGGATACGCTGGTTCAGCGCGGGTAGCTTCATCCAGGTTGAAGTATTCTCCGCTGTAGAATGAATTGAGTGCTTTCAGAGCCCGAGATCCGTATCCCATCTGTTTGGTTTGGTCAATAACTTAAAGCCTGAAATACATTGCGAGGATCTCACATTTGCATAATCAGGATGGGTGGCGATCCGTACAATCCGAGCGCCAGAGAGGAGTGCAAATTTGCTTTCTTGGAACTGCTGGGAGACAAGCCAAGGGATCATGTCACCTCCTGCTCGTAGACCGCGGCTCAAGCCATCCATGATGGCGGCTTTGCTAATGTTCCCCTCTAGTGCAACTTGCAATACGACAAGTGGCTCCGGAAGATGAGACTCATCGTCTGCTATGGGTGGTAGGAGCACGAAAAGGTGATGTGCTGGGGCATCCGACATCAACTGGAGGTCATTTGGCTGGTTCTTGTAGTGACTGGCAACATACAGCGCCATCATACGCTGCAAGAATACTTCTGATGCTGGGTGGTAGCTAAAGAGCGTATCCCGGCTGACATAGTACAGCTCGCAAGCAGAAGGGTGCGGGCAGCCTTGTTGGGTGGCCTTGGGTATGATCGTTGCATCTAGGCAGAGAAGGCCATTCAGCCATTTTTCGATACGATCGCCAGCAGAGTATCGGATAGGCGTTTCAAGCTTGATTTCACGAAGTGTTCGGGCCTTAGGGGCAGCGGAGTGCGTGGGCTTTTTAGAGGTTGAGGCAGTCGCGCCATCTTCGACAGGCGCAGCAGCATCTTTTGTGAGTGAAGGTCGGGCACTCTCGCGGAGTTGTTGAATGAGTTTTAGAGTAAGAGAACGACCTGTGCCTTCGTATCCGTTGATTGTCGACGCCATGAAAACAAGGTACGGGCCCAGGAGATTGCGGACGAGAGGGAGAGGGATGGCAGCTGCCTCATCGATGACGACTAGCTCGGCTTGACCAAGAACGTGTGCATCCTCGGGTTGGATATACTAAGAGTTTTGTTAGAATGTGCGCGCAAGTGCCGAGACGGAAGTCCCCACCTGAATGGTCTGACGATGCTGACGGAACACATTTACGCGGACGATGGCCTTATTGAATTCCGGATTTGTGCTCTGTGCAATGTCGTAGTCCAAGTGTTCCTCGTAGCCGAGAGCATCCATACCCTTGAAGATGAATTCAAAAAGCGTATTCAAGTTTTCTGGACTGGGACTCGTGATGAAGATATTTGAGTATCCATGAGCGAGAGCAGCAGCGATTGCCAAGCCTAGCGCTGCAGATTTACCACGACCTCGAGCAGCAGTGAGCGTGACGGTGGATGAGAGTGTCTTCTCGGAAATCGCGTCGACAAAGGTTAGAACGGCTTGAGCCTGGTCTAGGGTTTTGGCGAGTTTTACGAGCTCGCCCACAGGTTTGGTATCTGCCAGACTATCCTTGAGGTCCTTGAGCTCGGAGTCCGCCTTACCCTTCCCGCGCTCCTCTTCAATCGGGGTGATATCCTTGGCTTTAGATATGGGCAAGACATTGAGTTCATCATCCAAAACCAAGCAGTCCGAGCAGGATCCCAGGGAGAGAATGAACCTTTCGTTAAATCGCGCAA